TCTTGTGTTTTAGGGCTTATATCATGATATATCCGAAGACATTCAACCCTAAACCCTAAACCCTAAACCCTAAACCCTAAACCCTAAACCCTAAACCCTCAAGGCGCCAGGATAATAGAAATTGTATGTGTTTCAATGCCAGCAGCTCGTACAATAATTTTGGGTGCCAAAAAAGCCTACCCCGACCCCAGCTCCATCAGCTCCATCAGCCCCAGGCTTGCAGCCCCGCAGCCCGAGCAAAAATCAGCAGCCGCACCCGTCCTAGCCCGCCCAACAGCTGTCGGTCATAGCCTCACCCAAAGCAAAAAAACCTCACCCAAGGCAAGAAAAGAAACTTTCGGTCAAAACTTTCGGTCAAAACTCCGGACCTGAACCCTATACAACTTCTATACACCCAAACCCAACACTCTAAGCCTGGAAGGTGGCAGCCAGGCCGTCACAAAGGCTGCTCGAGACAGAGTCCTGGGCAAAAGAACTTCATAGGTCAGGGTTTCGGGTTTCGGGTTTCGGGTTTCGGGTTTAGGGTTTAGGGTTTAGGGTTTAGGGTTTAGGGTTTAGGGTGGAGAAAAGCAGGGTGATCGGTTCCTTACTTGGAGGTTCATGGACCCAATAATAGCTGAACCTATACCCCAATCATAGCCATGTTGGGGCACTTGAGGGGCCTACATGTGGGGGATGAGTGCAGATAGAACCCTGAACCCTAAACCCTAAACGCTAAACCCACAAGCATGAACCTCAAAGTGGCTCATTCGGGTGGGTAGTGAACCCGTGAACTCAGTCCTAAGTCTCAACAGCGGTTGGTCCAGGGTCTAGAGTTTAGGGTGTAGGACCTCTTGCAGTCAAGTGCCTTTCTGACTCAACCCCTTAATTAAACATCCCTTTTTTGAACCCAGACTCCTGAAGTCAGCCGGGAACTCAATATCCCTAAACCCTAAACCCTAAACCCTAAACCCTAAACCCTAGAAGGGCCACCCCCGGAGCTCCCCTTTCGGGCTGCACGCGGAATGCGCGCCCAGGGAAGCCGCCGCCAAAGGCACCTGCCCAGCGTCCGGGGTTTAGGGTTTAGGGTTTAGGGTTTCGCCACCCGCACTGCGCGCACACAAGGGGTTTAGGGTTTAGGGTTTAGGGTTTGGGGTTGAGGGGCCTACGCCGGTCGGTTCAGGAAGACTTAGCCTCGGGACTTTCCAGTCATCTCAAAAGATTTCAGGTGGATCATCTTAAAACCCTAAACCCTAAACCCTAAACAAACCCTACTAAACCCTCAACCCTACTAAACCGCCCGTAAGGGCCTCTGTGGTGGTGGAGCTGCTATGTGCTAAGAACCCCCAAAAGCTAAAAAAAACTTTAAAAGAATAAAAACCGTCCCGATGTTGCCCCTATTTTACTTCTATTTGATCATCCTCTTTTTCTTTTCTGTTTTGTTGGGGGGGGGGGGGGTTCTTCAGTCATCAGTCGTACATTTCCTAGCATGTTTGCTGCTGTTCGTGGCGGTGCTGGTGTCGTTGCTGTTGCCGTCGCTGCTGCCGCTGCCGCCCCGCCGTTTTCGTCGTCCGGCAGCCAAAAACACACTGGGTTGGACTTCAAACCCATCGAAAATGTTTGCATATAGGGCTATATAGGGTTCCTTTTGAACGCAAGTGAAGAGGCCAACCTATAGTACACACACACACACCTACTTTTTTCCTCTGTCAATGTCGCTAGCAGCGGCGTCTGCATGCCGTAAGGGTACCGTTGCTGTACTGCCTTGGGATTCATGACTGCTCTGGCTGATGAAGAATCTGCTTTTTTTTACAGTGTTCTACTTTGCTGAGCACGGCAAAACTTCAGATGAAACAAGTGCCTGAGTCAAAACCATCAGCCTGGTGGCAGCATGCGGGCAGTGCAAGATCGCATACAAGGCTAGGATGGCCCTTAGCCCCCTCTGAAAAAATACTCCTGAATATTAATATGATCCTCTTAAACCCAATAAGGGAAGACATAAGATATTCCAAGGGCCTTCCTAGAATGCTTATACCACTTGGGCACCGAGTCGCCCCAAGTGGAGTGGCAGGAACGTGAGCAACAGCCTTTGCCGTTTGGTATTGCGCCGGCTCCATTGCTCGAAACGGCTGTTACTCCTGCAACTATACTCCCCTTAGAACCTTAAAAAAAACGATATGTCTAATATCCTCTTGGGTTTTATATGAACAAAAACAACTAATAATTTCCAAGGGGGATATAGGCAAGCTCTCGAGGCCGTAAAGCAGCCTGCCTTCAGCCCGGACTGGATACTGCCCTCGATTTGCTCACAGATGCTGGCCTCGCTGGGAAAGTCGAACCTCCCACACCCTGGCCCAAACTGCTTGGAAGAATCCATTCCCATTCCCGCGCATGCTAGAATCCACTCTCTGGCCCTGAGGCAAGACACCCCCCCCCCCCCTTTACCCGCGCTGTATGTACAGCTGCTTGACGATTCCACGGGGTTTAGTCCCGAACTGGCCGCCCCATATGCCCCTCACCCCGACTGGCTGACCCCAAACCCTACACCCTAAACCCTCAATCCTCAACCCTAAACCCTAAACCCCCGATCCCAGCGAAGCAAAGCAGGGAGTGGCGAAGCCAACACCGATTTGGTGACGATCTGACAAGCCGCGGGGGCTTGCAACTGAGATCAAGCTCTCATTAGGGTGGGTTTAGGGTTTAGGGTTTAGGCTCATCATCAGGATGCCAGACTCTGTGCTATATTTCCCTTGGTAGCCCAGTAACCCTTTTACAATAAGGGTACCTTTTTTTGGGTTGGGTAGTTTAGAAGGGAATTCAGAACAAAAAAAAGGGGGAAAGGGTACCACTGGGCTCCCAAGATCCGCAACAGCAACCCAGCTCGTAGGGCAGTCGCTTTGCTGGAGTTGTAAGCTACCAGAGTCGGTCGCGTGAGGCGCAGGGTGGTTTACACTAAGGCTCCAAGGACTCCTAAGTTAGGGTTTAGGGTTTTAGGGTCTTTGGGCCAAAGGAGCATTCCGCATATCAGGCTTTTGGGCTGGAGGGTTCGGGTTCAGGGTTCGCGTCCTACTGAACGGCCTGATACCGTGAGTCGCGGGGCTGAACGGCCCTTCTGCAGACCATCGGGCCCTGGGGCGCTGTGGTCCAATCACTCAAAGAGCGGTTGCATGAAAACCCGGCTTCTTTTCTAGGGTGGCCCTAAACACCCTCTGACAGAGATTTCTACATTTTAAAAATGGTCCTCTTAAACCCAAGAAGGGAGAATATGAGGCCGTACCTAGTTTTGCCATGTCTGTGCTCTGCCTTTCCTTATCTTTGTACGGTAGCTCCAACTATCATGCTGAAAATTGTGGCGGCTGCTTATGAAAGAAAATGGCCTGGGCATGGTACTGCTCAAAGGTCCCTAAACCCCAAACCTGAAACCCCAAAACCCTCAACCCTAAACTACTGTAACCCTAAACCCTAAACTACCTTAACCCTCAACCCTAAACTACCCAAACCCTAAACCCTAAACCCTGCGTAAACAACAGCCCCTGGATTCCCTAAACCCGAAAAGCTGCGAAGCGAATCCGAGTCCGCAAAACGTTCCTTGGATTACTATTTTGTTGCGATGCTCCTATCGTATGAGCCGAAGGATACAGAAACAACGGTCTATGTAACAAAAATGAACAAAACATCCCAGGAGGATCAACAAAATGGATGGTGGGGGGTGGGGGTTGGGGGCTCGGGTTGGGGGTTGCACTTGGGGGGTTTTGGGGGGGGGGGGGGGGGGGGGGGGGGGGGCAGGGGCTTCCGAGCAGGGTTTGCGCAAAGTTTTTGGGGACTTTTTGGTCTGGGGTTTCGTGTTTGACCCAGGGGCGTGGTAGGGTTTAGGGTTTAGGGTTTAGGGTTTAGGGGGGCTTTCATACAGCCGCTTAAATGGCCAGCGGCGTGCGTCCGCATCAGCACGTGGGGACTCGCGACTTCCAACGCGGGAAGCGAAAAATGGCGGTCTCCCATGTGCAAGGAGGGGCCCCTCAAGTTATAAGTAGAGTTATGAAGAACCCTAAATTGGGTTCGAAGGACCCTAAATTAGGTTATAAGTCCCTTAACTACAGTTAGTATAGTAAGGGGGCCCCTCCTTGTAGGACAAACGGAAGCGGGACTGGGAAGGAAGATGCGGGGGTCAAGGTCCGAGCTACGCAGTAAGGAGGACGGGGCGTTGAGAGACCCTAAACCCTAAACCCTAAACCATGAAGTTGTGGGGCTGCCCGGCGATGTCTGATTCCCATCTTCAATCCCCTCCATCCCATGCCAAGGCCTTGGGGCACCCTAAGATTTTCGGAAGCTCCTCAAGGCCTACGGCGAGTCGAGAAAGTCTGCTGTGCACCTTAGACGATTAGAATCGACCACAAGGAACGCCAGTCAAGGTAGTTATAAGTGGGGCTGTAAGTAGGGTCACTGTGCTGATAACTGTGTAAAACCTTCCTAGGGTGCTTATAACCCTACCTATAACTGCCCATGAACCTTCAAGTTGTCACTGAGACTCAGATGCGGGGGGCAGCCACATGATCGGCAGGACCCAGGCGGGCAGCTGTACAGCTTGCACTACTGAGTAGCCCTTGCTAATGCCCATTCAGCACCTTGCATGCGGTTTTAGGGGGTGCATCCGGACTCCAAGCTCTCCCGTTCCTGAAGCAACTGAAATTGCCCCGGCGGCTTCCCCTTCGGGGCTGCTCTGACAAGTCCATGGCTTCGCTGAGCTGCGGTCACAAGTAACCCAGACACTGCGCAAACATGAAGGCCTCTGTTTACTAAAGCAAGTCCAGTCTACTGTCGGCCATCGCTCGGAACTGGAACAAAAGGCGGGGATGTCACGAAGACACCGAACGAAATATTTTATGTGTTCGGAGTAATTACAGAACATATACGGAGACGTAGATACACATATTACAGGAACACCTTAAATGCGCCAGCTGTGCCAACGTGGGTTTAGGAACCTTGGGGATTCGTAGTCCTTTCGGACAAAAAAGCACGCTTGCTCACTGGCTGATATCCGAGCATGTCGACGGAGCCTTGCTTGGTGAGTCGCCTGTGCCCTTGCTTTTTGCCATCTTGGTCAGCAGCTTCTCCATGCTCGCCAGCCGGTTCTCGACGTGCTGCAGCTTCTCTTCCACGCTCTCTTCCACCTTGCGGTCGTCCTCCGGCCACGGAACTGATGGCGCCGTGGGGCCGCCGTATCGGAGGATGGAGTCCTCCGTCACCGTGTGCTCATTCGCCGGCTCGTGGATCTGAATGCCGCCGGCTGGGCCGAGGTCGCCTTCGTTGAACTCCAGGCGGTCCTCTAAATTCAGCGTGCGCAGGAACTTTGCGAACCGAGCCGGGCGAGCTTCTGCCAGCACGGACACCACCACACCAGCCCGATTGAGTCGAGCGAAGCCCGTCATGTCGGCGAACATGCTGCTATAGGATTCCGCAAGCTGGGCGATCAGGAGGTTCATGAGGAAGACGGTGGCCAGCGCCGTGAAGAGGGTCAGGCAAATGAAGATGGGCAGGTCTTTCTTGGTGGCGTCGAAATCCGAGGCTGGGAACATCCCGAAGGCCATCTGCGTCAGCGCGCTGACCCACGTCATTGCGCCGTCAAACTCCACTAAGTTGTGCTGCAAGGAACTCAATGCCGTGGAGAAGGTCAGGATGAGGAACGTCAGCGCCAGGAGGAACAGGCCCACCTCCACAACGACCCAGCCGCAAACCAGCAAGAATGCCGACAGCCGCATGGAGAAGACAGTGCAGTCGGTCAAAAGCAGCCAGAACAGCACCATGCCGATTGCGGAGAAGATCGAGTACATCCGGATCTCCTCTTCCACTCCACAACGTGTGGTGAAGAGCAAGTACTGGCTGTGACTGTCCGTCCACTTGGAAGAACACCGTAGGATGGGCTCGAAGAAGAGCATCAAGATCAAGACCCAGGTCAGGGCGAGTCGACCGACCTGCTTGACATCAGTGAAGGATTTCGGGATGGCAACGATGGAAATCCTCATCACCTTGCCGCGATAGATCTCAGAGGCGACGTCTCTGACAAAGCTGCAAAGGCCACACAAGCTTGCCAGGTACAACCACATGCGCAGCACAAAGCGCGCCACGTTTGCCTCGAAGGATTCTTCGACACCGGTCTGCTCTTTCAGAATGGACTGGCTCACGAAGAAGACGCCAAGCGTTATGACGAACCAGAACTTGTTCCGGAGGAACTGGAATGCGGCGAACCGACTCCAGATCAGGTCCGTCGTCAAGGCCACGACGAGATGGCTCATGATCTTCGGGTCTTTGTACCGCACAAGCCATTGGAGTGTAGGGCTGAACACACCTGCGCTGTCCTGCACCAGGTGCTTGATGTAGAGGTTAACGCGGCGGCTGCCATCTTTTGTCAACCTGGAGCGCCAAACCAGACCATCCAAGAGAGCGATCAGCAGACTCGGAGCACTCATGCACATCTTCTGCACAATCTCAGGATGGCGGGTGAACAAGGCTTCACAGCCGTAGTAGTACACATCACGGTCGGCCCGGATGGTGAGCAAATCCTCTATGATGGCCTTTGCGCAGCTGAGTCTGCCACTGTCGATGGCCCAGTACAAGGGCGAGATCGTCTGGGTACCCACAGAGACGCTCAGCACCCTCATGGCCCTCTTTCCGCGTGGAGCCACTGCCACGGCTTGCCGAACCGCTAACTCCTGATTGGTGTTGATCGCCTTCATCACGACCGTCGACCCTTCCAGAATGACGCGGGTCAGAATCTTGGTGATTAGCGTCAGCGACCACCGGAAGGCTGCCGCTTCCCCGTTACAAAGATCTTCGATCGCCTCGCAGTAGGCTTGGACCATGGGCGGAAAGTACTCGGTGGGCACGCCATACCTGGTTCATGGCTGGGATAGCATTAAAAAACCTTCAACTTACATTCCCTCTTGGGTTATTAAGTACCCTTAAAATGTAAAAAACTTAAGCTGATGTTCCTTATGGGGTTATTAAGTACCCTTAAATATGTAAAAAATGTTACCCCAACTCTGACAAAGAGACCCCACGTGGCGCAGGCCAAGACCTGAGATGTCGTCCACAAGCTGCTGCGTGTTCTCGTAGATGTCAAGGGTCATCTCCATGATCTTGTCTGCGATGTAGTACATCCTCTACAAGGAGGGGCCCCCTAGCTATAAGTAGAGTTCTAAGAACCCTAAATTGGGTTCTAAGGATCCTAACTTAGGTTACAAGTCCCTTTAACTACAGTTAGTATAGTCAGGGGGCCCCTCCTTGTTTTTGCTCGAGAGAACCCCCAAAGAATATAACAAACAATAACCCCCTTATTACCCTTATAGGGAAGAATCATGTACATTTTTCTTCGGGGGGCTTCTTAAGCAAACAGTACATCCTCTACTATTTGCTTGAGAACCCCGAAAGCGAAGCAAATAATAATCCCCTCCCGTATAGGGAAGACTATTACAGATTCTTACAGTTGTTATCCTTTTTTTTTTTTGGGGGGGGGGGGGAGGTTCTTAAGCAAACAGTAGTCCTGGTAGACGATTGCTTCATGAAGTTCTCGGCAGTCGGTGCCAGCTCAAAGAAGCGTTCGAAGACAGCTTGCCGCGTCCGTTGGATGCTGGCCTCGGGTCACGGCGACATGGGGCGAATGGGCAGGGAACTGGAGTCCACATTTGGCAGGGCGTATGGCATAGCAGGATGGGCCATTGTAATTACCCTTTACTCCCAAACCCTAAACCCTAAACCCTTAGACCTAAACCCTAAACCCTAAACCCTAAACCCTAAACCCTAAACCCTAAACCCTAGCCCTAATGGCCCACTCCTGGTATTGGGACTACACACACACATTCTTCCTGGCGCACCAATGGCCTGTCATCCAACACCCGCCGGGTTTCGGGTTTAGAGAAACCCGAAACCCTACTTGGAGGTTCATGTGCTTAGGATTTAGGGTCTATAGGGTTTAGGGTTTAGGGTTTAGGGTACTTATAACCCAATTACAACTGTACTTATGACCCACTTATCCGCCGCTTAAGTGCCCTGACGTGATGACAGTTTGGTTATAAGTACAGTAACAACTGGGTTATTAAGTACCATGAACCTCCAAGTATACCCTACAGTATAGGTTCCTTAAACAGGGAACCCCAACGGGGGTGTATACCCTAAACATAGGGAAGCCCAACAGCGACGCCAATCGCTAATTGAGCGAACTATGAATCTGAACAAGGGCTTCCATAACAGACTCTCGCGAGCGTGTTCTCAAAAAGAATGTGTCTAATCATCGGTTATTAATATGCATATACATACATACACACGCATACATACATACCATACCATACCATACCATACCATACCACACCACACCAAACCATACCATACCATACCATACGTACCATACCATACATGAACATATCTATATATATATATATATCGATGGATATGGTGATATAGATGTATCAATTTTGTAACGTTGATGGGCGTGCTTTCTACATCTCGGTTTGCACTCGATCTCCGAACGTCCTAATCAAGTTTGCTGCCTGGTTTGTCTTCTCAATGCATCTCCTTTCGCCGGCCTCGTCCAGGCTGCCCAGCAACTTCTTGAGCACTTTGTTGTAGGCTTGAGGCACGCCCATCATCTTCTTGAGCATCTTCTCCATGTTCTCCCAAAACCACTTCCACGCCACCTCATGATCCATATCCCAATCTTTGGGAACCATGGACCTCAAGGAAGCCAACATCACTGCCTTGAACTGCGGAAGGAGGATCTGACCCTTGTTGTATCTGGCGAGGAGCAGAGAAAGCACATCGCACTCCTCCTGGAGACGAGTGGTATTGGCCACATTCGTCGCCATGCCATCGAAGCGTTCGAGGACGATGTGCATCCACTTGCTGTCGGCGAAACCCATCACCGCCACGTTGAAGAGGAACATCTCATTGAAAGTGGCTGGCACCTTGACTTCACCGAGACCGACGAAAGCCGTGTCATCCTCATCCACCCTGCCCTTGGATTTCTGGCCCTTCTCGCCGGAGGAGGCCGCTGTATCCTCCGTTTCCGCCGAAATTTGCCTTTGCTTGTCCGATGGCGATGAGATTGACTCGTCTTGCTCTGGCTCCACGTCGTCCGGTGTTTCTGAGGGCACCTCGACATGGTGGTGGTTGGCAATCTTCCAGCTGCGCTGGATGATTTTGATCCGCGTGCCCAGCTCGTTGCGGCAGTACACAATGGCACCACCGATGTAGTTGAGCATCGCGACCATCCCTGCGCGAACCTCTGGAGTGAATTCCCGGCCCAGCTCAGCATCCATGTTGTTCAAGATGGCACCTGCGAAGATTGCCAGCCTTGCCGGAGTTACTTCGCGATCCAGGTGCTGAAATCCGAGAGTCTCCACCGAAGATTTCAGAGCAGACGGGTTGTTGCTCATGGAAAACATGTTGCTCAGGGTGTTGGTGAAGGTCAGCGCAAAGATGGTTCTCGGAGTCTTGAACATCGACCGCATGCCCGGCGCATCCTCGAAGATGGCATCGTAGATGGCCAGGCCTGCGAGTTCGGCCGTCGTGAACTTGGCAAGGAAGTCCTGCCAAGACTGGCGTATCTCTTCTGCCACAGCCTCCGGCAACTTCAGCTCCTCGAGCTCATCCTCGTGCACTCTCTGGTACTTCTGGATGGTGGTGTCGTTGAGCTCGTTGCTGGTGCACTGGCTATCTTCACAGAGATCCTGCGAGGCTGCATCTTCTTCGAGATCCCCCGTCGCCTCCCCGGAGCTGTCGGAAAAGTCCGAACTATCCTGGGTTGGCCTTTCAACACCCTGAAAAAACAAATCTATATATATATATATGTATACATAAATAAATAAATAAATAAATAAATATATATATATATATATATGGATAGGGTCCCTTATATGCCCAAGAAGGCAAAGAAGGCAACATGTCCCAAACTCCAACCTAGTTTCGGAAAGTTCGGACATCACACACGGCACTGGGTAGGGTGATGCACACACCCCCAGCTACAGCCAGCCAGTTCAATACTGGAGGCCCCACTCCCCGCTTAAAACGGAGCTTGAGCCGCGGCGGCCCATTTTTGGGTTGGGGGGTCATGCTGAGGCGGGAAGTAGCAGTTTGGGGTTTGGGGTTTGGGGTTTAGGGTTTAGGGTTGTGCAGCCGTGACAGGTTTTAAACAGTACTTACCGTGTTCGGACGGAGTTCGATGCGTGGTGTTGGAAGATCAAGCTGTGCAGCAACCCTAAACCCGTAAAGATGGAACCGAACCAGGTGCAGGGCCCGCCAGCGCAGCTTCCTCGCTCTCTCCCTTGGGTAGATGTGTCAACCTAAGGGTCCATGCGCCTAAAGAAGGGTTTAGGGCTTAGGGTTTGAATACTTGGGCCGTACAGTACTTGCAATTTTGTTCATGGACTTTTTGTCGCCGAAGTGTAGAACTTAGGGTAAAGTGTCAATCCCACACCTGGAAGGCCTAAACCCTAAACCCTACACCCTGCACCCTAAACCTTCAAACACCTCACTCCAAAACACCAGCCAACAACTCCAACCCTCTACCCCTCGTCTTTGCATCAGGACTCCTCCACGCCAACCCCTTCCCCCCTCCCCCCTAAAAAACCCTAAACCCTTAACCCCAAACCCTAAACCCTAAACCCCTAACCCTAAACCCTAAACCCTAAACCCTAAACCCTAAACCCTAAACCCTAAACCCTAAACCCCTAACCCCAAACCCTAAACCCTTACCAGCCTCCGGCCCCGGTTGCGCAGCGGCCAGGCCGACCGAGGCTCTGATTCCAGTCTTTGGGCCTGGTGTCAGGGTAGGGTTTAGGGTTTAGGGTTTAGGGTTTAGGGTTTAGGGTTTAGGGTTTAGGGTTTAGGGTTTAGGGTTTAGGGTTTAGGGTTTAGGGTTTAGGGTTAGGGTTCAGGGTTTAGGGTTTAGGGTTTAGGGGTTAGGGGTTTAGGGGTTTAGGGTTTTAGGGGTTTAGGGGGTTCGGGGTTTAGGGGTTTAGGGGTTTAGGGGTTTAGGCTTAGGGTTTTAGGGCTTTCGGGCTTAAGTTTTTCGGCTTTAGGGTTCTACAGAGCAGCTTGGAGGTTCATGTGTAGTTCCCAGTGGGGTGATAAGTAGGCTAGCTATGCTTCTGACTGGTTATCACCAGATTTGTGGCCCTACTTCTACCTGCCCTAAACCCGAAACCCTTGAACCCTAAACCTTCAAGTAGGGCTTTGGGGAACGGAGTCGACACTCGCAGACCGGACGTGTCGCGAGTTGATGATTGGGGTTGCTGGCGTGGGAAAGCGTGGCACCTTGTGGGGGTTTACGATATTTGGGGTACTTTACTGGGTCCTTCTTGAAGGATTCTACTATTTGGGGCTCTACACGGGTCCCCTATCTTCGTAAACCCCCTTGTTGCAGGGGCCTTAGTGGTTGGGTATTCAGACCCCATGAGGCCTAAACCCTAAACCCCAAACCCGGTCTTGCGCCTGCCGCGGAGCAGAACCAGCTGCCGCTGCAAACGCTGCAGTTGCACACGCTGCCGCTGCAGCCGGCGCAGCACGCGCAGCTGCAGCAACCTGGGAATCTTTTAGGGTGTAGGGATTTAGGGTTTAGGGCGATTCGAAGCCGCCTCAACCGCATTATGCCCTGGGGGACGTGCCTGCGCTTCAGCGAAGCAAGCACGCGCACTATACTAGCCGCTCCCAGATTTCATGCCAGGTACGCAAGAACGAAGGCAAGGGTCATTGTTCCCGACAACAGAGCCGATACTCCCAAACTCTCTAAATTCCATTCTCTGCTTCATGGCCGTCGAAAGCTTCTGTTGACAAGGCAACCTGACAAGTTGTGAACCCTAAGTCTTAAGCCCCAAGCCCGGGCCAGAACCAACGGTTTCCTAACGAATCTGAGGCCCCCTGGCTCCTTGCAAAGCAACTCTTCGGCGTGGGATGTCCCACACCCACACCCTGAGTTCTAAGCCCTGCAACTTACATCCAAGCCCTTCTTAGACCCCATACAAGTCCTCAACCGTAGAGCCTAGACAGGACCTAGGTCCCTAACCCTAAACCCTAAAACCTAAACCCTAAACCGCCTAAACCCTAAACCCTAAACCCTAAACCCTAAACCCTAACCCCTAAACCCTAACCCTAAACCCTAAGCCCTAAGCCCTAAACCCTGAACCCTAAACCCTAAACCCAAACCCTATCGTCCAGGGCCCCAAGCTGCGAGTCCAATCATTCGGGAAAGCCGAAGCCGATAGTGTGGCCGTCAAAGGCACCTGTCAACATCAGAGGACGTTCGCCCGGTGCAGACAGGTGAGTACATGAGAGCTCCAGCTACCTCATTCAACGAAGCCATCTCACCCTAACCCTAAGCCCTAAACCCTAAACCCTAAACCCCTAAGCCCCCTAAACCTTGGCGATGCTTCTCTCATTTTCCTTGGATTTCCGCGACCATCGGACAGACCCTGGGCTGCTGAAAAAGGTGCCTGTTGCTTTGCGGCCTTGGGTAAGCAGGTTTAGGGTTTAGGGTTTGGGGTTTAAGGTTTAAGGTTGTAGATAGGTTCCTCTTAGAACCCAGCCCACCCAGATGACTCCAGGCTCGTGAAGAACCTGTCTACTGGCTCTGTAAGCTTCTGAAATCTGATGCACGGAAGCTTCATGCAACAGGCTCGGAGCAGCAGCACGATGCGGCGAAGTCTGGCGCAGTGCTGCTATCAGATAATGCCTACCACGTGAGCAACAATTCGCTCAAGGTGGAGTGCAGGAACGTGAGAGCCTTTCAGCCGCCTTTATACATCGGGTCCGTTGGGTCCGTTGGGTAGGTTGGGCTGACACCCCTGCAAGCCCGTGAGGCAAAGCACCCCCGACTTCAGCCAGATTGGATGCTTGCCTCTTGTTTGCTCACAGCCTGCCTCGCTTGGATCCTGTTTTAAGAAGGGTTTAGGGTTTAGGGATCAGGGTTTTAGGGAGCACTGGACTAAACCAAACTGGGCCACACAGCATGCCCTTCACCGTCAATCGCCTTGTCCCGATCTCATCCCAGCGAAGCAAAACGGGGGGGTGGAACAACAAACCGCCTAACCCAAGGGTCCATGCACCTCATTCTCAGATGGGGGTTTGCGAAATTAGGGTTACCTGAGTAGGGTCCTTGTTAGAAGGGAATCCTACTATGTTATGCGGGTCTATTTAACGGTTCCCCGACCCTAAACCCTAAACGAGTTCATAAGCCCAAATGAAGTGCACACTGTCAGTTCCATAGGGGATTCCAGTCTCCCAAAAAGTGTAAAGCGTGCTCACTCAGCTACTAAGCTACTGAGGTTCATGGACGCTCAGGGAAACACCATTTCTGGTGACAATGTGGCGCGTGCGTGTTTCGACTCTCCCGGAGGGTTAAGGTAGCGCTTCCTCTACGAGAGCCTACATGCAAAAACAAGTCACTCACAACATCACATAACATAAACATAAATGCAGAACTTAACATAACATGACATAGAAAGCTTACGATCATCAACGCTCCAGAGCCCTCAGAGAAAGGCAGATGTCTGTGTCGGGGGCATGGCTTCACCACTCGCCAACACAAAGTCTGCATGCCTCCAAACGCAAAAGCACATGGGGGACACACGACCTTCCGTGGAAACCTTTGAACTCCTTGTTTTGAGCCCGGACTCATAGCATGAACCACAATCCGTTAAACGCCCCACCCTAAACCCTAAACCCTAAACCCTAAACCCTAAACCCTGAACTCTCGAACCGCCTCAGGGCTTCTCCGGTCTTCTTGTCTGGTCGGTCTCCCCGATGTGGGAAGCTGGAAACGGAATTGGGCGGGCTCGCTAAAATGCCTTCACAGGACCCCCCTAAAGCCTAAAGCCAACATCCTGTCGGCCCTAAACTCCCAAGAGCCCTATACCCCTAAACCCCTAAACCCCTAAACGGCCCTAAACCCTACTTCCTATGAAGGCGGTGCGGCGCCACCCACCAGTCTGTGTTCTTGGCATGCCAGCTGTGCTTTCCCCCAAGTGGTCCAGATGCCCCCAGCGTGTCCGAGTTCAGAGTTAGGGGTTTAGGGTTTAGGGATAGGGAGCTCTGGTGTCCCTTTGGGGCTATATCCCCAGCTTGCGCAGTAACCTGGGTTGAAAAGAGGGTGGCCCTGTTTTTGCTTAAAGGGGCTTCAGAAAGGGAACCTAAACCCCCAAAAAGGAAGTGAGAGGGCCCAGTGTTCAGAGTTCCGCACGCTGTAAAGTGACCTCGACCAAAGGGGGCGAGACGTACTTCGGGTTTTTCTACAAACCCTTTCGGTTCTTAAGGCAAACAAGGATGTGAGCCCCCGCGTGGGCCCCCTGTACAGCCGGAGGTGTCAGCAAAGGTGCTGCTGAGGTCTACTTGGAGGTTCATGGTACTTAATAATCCAATTATAACTGTGCTTGTCACCCAATCATAGCCACAGTGGGGCACTTAAGGGGCTTGTAAGCGGGTTATAGGTACCCTAAACCCTAAACCCTAACCCTAAACCCTAAATCATTGGCTAATACGTCCCATGAACCTCCACGTAGGGCGTCAGGCTGCTGAGCTACGCGCCTGCGACGTGCGTCGTCAAGAGGGCAAAGCGTGACAGGGCTTCGAATGAGAAAGTCCCCAATCGTGCCTAAACCCTAAACTCTAACCCCTAAACCCTAAACCCTAAACCCTAAACCTAAAAAATAAACAACCCTAAACCCTAAAACCTCGAGGATTTAGGGATGTCCCCGCCCTCCGGCAACATCACGTCGAGACCTGAACAGCAGGAATGGATGCTTCCTTGGCAGTCGTCCCGACTCCCTCTTTGCGAGATGTCAAACGCCCTGCAGCTCTAAACCCACATCAATACACAATGCTTCCTGGAGCTCCCTTCTGCTTCGCGAGGCGCGCCTTAGTGGATGCTGCATAAGCGAACGATCGCCAAGGGCTGTGCCACGCGGCCATGCCCCGCAACAGCCAGAAGCAACAAACTGACTGTTGCATGGAACAACTGTAAAGCCCCCCCCCCCCCCCCATGGCCTTCTTTCTTTCCTACAGTAGTTCACGGTTGGGATAGTATTACAAACTGAAGTTTCTATTCCTTAGAGAGTCGAAGTACCCTTAAACATAAAAAAAGGTTGCCCCACTATGACAAAGTCTCTCTCTCTCTCTGTCTCTCTCTCTCTCTCTCTCTGCGAAACTAGGCTGTCCGTTCCAACACATGGTGCACCTGGAGCCTTCATCCTAAGTGTTGGCCCCTGAGATCGGAACGAGGGGGAGCCCTACATGCGAGATGGGAGCATGGCACGCTTTCTTCATAAAATGCCGGAATTCCAGGCGCCTTTTGCCCTTCAGGGCTGTAGGCACTGGCCTCTCACGGAACCGCTGGAAGAAACCAGGCCGCAGGAACATCAAGTCAAGTCAAGTGTGCCAGCTGTGCCGTAGCTGACGCCCTTCGCAACCGGAGGCTCGCATTGGGAACCTTGTCGCCTGTCAAAGGGGGATGCAAGTCCGGTCGGACTAGAAACTCAGCGCTCGGCACACCTCATAGCTCATTGGCTCTGTCTACTTGGAGCTACATGGTGCTTACAGCCCAAAAGTAAGTGTGCTTACCGCACTCGTAAGCCCCTTAATACCCCTAAACCCTAAACCCTAAACCCTGAAGTACCATGAACCTCCAAGTAGTCACCCATAGTCAGACTCTAGTCCGAGAATGTCGATGCAGGCTTTGAGCTCATCACGCTGGGCATCTGCGACCCGTTCTTGACATTGATGCCTCTGCCTGGGAAGGGTTTAGGGTTAGGGTTCGGGGTTCAGGGTTCAGGGTTCCGGTTCAGGGTTCAGGGTTCAGGGTTCAGCCCAGTACACCCTATTGTCCTAAGGGAGCCCTCGTTGGGGGTTCGTTGGAACCCCCCAAAAGAAAGGGCAAAAGGGTACCACCAGGCTGGCAAGCGGCTGTTTGCCATCTTGGTCAGCAGCTTCTCCATGCTCGCCAGCCGGTTCTCGACGTGCTGCAGCTTCTCTTCCACGCTCTCCTCCTTGGTAGCCCAGTGACCATACTATCATAAGGGCACCCTTGTTTTGGTTACTATAGGAACCCAGAGCAAATGAAGGGTCAAGGGTACCACTGGGCAACCAAGCTTCCACCTTCCGGTCGTCCTCCGGCCACGGAACTGATGGCGCCGTGGGGCCGCCGTATCGGAGGATGGAGTCCTCCGTCACCGTGTGCTCATTCGCCGGCTCGTGGATCTGAATGCCGCCGGCTGGGCCGAGGTCGCCTTCGTTGAACTCCAGGCGGTCCTCTAAATTCAGCGTGCGCAGGAACTTTGCGAACCGAGCCGGGCGAGCTTCTGCCAGCACGGACACGACCACACCAGCTCGATTGAGTCGAGCGAAGCCCGTCATGTCGGCGAACATGCTGCTATAGGATTCCGCAAGCTGGGCGATCAGGAGGTTCATGAGGAAGACGGTGGCCAGCGCCATGAAGAGGGTCAGGCAAATGAAGATGGGCAGGTCTTTCTTGGTGGCGTCGAAATCCGAGGCTGGGAACATCCCGAAGGCCATCTGCGTCAGCGCGCTGACCCACGTCATGGCGCCGTCAAACTCCACTAAGTTGTGCTGCAAGGAACTCAATGCCGTGGAGAAGGTCAGGATGAGGAACGTCAGCGCAAGGAGGAACAGGCCCACCTCCACAACGACCCAGCCGCAAACCAGCAAGAACGCCGACAGCCGCATGGAGAAGACGGTGCAGTCGGTCAAAAGCAGCCAGAACAGCACCATGCCGATGGCGGAGAAGATCGAGTACATCCGGATCTCCTCTTCCACTCCACAATGTGTAGTGAAGAGCTGGCTGTGGGTGTGACTGTCCGTCCACTTGGAAGCACACCGTAGGATGGGCTCGAAGAAGAGCATCAAGATCAAGACCCAGGTCAGGGCGAGTCGACCGAGCTGCTTGAAATCCGTGAAGGATTTCGGGATGGAAATGGTGGAAGTCCTGATCACCTTGCCGCGATAGATTTCCGAGGCGATGTCCCTGACCAAACTGTACAGGCCACACAAGCTTGCCAGGTACAACCACATGCGCAGCACAAAGCGTGAACAGTTTGTCTCGAAGGATTCTTCGACACCGGTCTGCTCTTTCAGAATGGACTGGCTCACGAAGAAGACGGCAAGCGTTATGAGGAACCAGAACTTGTTCCGGAGGAACTGGAATGCGGCGAACCGACTCCAGATCAGGTCCGTCGTCAAGGCGACGACGAGATGGCTCATGATCTTCGGGTCTTTGTACTGCACAAGCCATTGGAGTGTAGGGCTGAACACGCCTGTGCTGTCCTGCACCAGGTGCTTGATGTAGAGGTTGACGCGGCGGCTGCCATCTTTTGTCAACCTGGAGCGCCAAACCAGACCATCCAAGAGAGCGATCAGCAGACTTGGAGCACTCATGCACATCTTCTGCACAATCTCAGGATGGCGGGTGAACAAGGCTTCACAGCCGTAGTAGTACACATCACGGTCGGCCCGGATGGTCAGCAAGTCCTCTATGATGGCCTTTGCGCAGCTGAGCCTGCCACTGTCGATGGCCCAGTACAAAGGCGAGATCGTCTGGGTACCCACGGATACGCTCAGCACCCTCATGGCCCTCTTTCCGCGTGCAGCCACTGCCACGGCTTGCCGAACCGCTGACTCCTGATTGGTGTTGATCGCCTTCATCACGACCGTCGACCCTTCGAGGATGACGCGGGTCAGAATCTTGGTGATCAGCGTCAGCGACCAGCGGAAGGCAGTCGATTCACCGTTACAAAGATCGTCGATCGCCTCGCAGTAGGCTTGGACCATGGGCGGAAAGTACTCGGTGGGCACGCCATACCTGGTTCATGGCTGGGATAGCATTCAAAACCCTTTAACTTACATTCCTTATGGGGTTACTAAGTACCCTTAAACATGCAAAAAAAAATGTTACCCCAACTCTGACAAAGATACCCCACGTGGCGCAGGCCAAGGCTTGAGATGTCGTCCACAAGCTGCTGCGTGTTCTCGTAGATGTCAAGGGTCATCTCCATGATCTTGTCTGCGATGTAGTACATCCTCTACAAAGAGGGGCCCCCTAGTTGTAAGTAGAGTTCTAAGAACCCTAAATTGGGTTATAAGGATCCTAACTTAGGTTATAATTCGGTTATAAGTCCCTTGACTACAGTTAAATTGAAGGGCCCCTCCTTGTACTATTTGCTCGAGAAACCTGCAAAGAATATGACAAACAATAACCCCCCTATTACCCTTATAGGGAAGAATCATGTACATTTTCTTCAGGGGCTTCTTACGCAAACAGCAGTCTCTACTTTTTGCGTGAGAACACCAAAAACAAAGCAAATAATACGCCCCTCCCTTATAGGGAAGAATCGTAAACTTTTCTTTTTGGGGGGGGAGGGGGGTTCCCTAAACCCTAAACCCTAAACCCTAAACCCTAAACCCTAAACCCTAAACCCTAAACCCTAAACCCTAAACCCTAAACCCTAAACCCTACAGCAGTCCTGGTAGAGGATTGCTTCATGAAGTTCTCGGCGCTCGGTGCGAGCTCGAAGAAGCGCTCGAAGACGGCTTGCCGGGTCTGCTGGATGCTGGCCTTGGGGTTTAGGGTTTAGGGTTTAGGGTTTGGGGTTTAGGGTTTGGGGTTTGGGGTTTGGGGTTTGGGGTTTGGGGTTTGGGGTTTAGGATCGGGTGCGGACATTCAGAAGCAAAGTCTGGACACACATGCAACAAAGTAGGCTAGCCCGACAGGGCAGTGCGAAATTTCCAAATGTGAGACAAAACCATTCAGCACACTCGCAAACAACTCAGGCAATCAAATGAATCAAATGTAGTTGCCTACTTCACTGTAGTGGGTAGGTTGGGCGACGTGCTATATCGGATATATCAGGAGAAGATATTGGCAATTGCTTAAGCTCCTGTATCCCGATAGGGCCGACACCCACAGCAACCTGTGGCCACAAACTTAAAATTCAAAATCGCAAAAACCTCTGTCTCCCTTCGCCAGCCAAAAGCCTCTCAAATGTCCCCCAAGACTTTTGAGTAACGGACTTCGTGACTCTGAGGCTGCCGACACACATGCAACTTCCCTTGGAGGACACTGACCTCCTTTAAAACTCTCAAGGGCAGGCAAGGGTTTATGGTTCAGGGTTCGGGTGTATACTTGAAGGTTCATGGTACTTAGCAACCAATTATAACCGTGCTTATTATAGCTGTACTTATAATCATATTAGGGCACTTAGGGGGCTTATAAGTGGGTTCTAAGAACAGTTATAATTGGTTAATAAGTACCATGAACCACCAAGTAGGATTTAAGGTTCTGCTGGTTTGTGTTCTCTCAATGCGCCCTACGCTGGCCGGCCTCGTCTAGGCTGCCCAGCAACTTCTTGAGCACTTTGTTGTAGGCTTGAGGCACGCCCATCATCTTCTTGAGCATCTTCTCCATGTTCTCCCAGAACCAATTCCACGCCACCTCGTGATCCATATCCCAATCTTTGGGAACCATGGACCTCAAGGAAGCCAACATCACTGCCTTGAACTGCGGAAGGACGATCTGACCCTTGTTGTATCTGGCGAGGATCAGGGAAAGCACATCGCACTCCTCCTGGAGACGAGTGGTGTTGGCCACATTCGTCGCCATGCCATCGAAGCGTTCGAGGACGATGTGCATCCACTTGCTGTCGGCGAAACCCATCACCGCCGCATTGAAGAGAAACATCTCATTGAAAGTGGCTGGTACCTTGACTTCACCGAGACCGACGACACCCGCCTCATCGTCATCCGGCTTGCCCTTGGTTTTCTGACCTGAGTTGCTGAGTTCATAAGCCCCGAAAAAAGTGCAGACTTTCAGATTCAATAGGGGCTTATGGTATCGCAAAAAGTGTGAAGGTGAGCTCATTCAGCCAAGTGGCCCTTCTCGCCGGAGGAGGCCGCTGTGGCGTCGGTTTGCTCAGAAGTTTGCCTTTGCTTGTCCGAGTCCGATGGCGATGAGACTGACTCGTCTTGCTCTAACTCCACGTCGTCCGGTGTTTCTGAGGGCACCTCGACATGGTTGTGGTTGGCAATCTTCCAGCTGCGCTGGATGATCTTGATGCGCGTGCCCAGCTCGTTGCGGCAGTACACCTCAGTTGTCTAGTACCTAGGGGAACTAAAGGTTAGCCTTTGTGATTATAAGGTGATTATACTACCCCAAAAAGGTTAAAGGTTACCTACTCTACTGGAATATGAGGTGACTATCCTACCCCAAAAAAGTTAAAGGCTACCTACTCTACTACTAAGCCTAGAATCCCTAAACCCTAAACCCCAAACCCCAAACCCCAAACCCTAAACCCTAAACCCTAAACCAAGCCACAATTGCGCCACCGATGTAGTTGAGCATCGCGACGATCCCTGCGCGAGCCTCCGGAGTGAACTCCCGGCCCAGCTCAGCGTCCATGCTGTTTAAAATGGCCTTACTTCTCCTATGTTAAGGTTTAGGGTTTAGGGTTTAGGGTTTAGGGTGTAGGGTTTAGGGTGTAGGGTTTAGGGTGTAGGGTTTAGGGTTCAGGGTTTACTTCTCCGATAACCAAGAGGGTACAAAAGCTTAAACTTTCATCTTCCTACCAAATTAAGGAAGCCCCCCCCCCCCCCCCCCCCAACAAAAGTTTAAAGTTCAGCTAAAGGCGAAGTAAGTGGCACCTGCGAAGATTCCCAGCCTCGCCGGAGTCACTTCGCGATCCAGATGCTGAAAGCCGAGGGTCTCCACCGACGATTTCAGAGCAGATGGATTGTTGCTCATGGAAAACCTTACTTCTCCAATAACCTGGGGGAATAGAAGAATACTCCTACTAAATAAGGAAGCCTAAAAAGTTTAAGTTCAACTGAAGGCGAAATAAGAAACCTATACTGATCTAGCAACAACTGCAATCTGTTTGCTGTTTCTGAAGAACTCTCGTGCCCAAAACTGAAAAAACTCTTCCCAAGTATCCCTATAAGAAACATGTTGCTCAGAGTGTTGGTGAAGGTCAGCGCGAAGATGGTTCTCGGAGATTTGAACATCGACCGCATGCCCGGAGCATCCTCGAAGATGGCATCGTAGATGGCCAGGCCCGCGGACTCGGCGGTGGTGAACCTTAAGGGGGTTTAGGGTTTAGGGTTTAGGGTTTGAGGTTTAGGGTTTAGGGTTTAGGGTTTAGGATTTAGGGTTTAGGGTTTACTTCTCCAATAACCAAGGGAAAAACACAAGCTTAAGCTTTATTATTCCTACGACATAAGGGAAGCCCCAAAAAGTTGAAAGTTCAGGAGTTGGCAAGGTAAGGAGCTTGGCGAGGAAGTCCTGCCAAGACTGGCGTATCTCTTCCGCCACAGCGTCTGGCAACTTCAGCTCCTCGAACTCATCCTCGTGCACTCTCTGGTACTTCCTTACTTCTCCACTAACCAAGGGGGGGGTAAAAAAAAAGGTCAAGCTCTAACATTCCTACTGAGTAATTAAGGAAACCCAACAAAAGCTTAAAGTCCAACTAAAGGTTAAACTTCAACATTCCTACTAAGTAATTAAGGAGAAACCCAATAAAACCTAAAGCTCAACTTTAAGGCGAAGGTAAGCTGCTGGATGGTGGCATCGTTGAGCTCCACGTCGGTGTGGGCGTTTCCGCTGACTTCGGTGGCTTCCTCTGTCGTCTCTTCATCTTCCTTACTTCTGCAAAAAAAGGGGGAAAAAGGTTAAACTTTACAATGTTCCTTGAAAAAGGTTATGAAAGTTCAACTCAAGGCGAAGTAAGCTTCTTCCAGCTCACCTGTGCACGTCCCCATCAACTCCTCATGGTCCTCGAAGCTTCCGCTTGCGCCGGAGTCGTCCATGGCTCTCAACACAGGGTATCGCAATCAGTCTACAGCCTGGCAACTCAATACAGGAGTCTTCCAGCACGGCCAAAAAGGCGCTTGGGTTTGAGCCATATGGGATCAGGTTCATGGTCCCTAAACCGTATAATTGCTTGCAGGTTCATGGTACTTCTAACCCCATTGTGGCTGTACTTCTAAACCACCTATAAGCCCCTTGTGTGCCCTAATGCGCTTATCATTGGGTTGTAAGTGCAGGTATACTTGGGTTATTTAGTACCATGAACCTCCAACTAACCGTAAACCCTAAACCCTAAACCCTAAACCCTAAACCCTAAAACCCTAAACCCCTAAACCCCTAAACCCGAAACCCTTGAAGCTGTGCGACTGCGACAGGATGGTCAGCGCTTCGGGCATTCTGAAGTCGGGGCCTTGGGTGGTGGCGGAGCCTCTGTGCAGGAGGCCGATGATCCCATCGGGATGTTGCCTTTGGCACCTTTCAGTAGGGTTTAGGGTTTAGGGTTTAGGGTTTAGGGTTTAGGGTTGAGGGTTGAGGGTTTAGGGTTTAGGGTTTAGGGTTTAGGGTTGCTTTGAATCAAGGGAGTCATACTCGGAGCCCTACAAATGTACCCCCTACGAGGTTCCCCGAATATCCTCCTGATATGGCCCTTGTATTCCCTTCGAGGAGAATGGAAAGGGGATTCCAATGCAAGGGTTATAAGGGCCGGTGGCCTCTTTATCTGTTGCCCTTTTACCTTAACATAGCCCCTAGATACCCTAATGTGAACCGCCCCTACAAAACAGAAGCCCTACTTAAAGAGACCACCAACCAATATAACACAAGGGTGCAAGGGTACAAGCTTTGCGGTCCAAGGTAGGCCTAAGAGCCTTTAGGATTGATGGTGCGGATAAATTCGTCTTGGAACCCAGACTCTTGATGTCAGCTGGCCCGACGGCGTTCCGTCACTCCCAAAACCGCCTCAACACCGCCCCAAACCTCAAGTCAAGTCCCGCTGCGCTCAAAGGATCCTCCCCTTACTACCCTTCTAGGGACGTTTCTCTGATTTTTTGTTGAGGGTTTCTTCTTAATCCCTGTTCCCCTAGGAAGAAAAAAAGGATCCTTTTTGTTTGTATATAAGAAAGCCCATAACCCAAGAAGTAAAAAGGCTCCCTAACACTGATTTAGTCTTAAGCAAGCCCTAAACCCTAAACCCTAAACCCTCATCCCTGCGCAGCGGGAAATTCTTGTCCGTTGAAAGTGGTGGGTCTTCAGGGGCTCTGAACTCAAGGCTCTGGCTGCTCTAACTGCAGCACGATGGAGATGCCAGGGTTTAGGGTTTAGGGTTTAGGGTTTAGGGTTTAGGGTTTCAAAGTGTAGGGGCGTAAGGCTGTAAGACCCGCTTTCTTCCTGAAGGTGTGCTTTTTGGAGTTGTCTTGCAGAACCTTCAATCTCATTGCGGGCCCGTCTACATCCGCAGATGGTGCAGTTGCAGCTGCCCCCCTCGCTGCAGCTGCAGCAAGAGCAGCCACATTGACCTCAGCAAACCGTTTAGGGTCCAGGGTGAAACCCGCCAGACTCATAAGTCAGTCTACGTGCCTATCATCAATGACCCCCTAAACTCCAAACCTGTTTGTGTTTCTTTCTTTGCGGCAGGGCCAAGTGTAACATGCACTGCCTTTTTGCTGGCCCTGCTCATATGTTTACCAGCCCATGCTGCGCAAGAGATGCAGAAACAATGTAGCACCCAACACACACACACACACACGCCCGATGCCTCTCAGAACATAGTTGTGTGTGAGTGGAGGCTTCGTCATGCTATAGGCTATGTAAAGCAATGCATCTTCTCTATAAACCGATGCTTCTGAACCCAAAGATCTGTCCCAGATTTACATCCCAACACACATACCATGCTAGCCTGCTGGCGATCCTGACTTCTGCATAATGATCCCTTTCTTCAAGGGAGTGAGAGAAAGGCAGAGACAGAGAGATAAAGAGAGAGAGAGAGAGAGTCAAAGATGAAGGTAAGATGCAAGGCGGATGCTCGAGATGAGAAAGCGCGAGAGCGAGAGAGCCGGAGAAAGAGAGAGAACCAAGAAAGAGCAAGAATTGTTAAGTGCCATACAGCCCCAGAACAGGATGCTGTGGAGGGAGGGTTCCATTCGTGATAGGGGAGGCTGCTCAAACTAACGAGTGGGTATTTCCCAAGATACGTTAGATAATGGTAACCCCCGATTTGCGCCCAAAACGCTGCAACCCTCACTATAGGAACTTCTACGCAGAATTAAACCCCAAGCCCTAAACCCTAAACCCTAAACCCTACACCCTAAACCCTAAACCACAAAATTGGGAAACCCCCGCTGCTCGGGGCCGCGCAGGAATGCACAGGGGAGGGAGGTGCGGCCACTGCAGATGGCGCAGCCCGCAAGACTACCTGAGCTTGGAGGGTTTAGGGTTTAGGGTTTAGGGTTAAGGGTTAAGGGTTAAGGGTTTAGGGGCTTTTGGAGGTCTTAAACCTAAGCAAGATGGTGATTGCTGGAAGAACTCTCCCACGACGAGATTGACAGCTCCAGTCTTGCAACAGCAAGTGTCCTGCCCCTTGCAGACCCAGGTGCGGCAGCCTTGGCTTTTTGCCCATTCTGGCGCGATGCCTGAAACGAGGGGCAGTTGTGGACCGGCTAGGAATACTAGGGCTGCCTAAACCCTAAACTGGGTTTAGGGTTTAGGGTTTAGGGTTTAGGGTTTAGGGTTTAGGCCCTAAAACCCCAAAACACCAGGCATCACTCGGTGGCCCATGCTTGATCGGCTGGAGATTTTCGACGGCCGAACTTGTCACGCTGGGGTTCATGTTAGGGTGTCTGGCTAAACCCACCCCCAGAATCTGCTTTGCTTCCGGGGAGTTTGGCATAGTTTGGGGGTGCCTAAAAGGTGTATAGGTGGCAATTAAGTGTTGTGGGGGATGGGGGGTCTGGGGGAGGGTCTGTTGTCAACCAGGGCATGCTTTGGTTTGCTTTCAAGGGGCCTTTGGCTGCTTCCTCTGTCTCTTCTGCCGACGCTGCGACCGCGACCCTCGCGCATTGTCATCGCAGTCGCTCGTAGAGGGTACCCTTTCCGCAGCTTTCGAGTCCCGGTGGATAAGGATCTAAGTAAGGAAACCGCCGCTTTGAGATCTCTGGCAGCTTCCGGAGAGTATAACCCAGGACCTGAAGGCTGAAGTCTGAAGCTTCAGGGGGTAGTATCTTAAGCCGGGGAATGAGAGGCAGCCTTATAAAATTGACGGCCTCTCCGCTTACCTGAAAGCAAGGCTAGCAAGCACGATTTTGTCTGAGCCTCTGAAGCTACGGCAATTCAATCGAGATCTGCTTGCTTCGTTTTTTCGAGCTGAGTGTTCATGTTATAAAGTATCACTCTAAAATGGGGTGAGAATTGTGATAGTCGGCTTGCCCGTGCGAGTCCTGGTCCAAGAGCAAGTTTCCAGCGATTCCAACGCTCACACTAGCACAGGCGGGTTCCGCAACCCAGCAAACGTAGGCACCATTCCCAGATGGCCAAAGGACTGCCGAAACGAGAAGCCCTGTTACAAAAGGACGCCTGGCCTCAGGAAAAGCATTTTTCGGATGGTCCCAGTGTTGAACCGTCCCAAGCCCAAAACCCCAACCCTAAACCCTAAACCCTAAACCCTAAACCCTAAACCCTAAACCCTAAACCCTAAACCCTAAACCCTAAACCCTAAACCCTTTTGAAGCCTTCCTTGGATCTTCGCCAGGTGGCGCTGCGTGCCACACAGGCCAGGACCAGCATGGACAAGGGGGCTGCCCAGGATTGCCTCGGTCAGGCTTCTGCCCGGACCCTCCCTAAAGGGTTTAGGGTTTAGGGTTTAGGGTTTAGGGTTTAGGGTCCTTAAACCCTAAACCCTATTCCCCAAAAATAGCTCAGTTAAAGATTCCGAGATTTAGGGTTCACCAGCTTTTTGTTTTTTCCAATCTTACCGCGCCACGAAGGCCTAAACCGTTTTGCCCTCAGAAGCCTTAAACACCACAGCTCCCGGAACCCATGTCAAAGGCCGTCGGGACTTGGTCCACAACCCTAAACCCTAAACCCTAAACCCTAAACCCTAAACCCTAAACCCTAAACCCTAAACCCTAAACCCTAAACCCTAACCCTAAACCCTAAACCCTAAACCCTAAACCCTAAACCCTACCCTAAACCCTCAGGGTTTCGGGCCGTGCCTCCTGAAAGGACAACCGGAGTCAGGGATCAGGGTGGCTTTAGGGATGGCTAGGAGGGGGGGGGGGGTCTGCATGCCATAGAATTTGACGAGATTTAGGGCCTATGTCATACGTCCACATCAATGAAACCATTGTTTGTGAGATATTTGTGCAGAATATATATATATATATATACATGTCTCTCTCTCTCTCTATATATATATATATATATAGGTGTGTGTATGTACATGTGTCTGTGAGTGCGCCGCTGCTGTTTGGATTATTCACCTGTCTACGGACTGTACCATGTGTCAAGGAGCGACTCCGAAAAGACAACAAAAGGGCGCTTGGGCGCTTTCGTGGCTGGTGGAAGACACGGAGCCCAAACCCTTCGACCACTTGAACCCTAAACCCTAAACCCTAAACCCTAAACCCTAAACCCTAAACCCTAAACCGGCACCGAGCTGCACCGACGCACGGGGGCATTTTGGCACCTCCGCGTGCCAAGCCACGCGCTTTGCAAGGAGGCCTCCGGCACATCAGGCTCAGGGATTACTTGGAGGTTCATGGGTAGTTTAGGGTTTGGGGTTTAGGGTTTAGGGTTTAGGGTTTAGGGTTTAGGATTACTTGGAGGTTCATGGTACTTAATAACCCAACTATAGCTGTACTTAAAACCCAATTATAACCACATTAAGGCACTTAAGGGGCGTAGAAGTGGGTAATAAGTACAGTTACTATTGTGTTATAAGTACCATGAACCTCCAAGTAGGGTTTTGGGAGCCGTTGTCTGTGTTGGGGTTGAGGATTTGTCGGACGTGTCTTTTGATTTTTGCCTGTCTCTTCGGTCTGGCAGCCGTCTTCTTCTCGGGCCTGTTTGAGATGCGGTTTCGGGTTTAGGGAAAAGGGTTTAGGGTTTATGGCTGGCAAACTGCACTGCCGTCCAGCCTGAATCCCGCAGGCCCTCAAATACTTGAAGGTTCATGGGTAGGTTTAATGAGGGTTATGAGTACCCTAAAGAAGGTGATAGCCAGCTATCAGTAGAGTTAATCGACCTACTACCACGACTACAGAGGTCCAACTTCCTGTAAAGCAGGAAGCTCAGACCCTGTAAGCCCTATAGGTTTAGAGTTACACCCACCACCCTCCCCCCTAAACCCTAAACCCTAAACCCTAAACCCCCCCCCCCCCCCGCCCCCCGGCAGAACACAGGGACCTAGCATCCTGCGGTTGTGGTAGTATGTCTGCGGTATGCTCGGGGTGGAATTCACGAGACAACCCCAAACCCCGAACTGACTCTCTATCCTACCGTACTCGAACCCTTAACCCTGAACCCTGAACCCTAAACCCTAAACCCTAAACCCTAAACCCTAAACCCCAAACCCTAGACCCTAGCCCTAAACCCCTTTTTTGAACCCGGGCTCTCTGAGGTGCCCTAAACCCTGTTGAACCTGGAAGCACCTAAACCCTAAACCCTAGCTAGCCCTAAACCCTAAACCCTAAACCCTAAACCCTAAACCCTAAACCCTAAACAGCCTTAACAACTCGCCTGGGCTTGCTGTTGGCGCCCGCTGGATGGGGGAGACGAATGCAGCACCGGCAGCCGCGGCAGCAAGGCCGATGAGGCTGCGGCGAGGGTTGGGTTTCGGGTTTCGGGTTTAGGGTTTAGGGCTTAGGGCTTAGGGTTTCGGGTTCGGGTTTTGGGTTTAGCTTCGGGGGCTTTAGGGTTTGGGGTTTCGGGTCTGGGGGTTAGGGCTTTAAGGTTTAGGGTTTTTAAGGTTTATAGAGCATAGGCTTTAGCGGTTTTATAGAGTTTAGGGTTTAGGGTTTAAGGTATATGGGCTTTAGGGCTTTGTAGGGTTTCGACTCTCAAGACTTATAGGGTTTAGGGCTTGCAGGTTTTAGGGTTTTAGGATTATAAGATCTATAGCGCTTACAGGGGCTTGAGGTTTAGGGGCTCCTGGGTGGAGATGTTTGGAGTGGCCACGAGTAACCCAAGCAAGACATGCTCTTGCTAGGTATCCGTATGTTGGTCTCAGCTTTGCAGGAGCCTGCTCAAAACCCTAAACCCTAAACCCTACTTGGAGGTTCATGGTACTTAGTAACCCAATTACAACTGCACTTATCACCCAACTATAGCCACATTAGGGCACTCAAGGGCCTTAAAAATTAAAAGTGGGTTATCAGTACAGTTATCATTCAGATATAAGTACCATGAACCTCCAAGTAAACCCTAAACCCTAAACCCTAAACCCGAAATCCTAAACCCTAAACCCTAAACCCGAAACCCTAAACCATAAGGTGGAGCTTCACATCGCCACACCGTGCGAGTTCGAGCTCTTCGAACCTCGGGGACCACATGAATGAACCCGAAAGTTGGGTACACATACCCTATACTGCCTATAAATCCTATTAAGGTATATAAACCTTAGGGTTTAGGGTTTAGGGCCATAAACCCTTTTAGAGTTCGTTCGGTTCGCAAGGAACTGCGTTTCCGGGGTGGTTGGGCTCGATGATGGTGGGGAAGTACGGACCTTGCGGGTTGCTCGCGTGCCCCGTGTCGCAAGGCACCTCGTACTACCTTGCTGCTATGTCCATGCGCCAATTCGAAATCCTAAACCTAAACCCTTAACTTCCTAAACCCTACACCCCAAACCGCTGCATGTCAAAGACAACCTAAACCCTAAAGCCCGAAAGCTCCCCCTCCCAACAAAGCCCTCTAGCGAACCCGTACAACCGAAAAAACCGAACTTGAGGCCCTGAACAGCCAGCTGGAGTTGCCAAGGCCCAAAGCCCGAGCCCAAACCCTAAACCCCAAACCCTACCAACCCTCACCCCTACACCCAAAACCCTGGGAAACCTCAACCGTTGGTAGCGACAGCTTCTTGAAGCCCCAACAAGAAATTGCCCGCGACATCAGAGTAGAAGCAGGAATAGGAATCTAAGGGATCTTCTACCTAAAGCCCTAAACCCAAATTAAACCCAGAAACACCAACCCTAAACCCTGAACCCTAAACCGCGGCTCCTTCAACCATTCAGGGAATTTGGGGGTCGACTGTAGTTCCCTTTCTTCATTGGCCTCGTCCAAACTGCGGACCTGCGTTAGGGCTTCGGGTTGAGGGTTTTGGTGATCCGAAGTGTCGAGGGTTTAGGGGATCAGCCGGCTGATATGGCTCACAAGGCGCTAGGTACATGGGGTTTGGGGCTTTAGAGTTTGCAGGCTCGTTTCAACCCCCCTAAACCCTAAACCCTAAACCCTGAACCCTAAACCCTAAACCCTAAACCCCGAACCTTTTTGGTTTGCTCTCTGCGGGATGGTGTAGGGCCTCGTCGCTCAAAACATGCAAGCGGCGTGATGCGCTTCGGCGGATGCACCCGGAACCAAAAAAAGAAACCTGTCTCGGGGCTCTACCTTGGCCCCTTAGGGTTTAGGGTTTAGGGTTTAGGGTTTAGGGTTTAGGGTTTAGGGTTTAGGGTTTAGGGTTTAGGGTTTAGGGTTTAGGGTTTAGGGTTTAGGGTTTAGGGTTTAGGGTTTAGGGTTTAGGGTTTAGGTTGTACCGCTGGCTTTTGGGGCCCCTTTTCAAGGATCCCTAAGGCAAAATAAGGGCCATACAAGGAGGATATTCAGGGGAAGCTTTAGGGCTTGGGGTTTAGGCTTCAGGGGTCATGGCTCATGAGTTAGGGGTTTGGTGGTTTGGGGTCATTGTGTGCATGGGGCTTTACGGCTTTGTGGTTTACAGGATCAAGGGATGAAGACTCGTACCCCTAAGGTTGTACCCCTAAACCCTAAACCCGTAAAGCCCTCAGCCCTACGCCCTGTAAAGCGTAAAGCCCTAAGCCCTATAAGCCCTAAGCCCGAAGCCCTAAGCACTAAGCCCTAAGCCCTTTAAGCCCTAAACCCTGAACCCTAAACCCTTCCGCGTCCGCACGCGTGTGAGGCCGGGCCTTCCACGGGATCTCGCCATATGGGACAGCGGTCCACTCCCCGCCTTGGTTTTCTTGAGGGTTTAGGGTTTAGGGTTTAGGGGTTAGGGGTTTCGGACGGTTTAGGGGTTTAGGGCTTAGGGCGTTGTAGGGCTCAACTTTTTTAAATGGGCTTGTGGGTTCCTGAAGAGGGTGCCCAATTTTGTTGGTAGAAGGGGGCTTTCAAGGGAATCCAAGCACCGTCCCAGGCTTAGGGCCCTTCGCAGGGCTTAGGCTTTGAGTAGACTTTAGGGGAAGGGGGGAGCCCCTAAACCCTAAACCCTAAACCCTAAACCCTAAACCCTAAACCCTAAACCCTAAACCACGATCCCACGATAAGACGCAGATAAAGAGGGTGCAAGATTCGGATTCAAGGATATAGGGTATCGCATGTCTTGCAAAGTGGTGGGGGGGTTGCAAGTGACATAGTCCCCCAGCTTGCACTGCCATCCTCTCGGGCAAAATTTAGGGCTTACTTTTCTACTAGACCCAAGAGTAACCTAGGAAAAACCGGGTGTCCTTGTTGGTTTATGTAAAGGGGTTTATAAAGGGAACCTAAAAAAAAGAGCAAGGGCCTACTCTGGGTCCTAATTTCTAGGGTCCTGCGCTATTGCATAGTGTGCGGGTGAGAGGGCACACAGCAGCCAAGAGAACAAAGAGAGCCACCGGCCACTCCAAACCCAAACCCTAAACCCTAAACCCTAAACCCTAAACCCTAAACCCAAGAACATCACTGCGCCCAACTAGGATTCACCGTCTGCCCGCCTGTGCAGGACGCCCCCCCAAAACTGCATAAGATCCCCATGAGTCCGACAGCCCGAAAGGCACAACCCCAAAACTAATCAACAAAACAGCATTTCGCCAAACCCTAAACCCTAAACCCTAAACCCTAAACCCTAAACCCTAAACCCTAAACCCTAAACCCTAAACCCTAAACCCAAACTCTGCTACACTTCTCCGAAATCGCAACCCCTGATAAACTTTAAGTTCCAGTTCCCGACACCTCAGCCAAAGGGCAACAAAGGGCAGGTGACCTGGACTGCTTGGAACGACGTGCTCCACGAGCCGAAAGGTCGGAAGAGAGGAAGAATGTTTGGGTTCGGAGTTTCAGGGCGCAGGGTACTTGGAGGTTCAGGGTTCTGAATAACCCAATTATGACTGTACTTACAACCCACAGATCAGCCCTTAAGTCCCTGAGGTGGCTACATTGGCGTATAAGTACAGTTATAAGTGGATGATTAAGTGCCATGAACCTCCAAGTTTTGGGGTTGTTATAGTCGAATTCTAATATAGGAACCATAAGGGAATGGGGTTTTCGGGGGGTTATTGTAGCAGAAATATATTGGAACCATAGAGGAATACTACTCGTAAGTATTCCGACCCCCATGGTGCCATCCTTTCCGCGCGCTGATCGAAAATTCGTGCGCCCGTGGCCTGGTTTTCAGGCGCAGGCGTAGCAAACACAAGTGGCCAGCAACCCCCTAAACCCTAAACCCTAAACCCTAAACCCTAAACCCTAAACCCTAAACCCTAAACCCTAAACCCTAAACCGCCGCACCGCTCCTGGCCTGCTCAAAGCATGGTTGACACGACTCTTGTGACACGTTGTAGGCCAGAAGCCTCTCGGCAAAGATGTCCTCGTTGAGGGTTTAGGGGTTTAGGGGTTTAGGGGTTTAGGGGTTTAGGGGTTTAGGGGTTTAGGGTTTAGGGTTTAGGGTTGCTTTTGCATTTCACAAGCTCACTACCTCAGCCCTGGGTTTAGGGTTTGCGGTTCAGGGAGGTATGTACCCCTAAGGGTCCATGTACCTCACTCTTCTACACGTGGGCCTAAGCCGAAGCGCCAGAAAGCGTATTTGTATATCAAGTGTTGCGTTCCGTTTTTCGGAACATGGACCCTTTGGGCGACATAGAACCCTAAACTCTAAACCCTAAACCCTAAACCCTCCTTGGCTCCGTTGTATAAGATGCGGTCCACCGGATCTTCGAAGCCACCGAGCACTGAGGTGTCATACAAGTGGAGGCTGGAGTCCTGGGATGGCCCTTGAAAAGCCCTCAGTGTAGGGTTTAGGGTTTAGGTTTTCCTAAACCCTAAGCCCTTTTTGAATCCAGGCTCAATCCTGTCCAGCTGGGAAGTCAGTCACACCCGTGCTCTGCACGAGGCAAACCCTAAACCCTAAACCCTACTGAAGGAAACACAGAACCAAGGGGTTCATATAAGGCATATCTTAGTTAAAAAATCTATCTATACATATATATGTATAGAGAGAGAAAAACATATACATATATATATATAGCGCTATATAGGGGAATAAGATTAAGGGTCGCTTCTAGAAATCCCTCCTTTTACACCTTAAGACTGTGGGGACCTGGTAAAAAAAAAATGAGCTACATGGGCCCTTAGGGTATACACCAAAAATCCTACCAAGCCTCTAGCTCTGACCAAAAATGTCCCTAAGCAATTACCCTAAACCGTAAACCCTAATTTTGCCCCTAAACCCTAAACCCTAAACCCAAACCCTAAACCCTAAACCCTATACCCTACCAAAAAAAGGGGGGTGGGAAAACACAAAGAGTGTCCCCTTGAAAGGGTGTCCGAGATTCTTCTCCGTAGGTCGGCCGGTTATCCAAGAAGTCCGCGGCCAGGCAATCGCCCCCAAACATCCGATGGAACAGGCACCTGGGACTTAGGGGTTTAGGGTTTAGGGTTTTTAGGGGGGTTTAGGGGCTTTAGGGGCTTAGGGCCTTAGGGGTTTAGGGGCTTAGGGGTTTAGGTTTTGGCGTTTAGGGTTTCGGGTGTCGGTCGGATTTCGGGGCTTCGGCCTAGGCACATGGAAAGGTCCCACTCCTCCATAATCCCAACCTTGGCGTTGGCAACAGCAACAACCATTTCAATGAAGGGCACCCTATTGTTGGTGCTGGGGTTACTGAGAAGGAACCATAAGCCCTATGAACCCAAAAAAACGTAAACCCTATGAACCCCTTTTAGGCCGTACAAACACCCTAAACCCTAGCCCTAAACCCTAGCCCTAAACCCTAAACCCTAAACCCTAAACCCTAAACCCTAAACCCTACAGACTTCCGGGCTCCCCAAGCAGCAAATGCGAAGCCCTCTCGAAGTCTGGCCACTGCAAGGTTAGCGTCCGTCTCCTGGGTTGGGTTTGTGAACAGAAAGGGGTTTAGGGAGGTTCAAGGTAGAGGGTTTAGGGTTTAGGGTTTAGGGCTAGGAAAAGGTTTAGGGTTTAGGGTTTAGGGTTTAGGGTTCTGGGGTCCCGTAGAAGGCCAAATCTGGAAATTAAACCTCCCAAAGGCCCACCGAGTCTCTGTAAGCTCCAGGCAAAAGGGTGGTAGTGGATCCATTACTCCACCATTCATGATCTGACAAGTCATGAAGTGCTCCACTTTCTTTGCATACCTCGGTCGCTCAGTAAGCATGGGTATTTAGGGTTTAGGGTTTAGGGTTTAGGGTGGCAGCTCAGCCTAGCTGCTGAGTACCCTGGGCCAAAAAGGTTAACCTTTCAGTTCTGGTCGTTTATGTACCCCCACAAGGTTAAGGGTTACCTACTCAGCTACTTAGTCAGTAACCATGGGTATCTAGGGCTTGGGGTTCTTTTGTTTATTATAAGGGAACCTTGAACCAAAAAATGGGGCGCAACCGGGTACCGCTGCGCTACCAAGATACGATGCCGGGCTGTCCCCGTCTTTCACACCGTGGGAAAACTCAGTATCGTAGAATGCCGAGAGAATGCGCTGAATTGGCTCCCGGAAATTGGCGACGAGGTGACCTGGCGCAATCGCTGGGTTACAGTATGAGTCTTGGAATGAAGAGGTTACAGATTGTACTCTGTACCCCAAACCCTGAACCCTAAACCCTAAACCCTAAAACCCCAAGCCCTAAAGCCTAAACCCTAAAGCCCCAAGAACTGACAGAAGAAGACCAGGGATGGAGACACGCCCCCGCCTTTGAATTCAGTCTCGTACTTGTCGCCGATGCCCATGTGGGTCGTGTCTCCGTGTGGCTGACAGACAAATTTCTTCGGATCGCACCGATTCGGGCAGTCCATGAACTGGAAGCCTATCTCGAAGTGCGGTCCATAACGCTCCGTGTCGATGTTGAAAGAGTGATCAACTCCTGGGCACACGCCTGGGAGATGGATCAACGCATTGAGAAATGAAGTTCCGCACTTGGGCGTGTGCATCCACTTGAGCGGCTCGGCAGCTAGCAGCTCTGGCGTTGCCGGCGTCACGACATCGCTCATCACCTTGCCCGCGCTGCCTGCGCTTCCGCTGCCCAGCTCCACGAAATTCGGTTCTGGATGCTTCTGCTTCAGAGCAGAGGCTGTGGCGTGGGTCTTCTCTGGGACAGCAAGCTGCTTCGAGCCTTTCTTGAACATTGCACCTGCCAGCACGAAGGCGCTAAGGAATATGTAAACCCTGCACGACGCGGCCATGGTTTGTCGGCTTGGCGAGGCAGGTCGTCTCTGAAACTATGGGTGTTCAGTCTCGAGGTCGGATCTGGCTCGTGCCAGAATGCTTCGCGGCACCTGCTTGAAGAAACTTGTACTCCAAAATACCGATACACCCTGAAGACACCAAAACTTTCAAAGTCTAGTGTTAGACAAACCCCCTGAAACCTAAACCCTAGGCCCTAAACCCCTTTTTGCACCCTAAAGCCTTTCTTTGGGCAACGGACTTTGGAGGCTAAACCCTAAACCAACCCCTAAAACCCCTGACCTTGCCAGCCTCTGCCTGTTTTCCCCCACACTGACAGGGACAGAATGGCGAAACGAAGCGCAATATGGGGATGTCCCGAAAACAGGGGGTACCCGGGTACCCTCCCCCATAATACTCAACTCATTTTGAAGCAACAAAAGGGTACCCACATTTTCTGAAGCCCCCAAAACCTGTTGACTCAGAATCTGTTTGGTTTTGGGGTAGTGTAGCCTTGGAAGTTTATGGTCATTCCTCAAAATGATGGGTCCCTTTTTGGGGCACCCTAAATAGGGGCCGCCATATAATAGGACCCTAATTAAGAGAATCCCGAAGGGAGAATGTCGCGCATATCAATCAGTGGTAATTGAATTTTGGGGGTTCAAGTGTGCGACGAGTAAAGCCCCTTGCTCAAAACCCTCACTGGGTTTAGGGTTGACATTATAGGGTTCACTCTATCTCGTGTGCGCAGAACTGGGTGATTAAACCCTAAACCCTAAACCCACTTCTGCACGCCGCTTCTTTTCGATGCTCCTTTGCCTCCTGCGAGGTACTCAAAAGCAGCCGCCTCTGCAGAAGGTGACTGACGCCAGGGCCGTCAGTTGATGTCGGGGCACGCGATGGCCGTACGGGGAATGCTGTGCTGTCTCGCTGTGCAGAACACTTACTCGGATGGCCCATAAGACCCTCTGAAACAAACTATTCCTTCTTCGACCCTAGAATATGGGGTTTAGGGTTTGGTTTTCGGCTTTAGGCTTTCCCTTAGATTCTATAGGGAAAATATAAGATATCCCCAGGTCCTACCCAGGCTAGGATCTTGAGGGCACGGAGGTCCCAATCAGAACAACGCAAGCCACGTGGTGGGTTTCCGACAACTGTAGTGTTTCCTTTTCAGGGAACCCGAAACCCGAAACCGTTTCCTGTCAAGAAGGTTTCTTTCTAAACCCTAAACCCTTAACCCTAAACCTATAGTCAGGGTTTAGGGTTTCGAGTTGGAGGGTTGAAGGTTCTTAGGGTTTAGGGTTCCCTAAACCAGGGGCAGACCTGAGATTTAGGCGACTCCGCAAATTCCATCCTGTCAGCTTCTCATCTTCCTCTTACCCTCAGCCCTAAGCCCTAAGCCCTAAGCCCTAAACCCTAAACAACCGCCAAAACGTGGAGCCTGCAATGAGTACCTGGGACCCTTTTTACCTACAGTTTTAAGGGTATACCTGCAAAAAGGGGTACTTGTACTACTAGTCTGTAGGTAAATAGGGTCCCAGGTATCACATGACTACTGCACATGATGAAGGAGGGTTTTCGCTTTGAGTTTCCACGTGTGGCAGGCCCCTCAACTCTAAACGCTACAAACCCTAGAAGTCGAATAAATCGCGCAACCCTGCAAGCCCCATGTCTCCCATACCAGCCTCCGAGAGTTGGCAGGTACATGAAGGGGGGGGCGAACAAGGGCCCCAGACACCCCAAGTAAGGAACAAAAAAAAAAATGCACCTTCCCTGCCCCCTAAACCCTAAACCCTAAACCCTAAACCCTAAACCCTAAACCCTAAACCCTAAACCCTAAACCCTAAACCCTAAACTAACCCCCCCCCTCAACCCTTCAGGGTCCGGGTGATTCCTGTACCATACTTCATCATACTTCACTTAGTTGTCCAGGAACCTGGGGGAACTATAAGGGTTAACCTTTGGGATTATGAGGGGATTATACTACCCCCAAAAGGTTGAAGGCTACCCACTCTACTACTAGGTCTACAGTCCTCATCTCCACCAGGCTTACCGGTGCCCACTTTTGAGTCTTGCTATTTGGGTTTGTTCTTTTTTTTGCTTTTTTTTTTTTTTTGGGGGGGGGGGGGGGGTCAGGTTTGAGAAGGGCCCACGGGTTGCACAGCCGCGAAACATACCCCGAAACATACCCACGAAACATACCCGGGGCTTAGGGTTCGCAACCCTAAACCATAAAACCCAAAACCGTCAGCCCTTGAGCGGCTTAGCACTTGGTGGCACGTTGGGGACCCGGGGCCCTCGACGTCGGCTGCCACCCTCTAAACCCTAAACCCTGTCAGCCCTCAACCCTCAACCCTAAATCCTCAACCCTGAACCCTAAACCCTAAACCCTAAACCCTAAATCCTCAACCCTGAACCCTAAGCCCTAGACCCTGCAGCGTAGGGAAGCTAAGAGCTTAGGGAAGTCTAGGTGTTAAAACGGCTGTAAGGGAAGTCTATTTAGGGTTTAGGTAGGTTTCCAAAAGGCTGAAAGTGCCATCGCAAGATGAAGAAGAGGGTTTGAGAGCTATTCGCGGCTGGGCCGGTCACATTGTGGTTTGGAAGGTGTAGAGTTTAGGGTTTAGGGGGTTTAGGGGGTTTAGGGGGTTTAGGGGGTTTAGGGGGTTTAGGGGGTTTAGGGCGTTTAGGGGGTTTAGGGTTTAAAGTTTGAGGGGGGCTTCGTGGCCATCGAGCCTCCCGACGGTCTTTTGGTCAAGCTGTACGTCCGTCCCGCCGCGACCGCACGCCCGATCGTCTGACTCAGACCCAGTGGGGTTTAGGGTTTGGGTTTAGGGTTTAGGGCTTACGAACATACGGGACCCCCTAAGAAAAGACCCCCAAATGGTAGGCCAACAAGGTACCCCTAATTTCGGAAACTTCCAGGGGCTCCAGCCTTTTGGTTAAGGCTTGGGGTTTGGGGCTCTTAGGTTTACAGACTGTTTAGGGTTTAGGGTTTAGGGTTTAGGGTTCAGGTTGGGGGGATCTGCCACTGGGTTGAAACAGAGCAGAACGACCAACTGAAGAAAACCCTACCGCATGAAGCCCAAGATGCCCCTCTCCTTAACCACATGAAAGCCAAAAACAAAAACGCCCGAGCCAAAAATCGCACGCAGGATTTTTCTAAGAATTTGGGGGTTCTTGGGGCCGCCCTCAACAAAAAAAATGCCTCCCCCCCCCCCCCCCCCCCACCCCAAATATGCAAACAGGAAACCTGCCAAAATAGATCATACCATGTTCATTTACGATAAACACTGTCCTAAACCCTAAACCCTAAACCCTAAACCCTAAACCTTGGGTCTCATGGGGCTGGCTGATGTCTTCACAGGTTCCGGGAAACTGCAACCTACTTGAAGGTTCATGGGTGGTTATAAGTAGGGGTATCAGTACCCTAAAGGAGGGTTTATGGTTTAGGGTGTAGGGTTTAGGGTTCAGGGCTTGAACCCTATGAAACAACAGGTCCAGTCAACGCCGGTGGCGGCCCGGTCGCTATTGTTTGTACAGTTTGGCGCGTGCAGCAGGTGTGGCTGCCAAAGTTGCGTGGTTTAGGGTTTAGGGTTTACGGTTTAGGGCTTAGGGCTTGACATCTTAAACTTAGTAGCTCCTATGTACTGGGGAATGAGCCTTCTGTTCCCCTTAGTTTGGCCCTTGAAAGGACGGAACGGGGGCACTACTTCCCTCATTCCCGTTTCAGCAAGGATGTAGGGTCTTAGCCGGGTGCAGTTCAGAGTCCCTAAGGGCTTTTACTTTCAGGGCTTAGGGTTTAGGGTTTAAAGTTTGGGCCGTAAAGTTCTTGCTATACAGGGACTTCGAGGCCCAAGTATAAGATAATGAGGTGCATGGACAAGTGGGGTGATGTCCCCGAGCTGCGCAACTTTGCTTTATTGCGTTTCGGGTTTAGAGTAGGGCTTGCGAGGGAGGAGTTAGACGGGTGGTTTTGTGTACTCTGTTTTTTGAAAAAAAAAAACAGCAGGTAAAAGGGTTGGACAGAAGCACTCTTGGGAAAACGATCCCTTCATGATATAACTTACGCGATATGCAAGAGCTCAGCTTTGCGTGGGCTTCCCCGGGCACATCTGTTTGGAGCTGTTCTCTTGGTGTAACTTTCGTGCGGTGTCTCTACTTGTCCTCGGGTCTCAGAACAACTCAGAACTTCCTAACATGCACAAAGTGTGTCTAGATCATAGACGAAGAAGGGGTACTTCTTGACTAAGTTGTGGAAGTACTGGTGGGAATGTACAATGCACTTGCACTGCAAACCAAGTACTTGCTCACTTCTAGTTCATGGTTGGGATAGAATTAAGCATCCAAATGTCCATTCCTTCCTGAGTTGAAGTACCCTTAAACATGAATGCAAAGTGTTACCCGACTATGACAAAGACTTTGGCAGGTCGGAACGAGCCACCAATCGTGGCTTCCAAAGGTGTTCCGTGTGCCACGCCTGCTGCTGCTGCCGCTACTTCCCGCTCACGACGTGATGGAAACAGTGAGCGGTCTGATGCAAGCCCAACCTTGCAGTTTTTGGGTTTAAGGTTTAGGGATCTGTTCAAAAATTGGTCTTGTTGAGGGAAAGAGGGGGGGGGGGGGAGGCGGCTTCTATTCTGTCCAGGGTAACCGTTCTTGGTCTCGAAACACGATAGCCCATGCATGGCGGTGGAGTCGAGGGTTGGTGGCTTTGGGGTTTAGTGTTAACCCTTTTGATGGCGAACCTTAAGGCGTTGAGGTTCGGCTTTTTGGGGCTTAGGGTTTGGTGTTTCGGGTTTGGGGTACCCTGTCTCCTAAGTATGTCGGGAACATGTACGAATGCAGCACAGGGACTCTGAACGCATGACGCTAGCGACGGTGAAAGTTCAGGTCAACAGTGTCACAAGTCGAGTCGAGAGGCCGGCTCAGGCTGATTTCTGCACCTTGGACACGCAGGCTTCAGGTTGTTTAGGGTTTAGGGTTTAGGGTTTAGGGTTTAGGGTTTAGGGTCTATGCCATTGTAGGCCCCAGGCAGTGCAAGAGCACGACGGCAGCACACCGCAAGCGTTACGGGCTTTTAGGGTTACGGGCTGTGTTAGATTCGAAGTGGTCCCACCGGCTCCACTGCCAGCATGATGGGAAATCAACCAGCTGGGTTGGGTGCAAGTTGTGAATTAACACGTTGTGCTTGGCGCTCTCTCGCAAAGAGACACACACAGACCTTGAATCCTAAACCCGAAACCCTAAACCCTAAACCACCCACCCACCAAAACCACCTGCCCACCCGCGAACGCAGGCACCTGCACACGCGCGCTAAACCGGTTTTGGGTTTAGGGTTTCCGAATTCAATACCCTAAACCCCTGCTTTTTTTGCATCCGGACTCATAAACCCTAGACCCCAAACCCCAAACCCTAAACCCTCAACCCTCAACCCTAAACCCTGAACCCCTAAACCCTGAACCCTAAGACCCCTGCGCTAGTCTCAAGCAGGGTGCTGAATTATGGCCTGCTGGAGGTTCCTGTCAAGTTGCCTGCGAAGCTGGGGATGTAGGATTTAGGTTTAGGGTTTAGGGTTTAGGGTTTAGGGTCTAGGGTCTAGGTTTTGGGAGGACCTCTGCCGTTTGTGAGTCTGGGGCAACTACTACTACGAGTTGGCACAAAAAACCAACAAAAGAAAAAGTACTCTTCCTTCTGAGGTCAAAATGTGGATGATTGTCCTCTTTTTTCTGGGGGTTCTCAAGCACATGGTAGACTGGAGACCAAGCGTAACCCAGGAACAAGTTTAAAGGGGCTTATAAGGGACCTAAACCCTAACAAAAAGGGAATAAGGGCCTACTCTGGGCCCTAAATTTTAAAATTGAAACCCTGGTCCCAGGGTTTTGGGGTCCCAAACACACATTGCCCTTCGCCCTGGAAGTCCTCATGCCTCTCGGTGGTGTGGAGGGCTTTGGGGGCATCTGGGGGTTTAGGGTTGAGGGTTTAGGGTTTAGGGTTTAGGGTTTAGGGTTCAGGGTTTGGGGTTTAGGGCTACTCGGGTTCAGGGTTTGGGGTTCGGGATTAGCCCGGACAACCTGAGCCCTCAGCCCTCACACCTTCAGCTGCCAGGAAACAAGGACAACAATGAATGACAAATGTGTGTAATGTATATATATATATATGTAGTCTGGTATATATGTAGTCTGGCAATGAGGGTCTTTTGTGTATATGTTGTGGGGGGTTCTTAAGCAAACAGCAGCAAGTTCAGGGCACTTTGGTCAAGCTCTTCTCCTTCCGGCTGTGGCGGCGGCAGAATGTCTCGATCCGGTCCCATGCCTGTCGCTATTCAGGGTTGAGGGGGCCAGGGCTCCTCGGTTAGGGGGGTTTAGGCTTTTTGTCTTTGGGGTTTCGGGTTTGGGGTTAAGGGTCAAGGGTCAAGGGTTGAGGCTTGAGGGTTGAGAGCTGAGGGTTTAGGGCGCTTCTATGGCTTACAGGGCTTCCCCGGTTTATAGACGAGAGGGCTAGGTATCGAAAGTTGCCCGTCACGAGCTGATCCTAAGCTGGATGTAAGCTTGGGGGGATGGATCCCCACAAACAATATATGGGTGGTTGTCAAAATCACGATCCCTTTTGGGGTGCCCTAAATATTAGGTGCCGTATTATGAGAGGCTCCAAAACAGGGACCATGTTGACAACCACACATCTACGTCAAACTAAAAGGTTCGTTTGCAGCTGTACCACTCCGAAAGGGGGGGGATTGTAAGTGTGGCAGCTGCAGGCATCTTACCTGGGGTACAGGACTTACAAACCCTAGCAATAAGACTCTAAAGCCCTAAGACCCTAAACCCCAAGACCCTAAACCCTAGGAGTTTAGGGTTTAGGGTTTAGTTTAGGGCCCAAAACTCGAGGACCCTAAACCCTCAGCCTCTGAGCCATACTGAGCCTTGAAGTCGCCTGCTAGACCTTTAGGGTTTAGGGTTTAGGGTTTAGGGTTTAGCCGAAAACCCTAAATCTTCCCCACGGGCTTATTGTGTCATAGGGATCCGAAGCCCTCTACCCCAAAAATGCTAGTAGGTTGGAACACTCCTTCAGTTTAGTCGAGCTCCAGGTGACTCCACACCCTGCCTAGGTACTTGTGGCGGAAGCCTATTTTGGCCAGGAGACAGTACAGGCTTGGGCAACCCTGAACCCTGTACCTTGTACTACGCTTAACCCCTAAACCCTAGACCCTAAACCCTAAAAGGTTTCAAGTACATAGAATATACCCTAAATGCGATGCGCCGACGCTCCTCTTCTAGTACCGTGTCAGGCGCGGCGAAGACGACACCTTCGTCTTGGAGCAATGGGATTGGTTTAGGGTTTAGGGTTGTTTGGTGCAATTTGGTGGTTTTTGGGTCGTTTTTGTACAATTTAGGGGGTTGTAGGGTTTTTGGTGCAATTTGGAGGGGGTGTAGGGTTTTCTGGTACAATTTGGGGCCTTAGGGTTTGGTTCTGGGATTGAGCGTCACGGCTGATTAATGCCTGACCGGGCAGCGGAAGTACCCGGGAGCCGCAAAACACTGGCCAGGCAAGACGGCGACGGACCTGACGCAACACTCAAAAACCTTCTCGGGTGTAGGGGTTTTAGGGGTTTTAAGGGTTTTAGTGTTTTAGGGGTTTGTTGGTGTCAAGCAGTTCATGGCCCAAGACCCTAATCAAGGCCCCGGCAGCAATAAGTCTCTCCAACCCTGCACCTAGGGCTTACGCCATGAATCCGGCTCTGATGCGAACGCCAGTACGATTCGTTCTGCCCACCCTAAACCCTAAACCCTAAACCCTAAACCCTAAACCCTAAACCCTAAACCCTAAACCCTAAACCCCAGACCCTACTAAGGACGAGGGGTTGGAGTTTCGGCTTAGCTCTCCTGAGTCCCAACACCCTACACTTGGGATGCTACCCCTTATACTAACAATCCTTACAGTGGTAGGGTTTAGGGCTTAAGGTTTAGGGTTTAGGGTTTAGGGTTTAGAGTTAAGGGTTTAGGGTAGGAGAGGGATTCGAGTACCCCCAATTATAATCCCTACTAAGGACTGTTAGCAGAACGGGGAACATCCCAACCCTCAAGCCTTAAGCCCTAAATCCTAAAACTGAACCCTAAACCCTAAGCCCTAAGCCCTAAGCCCTAAACCCTAAACACTCAATCTCAACCAAAGATCTCTTCCTCCAGAAGCTTGCTAGCCAGCAGGACATCGTCTGTGCCGAGGTCCAGGGCGTTCGGCTTCAAACGCACCATCAAATACCTGAGTGTGGGGTTTAGGGTTTAGGGTTTAGGGTTTAGGGTTTAGGGTTTAGGGTTTAGGGTCCAGGGTTTAGGGGTTGCTGCAAACTTGTGGTCAACATGTTGGGATGTTTCCCGCTTCGTCCTTAATCGGGATTACAATTGGGGGGGGGGGGGTACGATAAACCCTACTAAGGACTGTTCTTAAGAGGGGCAACATCCCAACCAACATTGGTCAACTAATTATAGGAAGTTGTAGTAGAAGCACCATAACTCAACCCAAGATGGCGCCCAAACCCCACACCCTAACCACCCCGCCCCCTCCCGCCAAAAAGGAACAAACTGAACAAGGGCCCTTAGTGCCCAAACCAAAACCAACCCCCCCCCCCCGTCCACCCTCCAAATCGAACCCTAAACCCGAAACCCTAAACCTCGAAACCCTAAACTCCCTAAACCCTAAACCCCCAAACCCCAAACCCTAAACCCCTAAACCCCTAAAACCATAAACCCTAAACCCATACACCCATAAACCTTAAACCCCCAAACCCCTAAACCCTAAACCCCCAAACCCTAAAACCCTAAACCCCAAACCCCTAAACCCCTAAACCCCTAAACCCTGAACCCTAAACCCTAACCCTAAACCCTAAACCCTAAACCCTAAACCCTAACCCTCAAACCCTAACCCTAAACCCCCCCAAAGATGGGGGGGGGGGGGGGGGGGTCCCGGAACACCTGCTGACAGCAGACATCGCGCCCTGGGCCTCCGAAGCGACCTCGGCGCTCTACCCTAGCCTAGGAAGGGTTTAGGGTTTAGGGTTTGGGGTTTAGGGTTTGGGGTTTAGGGTTAGGGGTTTAGGGTTTAGGGTTTGGGGTTTGGGGTTTGGGGTTTAGGGTTTAGGCCTGAAATGGCCTGCTCTGGGTCCTAGCTACGTACGGTTCAGGGCGTTGAGTGTTTCTTTTCTTTTTGTTTAGGGTTTGGGGTGTTGAGGGTTGAGAGTTTAGGGTGTTGAGGCTTGGTTGAGGGTCGAGGGTTTAGGGTTTTGGAGGTTCAGGGGGTTTAGAGTTGAGGGTGTTGAGGTTACAAGTGGGGTTACAAGTAGGGTAACTATACATACAACTGCTTATAACCTCACCTAGGGTACTTAAAACTCCACTTACAACTACTCATGAACCTTCAAGTAAGGTTTAGAGTTTAGAGTTTAGGGTTTAGGGTTTAGGGTTTAGGGTTTAGGGTTTAGGGTTTAGGGTTTAGGGTTTAGGGGTTTGATTTGAGGACTTTGGTGGTTTCAAGGGGCGTTTGGGCACCAGACCCTGACGGGGCTGCAGGGTGTCGGGCTTGAGGCTGACGGGTCGTGGGGCTTGGGGGTTTAGGGCTGTAGGGCTTAGGGATTCTAGGGCTTAGGGTTTTTAGGGTTTAGGGCTTTTAGGGCTTAGGGGTTTTGAGGGGTTTAGGGTTTAGGTTTTTAGGGTTTTGAGGGGTTTAGGGCTTTAGGGTTTTAGGGTGATAGATACGTCCGTGCCTCCAGCCCCGGGATGGAGCTACACCGCCGCATGCAACACTGTGCCGAGGCCTTCGGGTTTCGGGTTTAGGGTTTAAGGCGAGGGTGTGGCAGTCAGCTGCTGGTGATTTGCGAACTTATCAGCCGCAGAGATCCTACAACCCCCCCAAGCCTCCCACTGCAAAACCCCACGCAAGGTGGAGGTGCTTCTGTGTTGAATTTCTATCACCCTGACCAAATTCAGCTGGGAACCGCTGCAACCATCCTAGGGCACGGAACCAGCCCCTGTTCCAACTCCCCAAGCGCGCGAAGCAACCTGCTCGCGCGCGCGCGCGCCCGCGACACATGCTCAACAAGTCCTCGAACCAAAGTCGTGGAAGACAGCCATGAATCCCAAAACTCGAATGAAGCCGCTAAGGCCGAGGGGTTTCGCCTTGACACATTTGACAGGATGAGAACATTTGTCAAAGTCACTTTTACACCATGCCATGCAAGCGATGACATGAGCCCGCGCAAAAAACCTGCCGGGGCGTGATTTCTCAAAAACTCATCTTTATCATTGTCATAAAATGGAAGAGCTGGGTGGGGTCGGGGAGCTGCCCTAAAGCCCCCAACCTAACCTGGACCCTCCCAAAGAGTGCTCTTGAAGCTGCTCTTCAACCCTTCAACCCTTCAACCCCTCATGCAGGTACTCATGAGGTCCCTTATTGTGGGGGGGTGGGGGGCCCTTGGAGGATCTTCAGCGTTTATAGGGTTTAGGGGCTCAGGTTTTTTTAATGGGGTTCCGGGCTTAGGGTTTTTAATGTGAAGCCTAAACCCTAAACCCTAAACCCTCCCTCCCCCCCTGCGGAGCCTCGAGGGCCGTCAGGACTCCGTTGTGCCAGTCGCAACCGCTGGGTGCCGCAGCAAAGATCTCAGGCAAGGCACCCTGGACATCCAGGTGCCGACTCTTTTTCTCGAGGCTTTGCACCCAAAGGCTGCTAATGTGGTGCTTCTTTGGTGTGGTATCCTAAAGCCCCCTAGAGCCCTAAACCCTAAGCCCTAAGCCCTAAACCCTAACCCCAAAAAGAAAGTATAGGGTTCAGGGTGATTCTAAATCTTAAACTCTGAAGCCTGAAGATTAAGAGAACCCTTGGCATGAGGATGCATCGGGCGGCTTGGGGGTTTAGGGTCTAGGGTCTAGGGTTTGGGGGGGGGGGGGGGGGGGGGGGGGGGGGCGGCGTCCGGGTCCATGGCTTCTGTGTGCAAAAGGCACCCGATGCGTTTTTCCAACATCGCACAGACACAGCTCCCCTAACCCTAAACCCTCAACCCGGTGTGTAACCTCATATTTCGGAGGCGGAGGTCGAAGGCACACAAAAAAGCATGGAGCCTCCTGCCGGAACCTGGTCACACGAAGCTGGAAAGGCTCAGGCCCAGGTGAATACCTGGTCAACCCCGACCTACGCGACGCGTGAGGCCCCGCGGACGCCTGCAATGCTGCTTTGAAGGAGGTCCACTTCTTGCTTGAACGCACTTTGAACCCTTACCCCATAAAGCCTATCCCTGTGAACCCCAAACCCTGTAACCCTCAACCCCAGAATCCCTAAACCCTTTGAGCCCCAAACCCTATAATCCCAAACCCTATGATTCCCTACAATCCCTAAACCCCTTTTAACCCGAAACCCTATAAATCCTAAACCCCATGATCCCTAAACCCTAAACCCTTAATCCTACGTGCACAATCCTAAACCCTAAAATCCTAACCCCTATGCTCGCAAAAAAACCCGTTTAAACCCGTAAAGCAGCGCTATGCCTGGATAGGTGCCGCTGGACCCAAAGACACCTCTGCCACGGAACGGGGGGGGGGGGGGGGTTTAGGGTTTAGGGATCATAGGGTTTAGGGTTTAGGGTTTAGGGCTTGGGGGGGAGGAGTTTTGAGGCGTTCTGGATCAATGGGGTCATTACGTCAAACTAAGGATGATTAGGAGGGGATGATTGAGGTTCATGATGGTGAATGAAGGCTGATCTTGAGTCAATTTGGCATTAAGCTCAACAAAGTGTACTTGCAAATGCAGCGCGACTAGGGGTAAACACAATCAATGAAGTGGAATTGAGGGGGAACATTTGGGGGGGCAGGTGGGGGGGGGGGGGGGGGATCCTATCCCTAAACCCTATCCCCTATCCCATAAACCCTAAACCCTAAACCCAGGCGGCTTTTCGAGAGGGGGCTAGGGCCTGAACCCTCTAAACCCTAAACGTCGCTTCGTGCCTGGCAAAGCTTCAAGAGCGTGTCTGGCACACCCGCGGCCGCCAGCGCCCCGTCTGCATCGTGGACTGCGATCCAGCCCACTCTCCAGCCTGCGATTCTTTAAAGGGCTTGGGTTTAGGGTTTAGGGTTTAGGGTTTAGGGTTTAGGGTTTAGGGTTTAGGGTTTAGGGTTTAGGGTTTAGGGTTTAGGGTTTAGGGTTTAGGGTTTAGGGTTTAGGGTTTAGGGTTTAGGGTTTAGGGTTTAGGGTTTAGGGTTTAGGGTTTAGGGTTTAGGGTTCAAGAGCTCCTGGTCGAGCAGTTTCTCGTTTAGGCTCTGTGTTTAGAACATCGAAAAATACCCACCCACCCGAAGTTCCCATAACATTAAGCAATAAAAAGTTTCTTCTTTTTATTAGGATGGTTCAATAACAAAATGAATGACTTCCACTTAACAAACGAGGAGGTGGAGCACGCGAGGCTTTGAAGTCTTGAAATCTTAAACTGAGGCTCAAACCTTGAAAAAAATTTTAAAAATGAAAAAACATTGTGAAAAAGGTCACGGAAAAGTCTTGAAAAACTTGAAAAACACAAAAACCCAGAAAACGAGAGGCCACCCAGAACCCTCGATTTCAGTACTAAAAATTCGTGTTTTCATTGCGGGCCTAGGCCAAGCCTGAGGTCCCTTTTTGGGGTGTTTTTTGAGGCAAACTTTCCCTCTCAAGGGGGGGTCGGAGTTTTAGGCACGGAGGGTCTCCAAAGACTATTTTGCCTTTAAAATCCAAAAATACGACCCCCCCTTGACCGAAATTAGGCTGTGAAAAGGTCACGGGGGCAGCCCTTCCTCAGAAAAACCCTGAAAAAACCCGAAGAAACATGGAAAAACCTTACAAAACATGGAAAAACCTTGAGAAACCCTGAAAAACTTGAAAAAACACGGCGTTGAGGCCTTGAACCCTAAACACAGGCCTTGAGGCCTTGAAACCCTAAACGCTGGGCCCTGAAACCCTAAACACAGGCCCTGAGGCCCTGAAACCCGAAACACAGGCCCTGAGGCCTTGAAACCCTAAACGCTGGGCCCTGTGGAAACCCTAAAACACTAGGCCCTTGAGGCCCTGAAACCCTAAACACAGGCCCTGAGGCCTTGAAACCCTAAACGCTGGGCCCTGAAACCCTAAACACAGGCCCTGAGGCCCTGAAACCCTAAACACAGACTTTGCTAAACACAGGCCCTGAGGCCCTGAAACCCTAAACACAGGCCCTGAAGCCTTGAAACCCTAAACGCTGGGCCCTGGAACCCTAAACACAGGCCCTGAGGCCCTGAAACCCTAAACACAGGCCCTGAGGCCTTGAAACCCTAAACGCCATGCCTTCCACCCTTGAGGCCCTGAAACCCTAAACGCCAGGCCTTGAGGCCCTGAAACCCTAATTAGGGTCTCAAGTGTTTAGGGTCTCAAGGGTTTAGGGGCTCAACGGTTTAGGGTCTCATTGTGGGCCTTGGGCCTTGCCCACGAATTTTTGGGCCTTGCCCACGAATACTTGGGCCTTGCCCACGAATATTTGGGCCTTGCCCACGAATACTTGGGCCTTGCCCACGAATATTTGGGCCTTGCCCACGAATATTTGGGCCTTGCCCACGAATATTTGGGCCTTGCCCACGAATATTTGGGCCTTGCCCACGAATTTTTGGGCCTTGCCCACGAACCAGCAACCCCAGAAATTCGTGGGCAAGGCCCAAAAATTCGTGGGCAAGGCCCATTCGTGGGCAAGGCCCAAAAATTCGTGGGCAAGGCCCAAAATCCGGATTTTGGGCCTTGCCCACGAATATTTGGGCCTTGCCCACGAATCTTTGGGCCTTGCCCACGAATATTTGGGCCTTGCCCACGAATACCATTAAGGTTTATAATTATATGGTAGGAGAGGTTCAGGGTTCAGGGTTCAGGGTTCAGGGTTAGGGTTCAGGGTTCAGGGTTCAGGGTTCAGGGTTCAGGGTTCAGGGTTCAGGGTTTAGGGTTTAGGGTACTCTCCAGCCTGCGATTCTTTAGGGTGCTTGGGGTGCCTGTGCTTAGGTCTAGGGTTTAGGGTTTAGGGTTTTGTTTGCCACCCGTCTAGCCATGTTTGGGGTCTAGGGTCTTTAGGGTTTAGGTTTTAGGGTTTAGGGCTTCTGCGGCACCATCTCCGAAGAGCGAATATCGGGCGCCAGCATGAAACATGACACAGCACCGCAAGCCCAGGACACCAAGCAAAACCCCGGCACCCCATTTGGGGTTTAGTAAAAAGGGTTTGTGACGTGGTTCATTGACCTTGCTAGGAATTCTAAGAGTATATATGACCCCCCCCCCCCCCCCCCCCCGGTTTGAATTTTAGGGTGCAGCTGGTCCCCAAACCTGCAAGCAACCCCAAACCCCAAACCCCAAACCCCAAACCCCAAACCCCAAACCCCAAACCCTAAACCCTGAACCCTAAAGAACACAGATCCTGGAGATCGGTCCTGGCGCTAGCCAGCGCTTCGAGAGGGCGCAGACCTTTCGTGGCGAGAGCTTCGCAAGAAGGTTTAGGGTTTAGGCTTTGGGGTTTAAGGTTTAGGGTTTAGGGCACGACATCAGGGTCCGGGGGTTCAGGGCTCGGAGTTCCTACGGCCATTCAAGCCTCTGTTATTTGTTACATACATATATATATATATAACTATATATATATAAGTATATATATATATATATATTTTTTTTTTTTTGTTTTTTTTTTGGGGGGGGGGTTGGAAACATATGGGTTTAGGGTTCACTATATAGGGCATAGGGTTTCGGGGATTGGGGCAGTTCAACCACGACATGAAGGGACTCGGCTCCGGTATTGGCCTGCGCGGGCCTTCAGTTTAGGGCTCAGGGCTCAGGGTTTAGGGTTCAGGGTTCAGGGTTTAGGGTTTAGGGTTTAGGGTTCAGGGTTCAGGGTTTAGGGTTCAGGGTTTAGGGTTTTCGGGCGCTGGGGTTTGGGATTTGGCCTGGGTCAAACGGATCCCGAAGATCTTACTTTAAGGCTTTGGAAGTCTTAGACCATCTGAAGCCCCAAACCCTAAACACGTAAACCCTAACCCACCCGCCCCGAATTACCCTAATCACCTCTATTCCCCTAAACCCGAAACCCTGAACCCTAAACCCTGAACCCTAAACCCTCCTCTGCCCAAGCGGCCGAGAGAATTGGGATGCTGGCTGTGGCCGCGGCGCAAGAAACGAAGGGCCTCAGGGGCGCCAAGGCGTTTAGGGTTTAGGAACAAACTCACATCAATACAAATATAGTAATGGTAGTTAATGACTACAACAATCATCCTTACATAAAAACTTCAGAAACCTCGACTAAAACCCTTCTGAATCCAGGCCTCATAGATGCCCGTTTGAAGCCTAAACCCTACGCAAGAAAGAAAGCTCCGCGGTTTAGGGTTTGGGGTTTAGGGTTGGAGCCATCTTTGCACAGAGAGGCCTGGAGAAGCTCATGTCCGCATAGACCTGGCTCTTGCGTTTCGAAGGAAGGCCCTTCGACCCTCGGAAGGATGTTCGGAGGGGGATACTTGCAGCCCACCCAACAGTGCAACAAGGGAGGATGCAAATAACATCCAGGGTTTAGGGGAAGGGTTTAGGGCTTAGGGAAGTTTAGGGTTTAGGGTTCAGGGAGTGTTGACGGCTTGCGGTTTTTGGACCACGAACGCAGAAGCAAAGCGGGTGTTGCTTGTGCTTAGGGTTGGAATCAAGGTACTACTTGGATGTTCATTGTACTCAATACCCAATTCTTACTCTCACAACCCACTTGTAGGCCCCTCAAGTGCCCCAATGTGGTTGTAATTGGGTTACAAGTACAGTTATAGTTGGGGTTATTAAGCCATGAACCTCCAAGGACTGGGAGCGGAAGGGAGTGCTACAAGTACCCCACTACAGAAGACGGCAGCAAGTCATAGCAACAGTTGCCCAGTGTCTATCCGCGAAGGTGCGCTGTACGTACTTGCACGAGTCAGCACACGGTTTAGCACTAAGCACTGATCCCGGTCAGCCTGAGACACCCTGAAACCCTGTCTGTTCGCCTCATCCGCAATCACTGGAAGACCAAGCTCCTCTGCAGTCGACAGCACCTAAGCTCCATCTGGATCTTCTGACGTTTGCAAACCCCCCCGTTGGCCCCTCAATTCAAAACCTGCCCCAAACCCCAAAAAGCTTCAAACCCTACACCCTCAAATCAAACAATGAGCCCTAAACCCTGAACCCATATCCTGAGCCGTGAAAAGCGCTACGCTCATATCCGCCGGGACCACCAATGCAGAAAGGGCTTGGGGTTCAACAGGGGGTAGTTTAGGGTTTAGGGTTTAGGGGTGCATAGTGTTTAGCGTGTACCTCTAACTCAAAACCCGAAGGTGTTTTTGTCCCCTTGACTGCCAGGGGACCCCAGATAGGGTTCAGGGCTTAGGGTTTAGGGTTTAGGAAGTCCCTAACCCCTAAACCCTAGGGTTCAGGGAGCTTCCCAGTCCGAGGCTCGGCCACCAGATGCTCACGCGTAAAGACCGCGCCGCAGGGGTTGGAGGGGTTGTTCAGCAGCAGGGCACAGGTGTTCTCATCCTTGTTGCTGTTGGTGGGTTTAGGGTTTAGGGTTTAGGGTTTAGGGTTTAGGGTTTAGGGTTTAGGGTTTAGGGTTTAGGGTTTAGGGTTTAGGGTTTCGACTCTCACACTGGCATAAGCGGGCGAGGCAAGTCCTGTCGAGATCTCCAGAGTGGGTGCATTGACCACCAGTAACGAACCAACCAGGGTCAGCATTACCACCGACGGATATTCAATGCCAAGCCACAATACTGAAGAGCTGACCCCTGATCGATCCCAGACAAATAGAAAACAAATTGGTACGTGTCCATTGGCCGACAGAAGTTCTTTGACCCAGTCGGCGTGTCCGTTTAGGGTTTAGGGTTTAGGGTTAGGGTTTAGGGTTTAGGGTTTAGGGTTTCAGGCGTTCACCCTTGGCCTGTTGAGGGCTCCGTTGATTCCCGTGACTCTCCGGCCCTCAACCTTCTTCTTCCCATGAGGGGCTGCAGTGCATCCTGCCCTGAACCCTAAACCCTAAACCCTAAACCCTTACAGACCCTAAACCCTAAATCCTAAACCCTAAACCCTACACCCTGAACCCTAAACCCTAAACCCTAAACCCGAAACCCGAAACCCTAACCCCCAACCGCCCTTTTTTCGCTTCAGGTCTCCTGAGGTGCTCTGCCTGTGACTGAGGTGGGAGGCTCGTGACTTTGTCAATTTAACTCCCAAGCTCCTAAACCCTAAACCCTAAACCCTAAACCCTAAACCCCAACCTCGTAAGCCTTAACCCCTCGACCCCAACCTCCTAAACCTTACGTTTCGGTTCGCAGTCGAGAAGTGCCCTGTAATCCTAGAAAATGGCGTAGCAAGCGTCCCCGATACTTCCCCCCTACGGGGGTACACCAAAGTTGCTGAGTCAAGGCCCGTAGGCTCCAAAAAGCCGCAAACCTCACTGTTACCTCACTGTTTTTTGGTTCAGTTTAAACCCTAAATAGCAAAGAATCGTATGAAAAGTTCCAAACTCGGCAGCCAAGGTTTCGAGTCCTCCAGACGGGGTTTAGGGTTCAGGGTTTAGGGTGGTGTAACTTATGCTACACTTGTGGTTAGGGTTTGCGCCAGTAAGCTCACTTGCAACCCATACGTAGCCTTAAACCCTCAACCCGTTCGCAGCACGCGCAGGCCGTGATGCACCTGCGCTATGGGTACCTCACACCCTGCATGCACCGGGCCTTGCATGCATTCGCACCATGTGTACTGGCAACCTACCGTGGATGCACAATGAATGCGTTCACACCCTGCGACACTGGTAACACGCGAGGTATTCTGACGACTTTAAACCCTAAGCCTAAAGTCCTGAAGCCCTGAGCCCCAGACAGTTTTTGATACTAAGTTGTGATTCGCGAGCTCGTACGACTAGGTCTTAAAACTTGGTGATTCGTCAAGCCGCCACCAGCTTGGCAATGCCCCCAATGTCGCACTGCCTTGGTATGACAGACTCTATGCACAAGGCCCCCTGCAGCCACAGCTGATGCCCTAAAAAACCCTAAACCCTAAACCCTAACCCCTAACCCCTAACCCCTAAACCCTAAACCATAAACCCAAACCTAAACCCTAAACCCTAAATCCGACATCCCTAAAGGGACACATGGCGAGAAAACCCTCAGATCTGTACCTGTACTGACATCAAGGACGACAGAATCACAGCAGGCACCTCAAAAAAAGGGGGTCGGAATCAGTGCTATTCATGCTCCCTTACAGTCCCTAGATAAGTAAATCAGTATACCCTAAACCCTAAACCCTAAACCCTAAACCATTCCCAGACCTCTGGTAAAATGATTCAGGCCCCTATGTTACAAGCATCCGAGTTGGGCTGCCATCCGCAATCGGGAAGGAGGTCGTAGTAACGCACTTCCACGCCGTGATACTCACCTTGGCGAAGGGGCCGCTACTTTGGGGACCAAGTAAACCCTAAAATTGGGGTCATATATCTTCTACTACTATAACCCCTATTAACGTACATGAACCATAAACCTTTTAGGGTCCATTGCGTCCCCCAGGTAATAACCTGCGCGGGCTCTTGCTGCGCAGACGTGGTTGGGTTCAAGATTTGTGCCACGCTTCATCAGATCTCTCAGTGTGAAGTCAAAGAAGAAGCGCACAACCCCTCTATGAAGCCAGACAAAAGCATGAAGTCAACACGCTTTAGTGCATCCCACCCAGGACACGGGGTGACCAGCAACTGTTGATGCTCGGCAGCCTGTAACACGCGTCTGGGTAAGACAATGAGTGGAGCCCTGGTCGAAAACCGCTATCTGGGCTGCGCCGTACCTCCTGGAGGCGGTTCCAGGGCCCCCAAACCCCAAAACCCGAAAATTCTACACCCCGGACCTGCTGTGGGACGGCCCAGCCACACATAGCAAGGGCGCAATGAGAAAGCCAACTTCTTTGTAAGCCTTTACTTTACAGGCCCTATAGTATCCCTTGAACGTCGGCTCTGTGGGCCAAGGCAAACGCCAGGACTTGCGGCCCCCAACTTACGGTTCATCTGGGACCTGAGCTCCGTACTCAGGAAAAACTAATATGGCGGCCGCTTCCATTTTGGGAGTACCGATTGTAGTACATTCCCAACTTCCCGGTTTAGAAGAACCCCCTGAACCCATAACCCCTAACCCCTAAACCCCTAAACCCTAAACCCTGAACCCTGAACCCTGAACCCTAAATCCTAAACCCTAAACCCTAAACCCTAAACCCTAAACAAACTTCGGGCCGATTCCAAACCTGCCAATCTAAAAGCAGGGCCCCGGCAAAGGACGGAGTACAATGGAAAACCTGGTCGCGGCAGCAGCATGTTGCCTAGGTCCGGCTGTAGTCGCTAGAAGCTGCGGGGGTTTAGGGTTTAGGGTTTAGGGTTTAGGGTTTAGGGTTTAGGGTTTGAGAGGGTATGTGCGGTTCGGGGATCATGCGTCCACATCATCAGGCCCCATTGGCAATTGCCGAAAAATATCCGACTGTAGATCTCACCCGAAGGTTACCCTCAGCTTACTGGCCCAAAACCCAAGGAAATAAAAGTTGAAACTTTCAGAATAAACTACCTTATAGGAAGCCCAAAAGTTGAAAAGTTGGGTTTTGAGCCAGTAAGTCAGATTGGGCCAGGTAAAGAAAAGGCCGTAAATACCCTAAGAACTACCTGACGGTACTGGGTCCATTATTCTGGTCCACCCCCCTACCCTCAAAAACCCTAGCCCCTAAACCCTTCTCTTCACCCCAAAACCCTAACCCTAAAACCCTAAAAACCCTAAAAACCCTAAAACCCTAAAACCCTAAAACACTACAACACTACAACCTAAACCCCTTCTTGCATCTGGACTGCAGGAGCCACCTAAATCCCTAAACCCTAAAACCCTAAACCCCCAAGCCCCGAAATCCCGAAACCCTAAAGCCAAGACCTTTTTTTTGAGCAACGGACTTTGGCGGCCAAAACCCTAACCCCAAACCCCCAAAAACAAGCCCCCTAAACCCTAAACCCCCAAACCCCCCAAAAACAAGCCCCGCCAAGGGCAGCCCGGGGAACTGCCAGGCGCCGCGAGGGCGGCGATGCAGTGCGAGAGTGCCTCACAGCGTGGGCACCGTGGAGCTCGTAGCGTGGGCCCTGATAGGGGACCCCTTACATACTATAGGGTTTAGGGTTTAGGGTTTAGGGTTTAGGGTGTAGGGTTTAGGGTTTAGGGCTACTATTTCGGGCAGTTACATGGTCCCCCAATATTGGGGATTTCCGAGAAATAGGGGTTGTTGGGGGGGGGGGGGAGGGGGGCCCCTTGTAAAAGGATTGTGTTCGTCGTATTTTGGGGTATATAAGGGGTACCCCTATTTTCGGAAATCTCCATATCGAAACTCAAAAGGAGACCTCCTATATACCCAGTTATATACCGTATAAAACCCACGGGCCCTTACTGCAGAAGCCTTTACAGAAGGTAAGGGGCCAAATTCAGGGCCCACATAAATGGATTGGGCGAAAGAAAAGATGTTACTTATCAAGGGAGTCATGCTCAGACCACTCGGGGTTTACCCTCTAAGAGGTTCTCTGAGTAACCTCCTACTCTGGCCCTATCTTGAAAAAGGGTCCCCAAACCCAAGGGTAGAACCTTAGGTGGACCCTAAGGTAAAACCCCATGAGTTTAATCAAGTAGGCTCCCTACACCCTACATACATATCTGTGTATACATATGTATGTATGTATATATGCTACCATATACATACATATATATATATATACATAAGCCGGCAGTTTAGGGTGTAGGGTTGTTGGGTTTAGGGGTTGTTGGGTTCTACGGTTGCTTGCCACCCTAGCAGAACCAGCCGCTTGACCAGGGCGAGGCCCTTGCAGACGAGCCCAGGGATCGTTGGCCTGCTTTCTTGGCAACACGCCCATCTGGCCCAAGGTTTAGGGTTTAGGGTTTAGAGTTTAGGCGTCCGGTATTGCTGCTCCAGGTCCACTCCGCTCGGAGCAGGGCGCGGCTGAGTGCACGCTGGACACCGTCCACAGCGCACGCGCGGTGCCGTCTTCGGCTTCTTGCCTCCACCAGCTTCCACTGCCGCCGTTATGCGCTGCCCCCAAGACTGCCTGAAAACTCCCGGCCCTCGACCTTAAGCCCTAAGCCCTAAGCCCTAAACCCTAAGCAGCAGGCCTCCGAGCAGCCCAAGGTCATGAAGACGTCCTGGGGAGAGACATCAAAATTCGTGAAGCCCTTTTCACCCTAAACCCTAGGTTTAGGGTTTAGGGTTTAGGGTTTAGGGTTTAGGGTTTAGGGTTTAGGGTTTAGGGTTTAGGGTTTAGGGTTTAGGGTTTAGGGTTTAGGGTTCACGACTGCTGTAGACAGTACACAAAGCTGAACACCCCGCCACCTTCTCCCGGTGTGATTTCCCGGTGGTGTGTTTCGGGGTTACAGGATTTCGAGTTGATGTTTTGAAAGCCTACCTTTTTGAACCCTGGGTATAACCAGGGTTTAGGGTTTAGGGTAACCCTGGGTATGACCAACCAGGAGCCTTTCAAGTGGCCCCGATTATAAAGCGCTCTGGACCTGGAAACGGCGCCGGTCTAAACCTTGTAAGCCTTTTTTTCCCTAGACCCTTCCCGTAACTCAGAGCTCTGCCTCAGCTAGGAAGGCTTGGGATGTTCCTCGCTATACTAACAGTCCTTAATAGGGATTCTAGTACCCGCCACGATGATCCCAAAGAGGGACTGTCAAGTCTAAAGGGGAACATCCACAAGGGTGGCCCTTAAAACCCTCCCAAACAATATTCCGATCCTCTCAAACATATCAAGTTATCCCAAAGGGCCTCTAAACCCTGCAACCCTCAACCCTCAACCCTAAAGCCTGGCAAGCATCACACACGGTTTGGGGCCTACACAGCTCACCACAGAGCCCCAAACCCTACTTGGAGGTTCGTGGTACTTAAGAAACCCCAAACCCTAAACCCTAAACCCTAAACCCTAAACCCTAAACCCTAAACCCTAAACCTAGCCCACATACAACCACATCGGGCACCTAGCTTACAAGTGGGCTATGAGTACAGTTGTAATTGGGTTATCAGTACCATGAACCTCCAAGAAAACGCTACACTCTGCGAACCCTAAACCCCCACACCCCTAAAAACCTAAACCCTATAAACCCCGAACCCTGATTAAACCCCATAAACCCTAGAACCCGAAACCCTATCAACCCTGTACACCCTGAACCGCACACCCTACAGACCCTAAACCCGAAAAAAACCTGAACTTTCTATACCTGAAACCCTAAACCCTAAACCCCTAAACCCTAAACCCTAGACCCTAGACCCTAAACCCTAAACCCACTTCAAAAGGCCTGGGCTTGCAGTGTCGGCCGCCCCGGGGCCGTGAAGTGCCGCGCCACCGCCTCGCGGCACACGAGGCCTCGTCCCAAGGCATTGGGGGGGCGAAGGCTCGGGTTTAGGGTTTAGGGTTTAGGGTTTAGGGTTTAGGGTTCAGGGTTCAGGGTTTAGGGTTTAGAAATAGGGTTTAAAAATCCTAAACCGGGGGAAAGAGAAGCTGACGAAGCTTCGCCAAGTTGCTGCCCTGGCTCGGTTGGTAGCCATTGAAGCGACCTGAGCCAACCTCGCGAGGATGATCTGTTGAGGTCACAAGGGGCATCTGTGCTGCTTTAGCTGGGTTGGCCTTGAAGCCCTTTGAAACATGTGTATTTGCAGGGTCCCTTCTGAAACCAAAATAAGGAGAATGCAAAACGCACAAAAAACCTAGTTAAGGGGCTTGGGCCTTTAGGCTGCCTGGGGTTTATAGAATGCTGGGAGCCCAACAAGTCGGAAAACCCCCTCAACTCAGGGATATCCCAGAGGATTTTCCCCTCTGTACATCACTTGCAACAGAGACCCCCGGCACCCAAAACTTAAACCCTGAACCCCCCTAAACCCTAAACCCGAAAGCCTAAACCCTAATCAGGGGTGTCTACCTCGGACCCCTGATGCACCCTTTGGTCGCGGAGACCCTTGTTTAAGATCTGAGGTATATGAGGGCTTTAGTAGGAGTATATTCAGGGAAATCTTTAGGGGCACAACCTTATGGGTACGGGTCTTAATCCCTTGACCAAAAACCTTAACCCTAAACCCTGAACACTAAACCCCAAACCCTAAACGCCCTAAGCCTCTGTCCTGCACACATCCGAGGGGCCGCTACTTGGAGCGCGTCGATCATTGCAGAGCTTGGGCAGAGATGCCTGGGTTTAGGGTTTAGGGTTTAGGGTGTATAGGGTATAGGGTTTAGGGTTTAGGGCTCCAAGCTGCTAAACCCCCATGTGCTAAGGCCCCCCCCCCTCCCCCCGACCACCCTGAAGCCGCAAGAAATTTTGGTTAGGGTTTAGGGTTTAGGGTTTCGGGTTTAGGGCTTAGGGCTTAGGGTTCAGGGTTTAGGGGTGCAGACCCAACGCGGCTACCTGCGCCGCCTGCGCCCCCTGTGCCACAAAGGTGCGGATAGCTGGTCGGATCGCCTTGGGCAAGCCTGAGGTGGGTTTTAAACAGGGTTTTCGGGCCGAGGGGTCTCATAAAGGATCCTACAGTTGAGGATGAGGGTTTAGGGTTTAGGGTTTAGGGTTTAGGACCTTAGGGGACATTTGACCTCGGCGAATGTAGGGTTTAGGATTACAGGATTCCACAGTAGGGGACGACGTGGGTTTGAGGGGTATAGCTTGTCCTTCGACGATATATGCCTTTTTGAGGGTGTTCACTACCACTATCACCACCACGACTGGTAAGAATAAAGATAATCGCACTACCACCACCACTGCCAGCATGGTTCTATTTTTTGAGGTAGCGTGCAGGGTTTGCGCCATCCAGAGCCCAGAGCGATGAACACAAACTCCCGTAGCAAACTTAAATTACACATTTAGGGTTAGGCTTCAGGTTTCAGTTTTCTGAGTTTGCCCAGTACGACTTGCAAAAGAAGACTTGTGGCTAGAAGGGTTACGCGTGCTGCTTGGTAAGTTTCGGGCTTAAACCCTAAACACTAAACCCTAGACTCCCTAGACCCTAACTGGACACCCCTATTTTTCAGAACCAAGGGACGACACAAGCTTCTTCGTCGGGTTCTCCTTGGCACCGGCTTGGCCAGCTTTTCAAGGTTTCCTAAATCCTACCCCCTTATACTAACAGTCCTTCATAGGGATCATAAAAAAGAGGGTCTGATCCCTATTGGGGACTGTTAGTAGAAGGGGGGACATCCCAACCTCAACCCTAAACCCTAAACCCTAAACCCTAAACCCTAACCTCTTAAACCCAAAAGAAGGAAGTCGGGAGCTCCCACAGGCGCTGAGAAAGGACACCCCGCGGGCAGGAAGTCTGGCAACTGCGAAACCCTAAACCCTAAACCCGAAACCCCAAAACCCTAAACCCCCCTAAAAAACCCTGCAGTGAGAAAAGAGTCAGAGGTTTTAGGGTTTTAGGGTTTAGGGTTGGGGTACAGGGTTTGGGGTTTAGGGAGCAGAATGCCAATAACAAAACAAGTGGTCATGATAGTAGCAGATGGTAAGAACAGCGATAACATAAATGACTACACAAAGAGCCCTCGGCGCAAACCCTACCCACATTCCCCGACACAGGAACCCAAAAAAGCCTTGAAACCCTCTGAAAAACTCCCAGACGTGATCCTCTTAAACCCAACAAAAGGGTAGCCCAGTAACCATGTTCTCATAAGGGCACCCTTTTGGGATTGCCTACTTCTATAAGGAAACCTTGAACCAAAAAGGATGAAAAGGCACCCCTGGGCTACCAAGCTTATCAGGGCCGAATATAAGGGACTTAGTAGTTAGACTAGGGTTTTGGGGGCTATTTATAATATACTTACAAAGGGACCAGAAGGGAAGATGATTAGATCAGAAAGTATTCCGACCCCTATTCCGACCCCTATAGTGCCCAAAAAGGAATGTGGTGCCTTGCCCGACACCGAGTCCATGATCTCCCGGATGGGGTTGCGGATGTTCTTGGCGTGCTCGCCCACGCGGATGCGCCACCTTCGCTCCGGGCGCTCAGGCTTCCGGGACGGGAGGGTAGGGGATCCGAAGTGTGGGTTTCTTAAGTTGGGTTCCCTGTTGTCTAACCCTTATATACACTATACCCATGGTTCCAACCCTAATTAGAGAGGGGGGGGGGGAGATTTTGAAGATATGTGTTTGCTCTCTATTGGGTTGGAAGCAAATGGCCCAGACTTCGCACCGTGCATTGAGGATTCTCATATGTTTAAGGGTATGCGGCTTAATTCAGGAGACGGGCCTTTGGGAAAAGCTGCCGCAAGACATGATTGACATCGCTATTGGTATGGGCCCCATATTCATTCCTCAGATATGTCCTTGCGGTTCATGACCTTGTTTTCGCAGCAGAGCTGCTCAGCCCCTCCTACTGCACGCCTTCTAACGTCTAAGTTTCCCCAGTGGATCGTGCACCCTAAACCCTACACTCTCAAAACCCTAAACCCTAACCCGACACTCTAAACTCGAAACCCTAGACCCAAAGAAGGGCCAAGGGTCCTCCTTGAAAAGCCCCGAACTATGACTGCCCGCGGACCAACAGCTCTGCCAGCTCGCCACGTTGGAGTAAAGACTCTTTTAAAAGGCCCCGGTTCTATACCACATATATATATATATATATAGAAAGTACCCCCAAAAACAAATTTCAAAGAGAGTAATCCCTATATACCTTTGCAAGGAATATTTTTCTATTCTTTTGAGGGATCTGAAGCAAAGAGTAGAAGGCAAACGCAAAGATCACCCGAGAACACCCTTCTTGGGGGGGGGGGGGGGGCGGGGTCTTTGTTTTGAGGGCTTCGAACATCCAGCTCTCCTCCTCCACGTGTGACCAGTTGCGACTCGAGGAGTTTACGGCCAAGGGTTTAAGGCGGTTTCGGGCTTAGACTGCAGGGCACGTGTGACCAGTGGCTTCCTGGACTTTTTGCCTGCCCCCCTTTGATGGAGTTTAGGGTTCCGCGTGTAAGTTGGGAGTTTGGGATAGTCTGGGTTTAGGGTGGTGTGGCCGCATGCACCCAGTCCTTCTACCCCAAAACCCCAAAACCCAAAACCCTAAACCCTAAACCCTAAACCACCACGAGTAGCAGGCCTCTTCCCGCTTGGCATCCCGCTATCCACTTTCCTCGGCCGCTTCCTGACGTTTTCTCTGCTCATCTTATGGGTCAGTCATCTTTATAAGGCTTTACTACTCATTGCTTAAGAACCCCGAAAAAACCAAAAAACAAATCTTCCTTATTAAGGGTAGTATAGGGATTATCCCAAACCCCAAACCCCAAACCCCAAACCCCAAACCCCAAACCCTAAACCCTAAACCCAAAAACCTTAAGCAAAATAGTAGTTTAAGGTGCAGGAACTTGCAAAAACACCCTCAGCTCCAGAAGTCCCTAACTCCGGGAGCTTCGGTGGGTGAAGAAGGCACGGACTTCTGAAACTCGTGGCGTTAGGGTTTAGGGTTTAGGGTTGAGGGTTTCGGGTTTAGGGTTTAGGGTTGTTCCTCTTATGCTAACAGTCAACTGTAATTCCTATAAAGGACTGTTAGTATAAGGGGTTTTGTGTCGAAGTCCCGAAGCCCTCAGCTATCAACCCCGAAGCTTCAGGGAAGTGGGCTTGTGCTTTCGGGAGCGGGCAGGGCCGCAAGGAAGCTAGCCGAGTGCTGGGGGGCTCGGCGGCTTTGTTGCGTTGAAGCGTTGAAGCCCTGCACCCTGGGCTCATAAGGTTCCCTCCCTCCACGGAAGCTTTAGTGGCAGCTTTGAGACCTAAAGCAGGGTGCAAAAAAACACACACTTGGCTAAGGTCAGTAGACCCGGTTAGCCATCCTTAAATGGTTGGGTTCATGTCGGCCCAAAGAAACCCCTAAACCCTAAAGCGGCTGCCAGGCCGAGAAAATCGGCCAAGGTTCAACGGATTGAGTTGGAGGGGCTCCAGCACAGTAGTCGTGCCTGTGTTGAAGGTCCAAGTTAAGGTTGAGGCTCCGGGGTTTCAAGAGAGTTCAGAGTGTTTGAGTTGCCCAAAAACCATAGCCCAAGGGGAAAACTCCTGATTTCCCAAGGGTGTTGGGGAGGTCTGTGCAACTTACTTCTCCTATAACCAAAAACTAAAAGGTTAAACTTCACAAATGATTCTTCCTACTAAATAAAGGAAACCCACGATGTTTAACGTTCAACTACTGGCTAAGTAAGTAAACTCCCTGAAAACTATCCTAAGTATGGTCCTCTGAACCTCAAGACCCCCCCCCCACCCCCAATCAGCCGATGCACTGACCATGACAGTAGCCATCGCAAGCGCAAAGCTCGAGTTCGAGCGCGCGGGTGCAACCCACAGGCTACTGATTCCTGGGCAGGTGCCGCAGCCGAAACAGCTAAAGGATTTGGGTTTAGGGTTGAGACTTTAATAGGGTTTAGGGTTTAGGGCTGCTTCGGGTCAAGGGTTCAGCATCTCAAGTCAAAGCATTCAGCAAGTCAAGCTGCTACCCCGGTATCGAATATCTACCCACCCACCCCGAATCTTGGCCTTGAAAAGGAATGGGGGAGGGGAAGGGGGAAGGGGTGGGGAGGGGCAAACCCTAAACCCTAAACCCTTGAAACGGAATGTGGGGGGGGGGGGGCTCGGGGAAGGGCATTTCTAGGGCCAGCCGTTCTTCGGCTCCTCTGGGTTTGATGTTGTGGCTGGGCGATCGTTGAGGGGAAGTTCTCGGATACTACTTTTTTTTCCATATCTTCATCGTCATCCTGCACCAGACTAACGATTAACCAGAACTTCCAGAATCCCTGAAATGACGGGCTCCTCATCTGACCCAGGGAATATTCCTTCACCATAAAGCTTCTGGAAGTTCCATAACCCATGCCGTGCGACCTATCTGCGACAGGACACCGCATTCAAGAACAACTCTCGGCTGTGAGAGTCGGTCAGAACGAGAGGAGTTTGGGGTTTTTCGGGTTTGGGGGAGGTACAGGGGGGGTGCGATTTGAACCGCTGCATTTTTTGGCACCCGCCTAGTGTGTGAGGGCGTATAACCCTGAACCCTAAACCTATAGGGTTCAGGGCTTAGGTTGAGTGTCGGGGACTCTGGGGGGGTAGGGTGTCGGGGTTACGGTTTTGGCGGCTCCAGCTTGGGGTTGAGGCCCCTTGGGTTCACGACTGCTTTCAGGGTTTAGGGTTTAGGGATTGTGGTTTGAGGTTTGAGGTTTAGGGTTTGGGTTTTAGGGTTTAGGGTTTAGGGTTTAGGGTTTGTGGTTTGAGGTTTAGGGTTTGGGGTTCAGGGTTTCCTCAACTCCTCTCGAACCTGCTGTCACGAGTTCTTCATAGGGAAGGCGGGAGAAAGGCACCCTATTACCGTCCCTGTATACCCATTTAAAGAGATGCCTAGCCCCCAAAACCCTAAACCCTAAACCCTAAACACTAAACCCTAAACCCTCCCTCCTTCCCTATGAAGCACCAGTAAGCTAATGAAGCATTGCCCTTCCTTTGGAAACGGCTCAGCCTCTCCTTCGATGCGAACCTGCCCTGAGGCCCATGTCTTAGTAGCCCAGTAACCATACCTAGAGCCGTATATTATATTATGTTATATTATATTGCATTTCATTATATTATCTTATATTATATTACATTACATTATACTAGTTTATATTGCATTACATTACATGTTATATTACATTACACTATATTGTATTCTAGACCCCAAAAGGTTAAAGATTCCCTACTCAGCCACTAAGTATATTATTCTCAGGGACCCTGTTTTGGGTTGGCTACTTTATAAGGAAACCTGGAACCCAAAAAATGGGTAAAACCCTGAACTCGAAGACCTCAAGCCCTAAAACCAAAGACCCGAAACCCTAAAGCCTAAACCCTAAACTCTAAGCCCTAAAACCCAAGACCCCAAACCCTAACTCAACCTCAAATCGGTTCGTGCCCGCGGCTCACATTGGAGCTGCACACCTGCCCGAGGCGGACTCACAAGCGTGGGTTCCCATGTAACCATCAGTTGGATTTGTAACTCCTATAAGAGGGTTTCTGCAAGCACTCTCTGCCGCAGCAGGCTCTCCTGTAGAGGTTTAGGGTTTAGGGTATAGGGTTTGGGTTTGGGGTTCAGGGTTTAGGACGTATCCAAAGCAGGGGGTAGCCCTTCATGCCCTCCCGAAATGGCAAGATCCATCCGATGCGGACCCGCAATGGGGCCCAGTTTTTTCATCATCCGGGGCCCCCCTGATCTTGGGAGGCCCAGTAAACCCTTTAAGGAAACCATATCCCAAAACACAAGCCCTACGCACAACACCCATCTAAATCCTAAATTCTACCTGGAGCAATACCCAGAAGAGACTGGCGAGCTCAAGGCTAGCTTACGGGCGCAAGCATTCATGGGCAGAGATGCAACTCTTTTTTCGAACCAAAGCCTCAAATGGCTAGGGATGGCTTTGCATCCGGGTTCAGCTTGCCTAAACCCTAAACCCTCAACCCGGGGGAGGTCGACAAGCTCTTCTAACTTCTATGGCTTAGGCATTTCTTGGATTCAGGCAGTGGCACTGAGGCTCTTCTCACACAACCCGCCCTTCAAAAGCCGGCGAAAAGCTCATTCCGAGTCCACAGGTATGGCGAGCGAAGCACGCTCTCGTCATCCCGTTTCGCGAAGCCTGATGGCATGTGTTCACTTGAGGCTGCTGAATGTTAGGGTTTCTCAGCCGACAAGGATGTCTGCCTACATATACATATATGTATAATACACGCACACACACACATACATATATACATATATAATATAATAATATACTATAATATAATACAATATAATAAAAATATAATATAGAAAATATCATACAATATAATATAATATGGTATAATAAAAATATAATATAATATAATATAATATAATATAATATAATATAATATAATATATAATATAACATAATATAATATATATATATGTATATGTATATACACATGTACATACACCAGGATACCTACATCCTACCAGACGCGCCTCCCTCGAAGAGGCGCCGACGCAGCAACGGCAAATGCTCCCGTCCAAAGAACAGCTGCTCGTCGAGGATGTACCTCAGATTCTCGGCCAACTGGCTGCTCTTTCGCAATTTCGCAGCGTGAAGGGACACCCAATGCTGAAAGTGTCAGAAATAGGGCCACGTAGAAAACGTAATTTGGACAGTCATTCTCTCTCTCTCTCTCTCACTCTCTGCCGCTGCCGTGCCCGCCATTTACGTGGATTTTTCAGGGGATGATGCCGGTGATTTTCAGCCTGTGCTGGCTGAGCCCTGCTATTGTAGGCTATGCCAGGGCGCGTTGGCACGCCAAAGACGGAGCGGTTGGCAGCTTCCTGTTGCAGCACCTCGTGCAGTGTAGGGTGCAGGGTTCAGGGGCCTATCTGCTTAGAATAGGCATCCCGGACCAGTTCATATCCTGAATGCAATTATGAATGAATAGAGGGGGGAGATATTGGCTACGATTTAGGCTCCTGTAGTTCGCCTTTTTGAATTCAAGCCACACAGGAAAACGATGTTGCATAAAGTTTTGCTCAGCCTTTAAATCACGGGGTGTGTAAACTTAGTTGGTTCCTTTGATTTCGGCTTGCGCCCGTGTGTATATATATATATATATATATGAATATGAATATGAATATGTATATGTATATGCATACGTGTGTGTACATGCATGACGTTCCATGTGCCTGTGCCTGCACCTCTATGTATGTCCATGAAATTGCTGCTCCGGGATAGCTTGTTGCCGCCAAGTTGTGTGCCCTAAACCCTAAACCCTAAACCCTAAACCCTAAACCCTAAACCCTAAACCCTAAACCCTAGCAAGGCCAGGTCTCGGAAAAGCTAGCTTGAGGAATGGCCATGCTCGGACATGATCATCTTTGGCAGCATGGAAGTCTGCCCCATGCACTGGGAGTTGGATCTGGTCATTCAGGTTTTATTCGGCTCCAGGGTTGCTTTTTCTGAAGAAACATACCTATACATATATATATATAGATATAGATATAGATATAGATATAGATATAGATATATACCCTAAACCCTGAATGGGTTTAGGGCTTAGGGTCTGAAAGCTTTGACAGCAGGCGATCTCAGAAGGCAGACGGTGACGGGGGCCCTTGCGGGACCTCAGGTATGACCGCTCCGAACCAATAGGAACCCTCAACGGTCGAGGTGGGTTGAACCCTAAACCCTAAACCCTAAACCCTAAACCCTAAACCCTAAACCCTAAACCCTAAACCCTAAACCCTAAACCCTAAACCCAAGCCCCAAAACCCAAAACCCTAAACCCAATCTTGTGTCTTCAGAGAACTACCCTCCACCTGGTAGCAGTCTTCGGGTAGTTACATATGGTCCTTTACTCTGGGCCACTTTTTTTGGGGAACCCTCAATGCCCCTATTGTACCCTATAAAACTTACTTCTCCAATAACCAAGGGAAAAAAGGTTAAACTGCAGTATTGTTACTAAATAGGGAATGCCAAAAAGTTTATAAGTTCAGCTGTTGCAGAAGCAAGAAAACCCATTGGCCCATACTCTTTCTGGCCCAAAACCCAAGACAATAAAAGCTGCAACTTTCAGAATAAACTACCTTATATGAAGCCCAAAAGTTGAAAAGTTGGGTTCTGAGCCAGTAAGTACTTCCCTTAGAAGTAGCCACTAGCAGTCACTGGCGCCTCCAGCCGCGCTCGTCCGACCCCCTGGGCAAAGTCCGGAAACGACTCCGCCCTCGGGACCTTTCAAAAATTAGGGTTTAGGGTTCAGGGTTTCGGGGTTTAGGGTTTGGGTTTAGGGTTTAGGACGTTTAGGACTTAGGATGATGAAGCCAAAAAATGCTTTTGTCAAGGGCGACTCGCGTTAAGCAGGCTTACTTAGGGTCTTGGACGCTCCAAGGAACAAAACACACACCTCAAGCCCTAGACCCTAAACCCTAAACCTTCCTCTCAGCAAGGGCCAGGACCTACAGAACTTTTACCTTCCGACACCACTCTCGAGGAAGACCCCTAATCCCTAAACCCTATGGCTATAAACCCTTTTAACCCTAAACACCCCATACACCCTCTACACCCTCTAAACCCTCTAAACCCTATAAACCCTATAAACCCTATAAACCCTATAAACCCTATAAACCCAATAAACCCTATAAACCCTGTAGACCCTATAAACCCTAAAAAGACTCCAGAAGCCCTGTAAACCCCTAGCTTTCCAGCAGAGGGATGGGCTCGCACAAGCGCAGTTCTGCTGCTGCAGCCGTTCAGGGTTTAGGGTTTAGGGCTTAGGGCCCTAAACCCCTACTTGGAGGTTCATGGGTAGTTATAAGTGGGGTTATACGTAGGGTAACTACAAATACAATGCTTATAACCCCACTTAGAACTACCCATGAACCTCCAAGTACAAGCCCGAAACCCCAGAAAAACCCCCAAACTCCAGGGTTTCGGGCTTAGGGTTTCTAGTAGTTTCTAGGCCTCAACCCTATAACCCGATAAGCCCCAAAATCCCTCAAGGTCTGAGATTTGGGGCCTAAGTAACAAGGCATTGGTGAATCCCCCGAACCGAGCTCCTCATGCGATGGGCAAATCCTGAACCCTCAACACTAAGCCCACAAGCATCGACCCCAAACCCTTAACCCTAAGCCCTAAACCAGAAACCCTAAACCCTAAACCCCTTAACCCTTTAACCCTTAACCCCTTAACCCTCAACCCTAAACCCCAAACCCCTCAACCCTTAACCCCGAACCAGAAGGGTGTCACTTAAGTCAAAGCGGCTCCTGCGCTTTGAAGAACATGGAGCAGAGCCTTGTCAGGTTTCTGGGCGGGGGCCCCCCTCTGCCCACCCCAATGTTGGTTTAATTACTTGGAGGTTCATGGTACTTATAACCCAATGATAACTGTAATTGTAACCCACGTATAAGCCCCTGAAGTGCCCCAATGTGGTGATAACTCGGCTATAAGTGCAGCAGATATGGGGTTATTCACAACCATAAACCTCCGAGCAAGGTTTATGGTTTACATAGATTCCAAAGCATCCGAAAGACCACGTAACCACCTCGAATTGTGAGCAGGTTGCCCAAAGCCCGTCACAAGCTTCTGCACCACCCTTTCGTCAACAGCTGTATCCGCAAGATCCCAAACTCCAACATGCCCCAAGTAGAACACCGAAGCTCGAACCCTAGTTTGCTGTTCCTACTGTCACAATCACAACCACGGCGACGACGACGACTACCAGCGCTGTTTAGGCTCGAAACCCTAAGCTGGTAACACTACCATTGCTATTGCTACTAGTAGTACTCTCCTGCTAGTACCGCTGCTATTACCTCCCACCCCTAAACCCTAAACCCTAAACCCCAAACCGCCCTTCTCGCCTTGGGATCCTCCGGGTCCAGCTCCCGACGCCAGAACCTGGGCCCGCCGTGAGGCGACCCAAGGCCAAGAGACCGCGCTTTAGGGTTTATAGGGTTTATAGGGTTTATAGGGTTCAGAGGTTTTAGGGTTTAGGGTTTAAAGGGTTTGCGGTTTAAGGTTTAGGGTTTAGGGCTTAGGGTTTCAGGGTTTAAACTGACGAAGTTCCCCCATTTATTTGCTTGCTAGTCAGGGTTTTGGGCTGAGGGCTTCTTTAGGGTTTAGGGATTACTTCCTCGTTGTTTAGGAAAGCTGGTGCCTAATCTCCAACTTTTGAGGGATTATACTCCAGGTACCTGATTCTCGAATTTATAGAGTTCGGGGGCTGCTTCGCGTTCTCGGCCTCCCGCCCAGTCCGCAGCCAAAGACCCTTTGGTTTAGGGCTTGGGGTCATTTCCCTAGTAGTCCCAAACCCTAAACCCACCAAAACCCTAAACCCTAAACTCACAAAAAAACCTACACCCTAAACCCACACAAAACCCTACACACTACACCCTAAACCCACAAAAGCCCTAAACCCAGAACCCTAAAACCCACAAAAGCCCTAAACCCACAAAGCCCTAAACCCTAAACCCACACAAGCCCTTCAAACCCTAAACTCCCAAAAGCCGTAAACCCGAGCCCTCAACCCTAAACCCCCACATTAATGACCCAGGAACGGTGGCCAGAGCCGTTGCTGGAACTCCCGGAGGCGGCCCGCCTCGCCGGTTGGTAGGGTTTAGGGTTTAGGGTTTAGGGCTTGGGGTTTAGGGCTTAGGGTTTCGGGTTTAGGGTCTAGGGGGGCTTAGGGGGTTTTGGTCTCAAGTCACAGAATATGGTTTTTGGTACTGTTTCCTTATGGTGCTTGCTTCTCCAATATCCAGGGGGGGTCATAAGGTGTAACGTGATGAATCCCGGAACACAAGGAACCCCCAAAGTGCAAAGTTCCCTTCTTGGCTTGGAAAGGGTAACTTAAAGATTCAAGTTCCACCACAGACACCCTGTTTGAGGGGCTTAGGCACACGCGTGTGGGCTTGGGGTTTGGTGGGCTGACAGGTCTTATATGGGCTATGGCTTCTGTTGGGGTTTAGGGTGGGCTCGCTTCGAAAAAACTCCACATGTAGGGGCTACAACGTACCTCAGTAGAGGTTGCAATATTGGTTCACTCAGTACGGTTTCGGGATTCGCTCGCGTGAGATCAGAAAGCCCTTAGTTTGGGCAGAACCCTCATTCCTAAACCCTACTGAAGATAGTTCTCAATAGGGACTTGAGGCATCAAAGTCTCAAGATCAATGCCTAAACTCTCGAATTCAGTACCAGGAGGGGGTTCAGGGATTAAGTGCACTAGTATGGGCAATATAAGCAGATATGAGGTACCTGATTCCGAACTGGCAAGCAAGTCCTCTTGCAGCAGGTCTTACTTGCTAAGCCTACTAAGCCTAACCCCGAAGACCCAACTCCTAAGATGCTAAACCCTAATTACACCCTACATCGATTTCCTCAGCCCACTACATACATACATACATACATACATATATATATATATATATGTATTTATTTATTTATACATGCATACATATCATGCACGCCGTAAACCCTACTCCCTAAACTCTCCCCCCCAAGCCCCAAGACTTCCCAAGACCCCGCACCCAAACGACAAGCGGCCTCCGCTGCAAAGAGGAAGGCGAGGGAGGCCAATCGGGTGTCCCAGATCCTGAAATCTCTTGCATGTCAGGGGCTAACGGAGGGCGGGGCCAGAAGGGGATGGGGAGGGCGGATATCGCTGTTGCATATGCAGACTACTAAATTCGGCCGGGGATCTTGCGTGTGCCAAAGACCGTGAGTGCCGGCGTACGCTCGCCAGCGAAGCGCCGGACATTCGCGTACCTGCAGCAGGACGGTTGCCCACGCCAAGCCTGACATCACCAACGTTTCGTGATGAAGGCTCCCCAAAACCGGCCCGGCTTTCAAAACCTGCGGTTTGCGACGGAGCTTTTGTTCGCCTTACTGCTTGTAACGACATGTTGCAACGTGCCCATCGACTATCCCTGCACCTTGGGCCAGCCAGCTTCTTGGTGTTTGACCCCCCCCCTTTAAGGTTTAGGGTTCAGGGTTTATGCCGCCCAGGTGCGAGTACTTCACAGCCTTCCACTGTGCCTGGGCATGCATCCGTGCCCTGAAGCCCTTCCCAGTGCCTGGTTACCCTATACCCCAAACCCTTTTTGCATCTAGGCTGACCCTCAGTCGCCAAAATTTGGGAGGCCCGCGAAGCCTGCATGCTGCTTATGGCTTCGGGATTGAAAGCTTGTTGTTTAAGGTTTCGGGTTTACTACTTTTGCTTAAGACCAATGGAAAATGCAAATTACAATATATTTATACATATACATAGATATATACATATATATATATTGCCAATATAAGAAAGACTATTATTTTTGGATTCTTAAGGAATTAGTTTAGGCTTTGGAAGATAAGGAATTCGCTTCTCTATAAGATCCCAAAGCCGCCTAAGCCCACACCGGCTTCCTCAATTGGGATTAAGGTTTGCCAATTTGGTTTAAGATTTGGGGGGGGGGGGGGGGGGGGAGCAGAGGTTCAGGGTTTTGCAGACCAACCTCTCTGCTGGCAGCCGAGGTGCGGGTGAACGCTTGTCACTTCCCTGGCGGACCTTGTTGTTCCGCGCGCCTACCTGGCAACTCGGTTGGGGCGTTTCCGGGTTTAGCACCACATTCTCTCACTCTCCTTTCTAGAGGTCCGTAAAGAGAACTCCTTGCAACTCACGGAACCCTACAAACCGCAAGCTCCACAAGGAAACCTTGACAGATCTTAACTAGGCCAGCGTGCCTCTTTCACGTGGAAGGGGACAGCTCTCAAGGTTCAACAGAATCCAAAAAAATGGGTGCCCCCTAAAACCCAAACAACCAGTCCAGGAACCGGCAACAAAAAACATCAGACGGAACTCCCAGCACACTCGGTAAGGGTCTAGGGTTTAGGGTTTAGGGTTTAGGGTTTAGGGTTTAGGGTTTAGGGTTTAGGGTTTAGGGTTTAGGGTTTAGGGTTTAGGGTTTAGGGTTTAGGGTTTAGGGTTTAGGTTTAGGGTTAGGGTTTGCCGCTTAGCAGACGTAGACTGGGCTGGAGCTCGTGCCTCCGCGCTGCCGTACACCCCGGCAATGTCAAGGACAAAGGGCTTCCATGCCAGCTCCACGTGAAAGTCTTCCTGGTTTAGGCTAGGGTTTAGGGTTTAGGGTTTAGGGTTTAGGGTTTAGGGTTTAGGGTTTAGGGTTTAGGGTTTAGGGTTTAGGGTTTAGGGTTTAGGGTTTAGTTAGGGTTTAGGGTTTAGGGTTTAGGGTTTAGGGTTTAGGGTTTAGGGTTTAGGGTTTAGGGTTTAGGGTTTAGGGTTTAGGGTTTAGGGTTTAGGGTTTAGGGTTTAGGGTTTAGGGTTTAGAGGATTCAGGGTGCTTCAAGGGTCGTGACCTGTTGCAAAACTAAACCCCATATGCCTTGGGCATGGTCCCCCTTATGCTTACAGTCCCTAATAGGGATTATGATAGGGCCTCATCGGGGGTGCTATAATCCCTTTGAGGACTGTTAGTATAGGGGGGAACATCCCAACACATACCCCATGCAAATCACTGAGGCCCACCCCTGTCCTTAAAATCCTTCAAATCCAGGATTCGAGCGAGTTTAGCCCCCCCCCCAAAAAAAAGCCAGCATCCAAAACTAAACATCCGAACTTCTCGGGCACTACATGTGTACATACATACATAAACATATACATACATACATACATACATACATACATACATACATACATACGTACGTACGTACATACATACATACATACATACATCTATATATATATATATGTATATTCTGATCTTCTTGTATGGAAAAAAACGAAGCTAAGCGACGAAAGGCTAGATCTGCACCCGAAACCCCCACAAAACACCGAAACCTCGAATCGCGCTCAAACATACAAGTACCCTAAACCCTAAACCCTAGACCCTAAACCCCCCTAAGAAGCGCGCCCCTGAACCCTGTGAGGCGCTCCTCAAGGGCATAGGTAGGCTCGATGGCCAGGTAGGCGTAGGGGCTCTTCCTTGGCTAAGGGTGTAGGTTCAAGGTTTAGGGGTTTAGGGTTTTCGTTCTCAGGGTTGGGGGCTCAGGGCGACGGTTTCGGGCTCAGGCTTGTGAAGTTTAGGGTTAGGTTTAGGGTGGGGACGTTGGGGGCTTTTCAAGGTGAACCATCCAAAGTGAGGATGGCCCTTAGACACTCTGAAAAATATTGGGAGATACGTCCAATAAGGAAAGGGATAAAATGTCCCAAGGGCCTCAAGCCCTAAACCCCTAACATGACTTGAGCTGAAGCTTCGGCTTTGGCCATCCACGATTTCTTTCCCCGCCCTGCCCTTAATGCACGGCTGGCATGGGCGCGAAGAGTTTGAAGGCTTTAGGCCCTAAACCCTAAACCCTAAACCCTAAACCCTGAACCCTAAACCCTAAACCCTAAACCCTAAACCCTAAACCCTAAACCCTAAACCCTAAACCCTAAACCCTAAACCCTAAACCCTACCTAAACCCTAAACCCTAAACCCTGAATGCTGCCATGCTGCAGGTCGACGTACACTTCCAGAGTCTTCCTGACCGTCGGCTCCGTCAGCAGGGAAATTATTATAAGTGGGCTTAGAAGTAGTGCAGCTATGCTTAGAACTGGTTATAACCTTCTCTAGGGTACTTATAACCCTACTTATAATAGAACTACCCATGAACCTTCAAGCAGCCCACTACTTGCACGACCGCTACGAACCCTGGAACCGGTGCCAAGGAAGACTGGAGTTGCTGCTCCCTCTTGTGGCAAGCTGCTTTACGCAAGGCGCGCTCTTCTCACCAATATTAAAAAAGGAACCTTGTATACACTCACCAATAACAGAAATCTAAACCCTGCTTCATATCACCCTTGTTGAAGTAGAGTTTAGGGTTTAGGGTTAAGCCCTAAACCCTTTGCAACGGGCTTCGCTACCTCGCCTAAACCCTAAACCCTAAACCCTAAACCCTAAACCCTAAACCCTAAACCCTAAACCCTAAACCCTAAACCCTAAACCCTAAACCCTAAACCCTAAACCCTAAACCCTAAACCCTAAACCCTAAACCCTAAAACCCTCCAAAACCTAAACCCTAAACCCTCCAAACCCTATCTTCCCACGACACGCGGCCGCGGAGTCGGGAAGAGGGCTCGGGCCACGGGGCGGCTCAGGGCCTGCGCGGCTTAGGGCTTCAGTGCTCTTGCTAGGTTTCGTAAACCCCCTAAACCCTAAACCCTAAGCCCTAAGCCCGGAACCCTGAACCCTGAACCCTGAACCCTAGGGTTTCTAGGCTTTTTGTAGGGTGGTTTAGGAGTTTAGAGTGGGGGGGGGGGGGGGAGCCTCAGGGTCAGGGCTTCAGGGTTCTGATCAAGGGCCCCAAACCTACTTTTTGCCGGTCGGTTGCGTAAGACAACTTAAGCGGGAGGTTGGGGTTTAGGGTTTATGCAATCGGTCATGCGGACTGTCACGAAGGTTTAGGGCTTAGGGGGGTTTTGGAGTCTTTGCCTGGGCCTTTTTTCGATTCTCACGCGGGCGTGGGCGGGGCTTGTTTTGAGGGGTTCGGGGTGATAGGGAAGCCCTAAACCCTCTACCCAAAATCTAACCCTGAACGTTTTTGGAACCCAGACTCAGCTGAACCCTGAACCCTAAACCCTAAACCCTTTAGGGCTTCGGGAATCTCAAGCGCCCTTCTCTCAACAGGCCCCTTTGTAAAGGCCTCTGGCACCTCCGGCACGTCCCAGCCACGTCCTGGGAGCCCAGATCGTTGGAGGGCTGATGGGGTTTGGGGTTTCGGGTTTAGGGTTTCGGGTTTAGGATGGTTTAGGGCTAGGGTTTATAGGGATTATAGGGATTATAGGGTTTACAGGGTTTATAGGGTTATAGGGCCGCGTTCCGCGTAATCGACCCCCCCCCACCCCCAATGGTATCCCCCCCCCCCCCATGGCAACCCCCCAAACCCTGCCTGTTAACCCCTAAAAACACCACGGACCACGGACCACGGACCACGGGGGGAGGGGGGACAGAAAAGCCTCAGCCTAAACCCCAAACCATGAACCCTAAGCCCTAAAACTTAAACCCACCAATGAACGACGGGAGGGAGCAGGGTAAACCCGAAACCTTTGCTGCTTTGACCCTGAACCCTCAACCGTAAACCCAGCACGAGCCACAGGGGGGAGAGGGGAAACCTTAAACCTATCATTACCCCAAACCTTGGACCCTAATCAAACTCTAAACCCACAGTGAACCAATGGACCAAAGTGAAAATCCTGAACCCTACAGCCTAACCCTTAACCCTTAAACCCTAAACCCATGAACCACAGATCATGAACCACAGGGGGGGGGGGGGGGGGGAACCCAAAACCCCACCATGAACCACAGCGGGGGGGGCGGGGATACCATGGGGGGGGGGGGGGGAGGGGGGGGGGGGGGGGGGGGGGGGGGGGGGAGGGGGGGGGGGGGGGGGGGTGGGGGGGGGGGGTGGGGGGGGGGGGAGGGGGGGGAGGGTGCGCCTATGCTGGCCCATATGAAGCAGGGTTTATATTTCTGTTTTTGGTGAGTGTATATAAGGTTCCTTTTTAATATTGGTGAGTGTATATACCGGGTGTCCTTTTGGGGGTACAAGAAATATACACCCTGCTTCATATAGGTTTATAGGGTTTATAGGGTTTATGGGGTTTATGCGGTTTCGGGCCTTGGGCGAACCTCCAGCCTTCAATGCATTAGGCAGTTTAGGGCATTTACTTGCAGTAGAGCAACTCCCTGTACCTTCAGGTCTGGTAGCAACTTCACGGGCACTCTTGCCTCTGAATGGTTTGATTTTTCATTTCTTTCAACCCGGAACGCATGACCCCAAAACCCAAGCCCTATCCCTAAACTCAACCCTACAGCAGGTTTAAAGTTTTAGTCCCAAGAGTAACCTTTCTGGTTTGGAGGGGCTGATAATTACTTGGGAACCTAAGCTCCCCAAAAAAGGGAATACGAGCCTCCTCGGAATCCTAGAATTAAGCCCTCAACCCAAAACCCTAAGCCCTAAACCCTTTGTTGAACCCAGACTCTTTACGTCAGCTGCCGCAATGACATTTGCATCCCCCTAAACCCTAAACCCTAAGCACTAAACTCTAAACCCTGCACCCTAAACCCTAAACCCTAAACCTTCTCCCCCCCAGAAAAAAGAAAACAAATGCAGTCCCCAGGGCGACGCAGGTGCAAAGCGAGCAGGGGAAGCGTGAACTCGTCGATGTAGACCTGGAGGGTTTAGGGTTTAGGGTTGAGGGTTGAGGGTTTAGGGTTGACAGGCCTTATAGGGTTTAGGGACAAGTAGTCATGTACAGAAAACACCAAAGCATCCACGTGCAGGGCCAGACTTGTGAATACGTACCCCAAAAGCATGATCTTGCGATTTTGCTTTTGCGCTGACACCACGGGACGTTGAAAGACCGAACCCTCCCAGCGCCTTCGTAGCATCCCGAAAAGACCCTGGGTGCATAGCGCACACACGTGTATGAAAAAACAACAAGGTGTTCAAGTTGAGAGAGGTCCCCCCCAGACTAATTAACAGTCCTTAATCGGGATTATAATAGGGGGTACTAGAATCCCTACTAAGGACTGTTAGTATAAGGGGAACATCCCAAGGTTCAAGAGTAATCAAGTTGTTCTGCACGATGGCCCCTGGTGGGCCTGGATGCCAACATCTAGTCACCACGGGCGGCTTGAATTTCGTGAAGCCCTGCAACTTCTGTTTGGAAGAACCCCCCCAAAAAAATATAATATTCTTCCCTAGACGGGTGATAAGGGGATTGTTGTTTTGTTTTTTGATTCTTTTTGGGGGGGTTCTTAAGCAAACAGTAGGCCCTAGGCTACAGACGCACTTTCAGGGAGGTCATACTCCTGCGCCCCTACTTCAGGTTTCGGGTCTAAGGTACCCCGCAAATCACCCTGCCGGCTCGGGTTTAGGGTTCAGGGGGGGGAAGGGGGGGGGGGGGGGGGGGCTGCCTGAAGAGGCTGTGTCCTTCAATGACACTACGAACCAAATGTGATTATCTAGCCTTGTTTCAAAGGTTCGGAAGCTCTGGGAAAATGACGATTGCAGGGATGGGACCGCCAAGCAGCGCCTCGTTCGTCTCGCGGTCGACCACAAAAGGCGTGGTCCACACACTCTGCGTGGCCTCTGGCATCGCAAAACAACCAAGAACTTCCGAAACCTCTGAAGAACGCCCCACCCCCCCCCCCTAAATGATGGCTTAGGACAGTCATGCTGCAGCTAGGAAGAAAAAAGGGCCCCTAGAATATGAGGTTGAACCCGCCTAAAAACCCTACAAGAAGCGCAAGCGCCCACATGCTCCGTGATGAAAAAACCCTCAAACGCAACCACCTACAAGCCATACAACCCCACAAGCCCTATAAGCCCTGAACCCTCTTGGGTTTGTAAAAACCCGGCAACCCCAAGCCCTATCGCCCTGTGAACCCTAGCAGCCCCTACACCCTAAACCTCAACTACCCCTAAGCCCCAAGCCCCAAACCCTAAACCCTCCCTCTCTCTCTCGTTTTCTCACTCAGGCGCTCAACGGCTAAACCCTCAATTCCTCTAAAGCCTCAGCCCCATGCCCCCAGCATTCCGAGAGAGGCCTCCGCCTGCCGATCTTCAGCCCTGGGGGGGTTTTGGGGCCTTAGGGGCTCAGGGTCAGGGTTTAGGCAGGGTTTGGGGTTTAATTAGGGTTCAGGGTTTAATTCGGGTTTAGGGTTTAATGAGGATTTAGGGGTTTAGGGGTTTAGGGTTGAATTAGGGATGAGGGGTTTAGGGTTTCATTAGGGTTTGTTGGTTTTTAGGGTCCTTCAGGGCTTCGGGGTTCTTTGGGTCACTCCAAGCGACAGCCCCTGATGGATTGCACGATTCAACGAGCCCCTTAAGCCCAAACCCTCAACCCGAGGGGTTTAGGGTTTAGGGTTTAGGGTTTAGGGTTTAGGGTTTAGGGTTTAGGATGGAGGCCGCGATCTCAAACCTGCAAAGCCCTCAGGGGGCACATGCCCAAAATCCAGAACCAGCAACCCCAAACACGCCTGCGACACCTAATTCCCAAGTCGCGGGGTTCTCGACATAAAGGTCCCTTTCGGGGGATCGTTTTGAAACTACGGGTCCTGGTATAGGGCACCCAAAAAGGGCCTAGAATTTGGAGAAGCCCCCGTGAAGGACCACTAGAGGAAGGGAGTTAAAGCTTCTTTGTAAGGGTGGGTTTCGTCGCTCACTCTCGCACACGCTTAGGGTGGGTTTAGGGTCTAGGGTTTGCCTTCCCCTCTCTTCCAAAACCGCTTTGATAATTATGTTTGGAAGCTCCGGGTAGGTGTCCAGGAGCTGAGGGGGATAAAAGGTGCCTCTCCATGGTTTGTTGTTCCAAACTTACAGACATATCACCAAAACACCGGCAGCTTCCAGCATTCTGCAACAAATGTAAACCCCCTAATAGACACTCCAAACCCAGTGCAAGTGCTACACCCTAGACCCTACCAAAATCCCGCAACCCCTAGGCCTCAACCCTCCCAAACCCCTAAACCCTAAACCCTAAACCCTAGCCCCTAAGCCCTAAACCCTAAACCCTAAACCCTAACCCTTGCAGGCAAAGGTCAAGGCGCGCTCAGCCTCGCTGGCTTGCCACTCCAGAAACCTTGCCTCAGACCCGCCGCTTTCTGCGATGAGCCTGGGGGTTTAGGGTTTAGGGTTTAGGGTTTAGGGTTTAGGGTTTAGGGTTTAGGGTTTAGGGTTTAGGGTTTAGGGTTAGGGGTGTAGGGGTTTAGGGTTTCGCGGCTTTGGGTTTAGGGAGGGTTTACCCCATGGTTCTTAGTAGGGAATGAGGGAATGAGGGCCCTATATATACCCTTTAAGGGATCATATACCCTAATTCCCTCCTTCCCTACTAAGGACTAAGGACTAGGCTGCTTAGGGTTTTAGGGGTTTGGGAAATTGGAGTCTTTTTCTTTCCCCTCCAGCTGTGGTCTAGGGTTTAGGGGTTTAGGGCTTTCTGGGATTTAGGGTTTTGGGGTTTTAGGGTCTCTTTTTCGCCACGGGGCTCACGAAATTCTAGGTGTCGGGCGCAGGGTTTCAGAGAGAAAGGCTGGGACCAGTCACCTGCTCCCAAAATCCCTGTGAACCCAAAATATTAGGAAGCATGGCCGTTCTTAGTTGGTGGAGTCTCTCGGTTTTTCAGGCTAATCGCTCAGGACGGCCTCTGGCCTACCTGCCAAACCCTCTGCTGCAGAATAAGAGTTCTTCTGGAGAAAAATGTTTATGAGATGAAAAAGTCGTTTTCGGCCACTCAGAGCGGAAATGTGCGGAACGCTTGAAATACCTGCCATCGCAAGGTTTTGTGAGAGCGTTTTTCTGTGGTTTCCGAAGTGTGTTGCGAGCCATTCTTTCAGGTTCGGCTTGATTGGAATGTTGCGCGAGCGCCGGCCTCCCTAGCCAATGCTGCTTGTTTATCGATTGAGTAGGTTGTCAGTGAGGAAGGAGTGATGAGTCCAGACCAGGCGTTAACAGAGTCTTAAAGGATTAGCTAAGGTGTCATGAGATCGATTACGGAGTATGGGAGTGCTCTTAATAGTATTCTTCATAGAGTTGTAAGGAGCGCACGAGTTCTATTAAGATTAGTCAAAAGCAAGAACGATTGGTTTTTTTACAGTTCCTTTAATGGGTTTCTCGTGATCTCTCGACTCTCGAAAACCCGATTTTAAAACCATGAAAAACACCTAAATTCTCCAATCTCTTTGTCGACACGCATCCAGAACTGGACCTTGGACGTGCAGCCACTGCAGTGCTGTGACCCGTGTCTGGAAACGGCCGGAAATAGAGCCAATGTTGATTAAAACCATTTAAAACCTGCGCGCTTCAAAGAGCGGAAATCGGCGTCAATAGAGCGGAAATCCGCGTCAAAAGAGCGGAAATCCCCGGAATCCCCCACAAACCAATATCCCGAAAGAGCGGAACTTGACCACCCCACCCCCTGCTCCTCTTCTCGGGCCCAAAATCATATCCCAGCAGCCGTCCAAAAACATCCTAAACCCATTCAACTCCCTTGAGCTTTGTTGCTATGGTTCAGAGAGCATGCGGTTTATAGGGGACTTATTGTTGGTATTGAAAACAGTTTCATCCCGGCGCTCCCTCATCTTTGTCATGTACAAGTTGAAAGGAAAGATAGCTGCGATTATAAGGAAGTGTGACATATGATATATGTATCCGCTCATGTATCATATGCATGGTGTTCGCGGTGGATATCTAGTGTATGGAGGGGTATTGTCAGCCAAAATCTTCAGTCAGGAAGGCCTATAAAGGACTATCCTGAGCCCTACACAAGACCAAGACAAGCCCTGATCAGTCCTCCGAAGCTGTTTCAATATACTGCATTCGCGCGTTTTTGGGCATGTAACAGCACGGGTTTCGAGCATTTTTAGCGGAAGGCTGCTTTTCTTAAATCTTCATTTTTTGGGGGAAAGAGCGGAAACAGGCGGAAAGAGCGGAAATGCCAACAAAAAGAGTTCCGAGCAGATTTTACTGACACCTGGGTTTGGCAGGTAGGCTTTTTCTGACCCTGCGGGCACTGGTTTCCTGTTTCCAAGGGTGCGGGGGCGGTCGAGGTCGGGGGGGCTATTTATTCCAGGAAATACTTCACGGTGCTGCATTGCTCCATGCAGCCATGTATGTCGCACTATTCCGAGATACTTGGATACTAATCCGACGTCTATGTCAATCTAGGGTGCTAGCTCTTCTGATATTATAACTACTCCCTTGAATTTCATAACCCAATACCCAAGACCCTTAACCGCAAAACCGAAATCTTCCATGCCTCCCCATCGCTGGCACGTCGAGCTCTTGTTGATGCTTGGACCCGTCAAACACCTGGGCACAGCGACTAACTGATCAATTGAAGGCTTCGACGGCTTCGGTTTTCTTCTGAGTTTAGGGTGAACAGAAGAGTTTACCGTAACAACTAAGGCTAGGCCTAAGATCCAACATGGAATCTTCTCCAAACACATGGAACACGGAAGTTATGGCCCTTTCGAGGATCCGGGGCGCGAGGGCAAAGCAGCTGCGCAAAAACGCGTGCGTGGCCGCTGCAGCCTCGCATCTGGACATGTAGGCCTCGGCGCGAGAATCGCAAGTGAAGTTACCAGCAAGGCAACCTGTACTCTCGCCTTAACTGAGGTACATCCTTACCTATGACTATCCATGAACTGTCAAGAAATTCCCAAAGCTAGAGACGGGCATGCAGCTCGCCGTCGCTCCTGCTTGGCAGCCCTGAGAATGCTAGCCCGAAAGCAGGAATCCTATGCGACAACGACACCCTTAATTACCTAGCAACCCTAAACTACTACTTGCAGAAGAACCACCAAAAAACAACAAATGTTCTTCCCTACAAGGGTAATATTTGCATTTTTTCTTAGGGAGCTTAAGCAAAATAGGCGTAAACCCGCAACCACCCCCAGCCCTTCCTCTTGGCGCCATGGAAGCTCGCAAACCCTCTCCCTCTCCGACAAACCTAAAACTAAACCTCAACCCCAAAGTAGGTGAAAAAATAGGTCCTTCTCTGGGCTTTGGGGCTATTTTTTCCAGACCAGGTAAACCCTGCAGGCCCTCTCTCTGCTTTCCCGGACCCTGAATCCTAAACCCCAAGCCTCAAAACCTAAACCTTGAATCCTAAACCTTAACCCGAAACCCTAAACCCTAAACCCTAAACCCTAAGTTCCCATGCGAGTTCGGTGTGTGGGCAAGCAGCGAGGGCCACGGCGAAGCCAGGTGCCGAGAATTCTCCCTGGTGGGATTCATTGCTTCGGGCTTAGGGTTTCTGCAAGCACTTACAGTAGGGCTTATAGGGTTTAGGGTTTAGGGTTTAGGGTTTGGGGTTTAGGGTTTAGGGTTTAGGGGTGCAGGGTTTGGGTTTAGGGTTCAGAAATATCGTGCCCTAAATTTGGGCCCCTTGCTATGTTACCCTTACATAATGAGGGCCCATGCATCCCTATAAACAAGGGACAAGGGACCTTACTAAGGGCCCAAGGTTCCAACCTTAGAACCCTACACCCTAAACCCTAAACCCTAAACCCTAAACCCTAAACCCTAAACCCTAAGTCTATCTGGCGAGTTGAGCCTCCGGTAGGTCCAGAGGCAGACCCCTGAGCTGAGCGTAGGTCTGGTGGACACGCAGTTGGTACGCCTGCTTCTTGGAGAGGGCGGACATCCTGCTAGGGTTTAGGGTTTAGGGGTTTAGGGGTTTAGGGGTTTAGCGCAAGGGGCATAGGTCGTTCATAGCAGTGCTGGCGGTTCCGAGGCCCCTAAACCCTAAACCCTAATTTCCTAATTTTCTAAACCTTAAGGCCGATCTTGGGGCTAGGGCGGAAAGAACTGCTGAGCAGCAAGCTTCGGCAATACCGGTACGAACCTGATGAGGGTTTTAAGGGATTCAGGGTGTTAGCTGGTTTAAGGTTGGGATGTTCCCCCCGTGTGCTAAGGGTCCTTACTAGGAATTATAGAACCCCCTATAATAAGCCCGTAGCTTGGTGGTACGTTATAGGGGGCGTGGAGAAGAACAATGAACTATGGTTACCATGTACAGATAGTCATAGTGCTGTTCACTCCACCACGTCCCCCGAAGCACCCGTGACATTCTCATCCCGCTGGAGAAAAACGTCAAGCACCCCCCGGCCCACCCCCACCCCGCCCCCCCACCGAAGCCCTAACCCCAAACTGTAGACCCTAGAACTAAACCTTAAACCCCCACGAAGCCCCAAGCTCTAAGCTCGAAACCCTGAGCCCACTCCTCGCTGGGGAGCCAATGGGTACCGACATGCGAGCTTTAGCCTTCAAATCGAGCGCGGAATGGCGGTTCTTCGTTTAGGGCTCAGGTCTCTCCCTCCTGTACAGGCTGGGCGAACGGCTTAGTTCGGGTTGAGGGTTTAGTGTTTCGGAATCAGGAGCCACAAGCACCATGAAGTCACCCGCAAAGGCGAGCTCCCCAAACCCTAAACCTTCATTCAAAATCCTTAATATTCCCCAGTTTAGGGTTCAGAGTTTAGGTACATAAGAAGAATTCTCAGGGAGCTACAGAAGGAATCTTAAGGGGTCCTCAAGAAGCTTCCGGTTTCAGAGCCGTTTGGGCCGAGATTGGGCGCTGCGGGAGGGCTTCGCGAGGGCGCCCCGTGATTCTCAAGCCGAAGTCTGCGCAGGCTAAACCCTAAACTTGGGATGTTCCCCCTTACGAAAGCAGTCCTTAATAGGGATGAGTATAGGGGGTACTATAATCCCTAGTAAGGACCCTACTAAGGACTGCTAGCTGTTAGTTTAAGGGGGAAGATCCCAACCCAGAACCCTCAACCCTCATTCCCGCCGACAACCGGCCGCAAGGAGCTCGGGCTCTAAGGGGTGAGGCTCTCCCTTGAAGATTCGGATTCTGAAGGTGTACCCTAAACCCTAAACCCTAAACCCTAAACCCTAAACCCCCCCAAGACCCCCCAAGAATCCGAAGCTTGAACCTGAACCGTCTTCTCACGGGACAAGTTCAGAGGTTCTGAAGCCGCACCTCCCCAAACGAAGGGTCTCGAATCTCGCGTATTCCTTGCTCGTAGTAAAAGTTACTGAATTTGTATTCTCATACCCCCTCCCCTAGCGTTTCCAATGACCCTTAAAAACCCTCTGAAAAATTACTCCTGGTAAATGCTTCTCTGCGCAAGGGAATGTATGAAATACCCCAAGGGCCTGCCTAGGGTTTAGGGTTGGCTTGACCGGGGCCTTGCTGCAGCGCCAATTCAGGCGAAAGCACCCCAGCGAAGCGATCAAATTGTCCAGCGCCAGGTAACCTGAGCTTTGCACGCGGCTGAGGATTTCAGATTTCTGCGATTCCCTGGCAATGTTGGGCCCCTTGGCTATCTTACATCTTCCCTCAACCCTAAACCCTAACCCTTAACCCTTAACCCTAAACCAGAATATCTTTCGGAGGGTTCCGGGCCACCCCCCCATGATAATCCTATTTGGGACTGTTAGAATAAGGGGGGAAACATCCCAACTCCAACCCTAAACCCTAAGCCCTACACCATCCCAACACCTTCATCCCCCCCGCACGCGACCTGCGGCGTACAGCCTTGCAAGTCCGGGGCGCAATCGATGCTGCTCACCTCAGCTCGGCACCCCACCTCTTTACTAGTTCATGATTGGGATAAATAAATAACTAAATAAATAAATACATATAATATATATACATACATATATTAGCTCTGTTTTAAAATCTCTATTCCTCATTGGGTTTAAGTAGCCTTAAATATGTAAAATGTTCCACAACTATGACAAAGCCTAAGGGCCCCCAGAGCTCCAGGCTACACCTCTTTAGGAGCACCACCTCTGGGAGGATTCAAGAAGTAGATTAGGGTTTAGGGTTTAGGGTTTTGGGTTTAGGTTAGGGACTCCTAAGAATGGCCGAATAGTAGTGCGGGGTACAATTTGGGGGGCTCTACTTTTGGAGCCTCCAAGGGGTCTGGCTATACTGGGGAGGTCTACCCTTGGACCCTTTCAAAAAAGAAGCCTTCAAACCACCTTTTTTTGGCAACGACGAGCCGGAGAGCCGGATCATTTGGGAGCCCTGAGGCCGTAAACCCACTTAAGTCCACAACTACCCTCTGCACCCACTTAAAGCCCCCGTCCTGAAGTGAGTAAACTCTAAACCCTAAACCCTTTTTTTAGGGTTTAATTAGATAAACCCTACACCCTTTTGCATCCTCAACCCTGCCAATCCCACCTAACCCGAGGCGCATCCACGAAGACGTCCAGCTCGGGCGCCGTTTCGGAGGAGATTTGTGGAGAAAGTCCGGCGGCCTTGGGTTTAAGCACAAGGGGGGTGAGTGTCTTTTCTTCTCCCACCCGTCTAGCGCAAGGGTTTAGGGTTTAGGGTTTGGGCTTTGGGGCTTAGGGTTTGGGGTTTAATCGCTCACAGTCGGACACGCCAGGTGAGGTTCCTGGGTCTTGCTGCAGAGCCCGTCTGGGCATACATTGCAACTCGGGGTTCAAAGGTTTGGGGTTTTAGGGTTGGCCCCACAAAAACCTGGGACCCGCCAACGTATTCGGATGTTTAAGGCCCTTGAAGCTCTAGGTTGAGGGTTGTCGGGCCCAAAACCCCCGCAACCCTAAACCCTAAACCCTAAACCCTAAACCCTAAACCCTAAACCCTAAACCCTAAACCGATTTAACAGAAACCCTTCAAGGTTGAGAGCTTAAGAGAAACCCTAAACCCTATACGGTAACAGGACAAATACCGCCCCTTTTCAACGAGGTGTCTCTCTCGGACATGTAGGTCCCAGTCCCTGAACCCTATATAAGCCCCCCTATAAACCCCATAAACCCTCTAAACCTATAACCTATAAACCCTCTAAAACCCTGCAAGCCCCATAAACCCTATGAACCCCCATAACCCTATAAACCCGAAAAATCCCACAACTCCCACAAAACCCTATAAACCCTGCAGGTCCCCTAAGCCCTATAAACCCCCATAAAAACCCTATAAGCCCCCAAAAACCCTTTAAACCCGATGAAACCCGTAAGCCCCATAAACCCCCTGAACCTTAAGCCCTATAACTTGGTAGCCCAGCAACCGTCGTAAAATAAGGGCACCCCTTCTTTGGGGGGTTGGCTACTTTGTACGGGAACCCAGAACCGAAAAATGCAACCTAAAAAGCTTGGAAGCCCGGTAGCCATACTACAATAAGGGCACCCATTTTGGGGGGCTGGGGCTACTCTCCAATTAAAAACCAAGAAACAAAGGAACGGGTAAAAAGGTACCACTGGGCGACCAAGAGAAACCCTAAGCCTCTTAAACTTACTTGGGATGTTCCCCCTTAGTAACAGTCCTTAATCGGGATTCTGGTAACCCCGATTAAAATCTCCACTAAGGACTGTAAGCATAAGGGGGAACATCCCAATACTAAACCCTCCGCCACTGGTCTGAGGTCTAGCCAGAACACATGCAGCACCGCCACTCAAGATCTTCATGAGGGCAGACCTGGTGATACACTTGGCTCATCTACGTACAATCAAGCAACACGGGAAGAAACAAACTGACAACCCTCCCAGCGCTCGAACTGGAAAGGGCCCAGTGAAAGCTCACATCAGGTTGGCTCCTGCGTAGAGGGAGCACCAGAAAGATGAGACTGCAGAAACAACCTCTCCTGACGTCAACGTCGCTTCAAGTCAAGTCTGTCAGCTGCGTGGCGCTCACGAAGAACCGTCAGGGAGTCTGATGGCTGCGTTCCTCCATGGTCGCAACACTTGTTGTTGTGCTTCACGGGGGAAGGGGACGTCTCCTGGCTCTCTGCTGTTGCCGTGGCCTCCATCTCAGTGAACCTGACCTCGTCCTCCTTGATCTTGTTCTCCATTGTTGTTGTTCTGGTCTCCATCTCAGAGATCCTGACCTCAAGCCCCCTGATCTGATTCACCAACTGAACGATGGTATCCTCAGCCTTCTTCACAATAGCCCGGCCACTGCTTCACATTCACTGTCGGTGTAAATCTTGTCCATCGTCTGTGTACAAACACACGAATGCTGTGTCTGCGGCACTCGGCCAGCTGGTCCTGCCACATGATCCAGCTCGTCCGGTTTCTGTAGTGCCTGATACAGGCTGATCACAGTCCGAGATTCCGGATTCTGTGTCAGGCACAGCATCGCCTCTCGGAGGCATTGAACGACAGACCATTGTTGCGACGCTTGAGCTCGACGAATGGCGTAAGCTAGGTTCGAACACAGCTTGCCATGGGAATTCATCGAACGAAGCGAGGAGGGAAACGAATTGGGGCTTGCCTTAGTTGAACCTCGTAGCCTTGAGCCTTGAGCCGTAGCAAACCCTAAACCCTAAACCCTAAACCCTAAACCCTAAACCCTAAACCCTGAACCCCCTCGAAACCCTAGAGGCGTCCCTGGGCAGCTGGCCACATGGCCATGCAGAGCCGCTAGCCTGGAAAGCCCCGCAGGCGCCGCCATGGCGACGGATGCTGGAAGGTTCCCCTGGGTAGTTCGTTTAGGGTTTAGGTTTTAGGGTTTAGGGTTTAGCGTTATAAGCTGTTCTAAGTACCTATAACTAGGTAATGAAAAGTATAGTTGCCTTACTTATCACCTCACTTGTAACTGCCCATAACGTCCAAGGGGGTGAGGGAGCTTGGATTTCTGCTTTAAGGTTCGTTGAACGTATGATTCTGTGCTTGCTTATGTTATGTTGTTCTGTATTTATGTTGTTTATGATTCTTGTGCTCTTTTAGGGTCGCTTTCCACTTCTGAGGGGTTTAGAGTTTAGAGCTTAGGGTTTAGGATAGTTCTTCTGCTCAAGCAACGAATTGCGAAGGTGCCTCCCAGAACCAAAAAAAAACCCTCACCCCGGAAGCCTACACCCTAAACCCTAGCAGTTCCCTTGCAGAGCCAAGAGTCAAAGGGTCAAGGCTCATACCCCTACGGTTGCAGGCTTCCCTTTTTTTCTCCACATGTGACCCTTATATTCCCTTAGAGGATCCTTGAAGAGGGTCCCCAAACCCAATCGTCCAAGGACAAGTCCCTTGACAGAGATAGCAGCACCGAAACTTGCTAAAACGCGCCTCAAGTCTACAACTTCTTACCCTGAAGGCCTAGACCCTAGCTTTAGAGCTGCACTTGTGGTTTTGAGGTCTAGGGTTTAGGGGTGCAGAGTACCCTAGCTCCTAAACCCTAAACCTGAGACCCTAAACCCTGAACCAGGGCTTAGCATTTCGGATTTGTTCCCCCGGCCCCTAAACCCTAAACCCTAAACCCTAAACCCTAAACCCTAAACCTTCAACCTGATCCGTCCACTCGCCCACGTCGCCTGCGACGCCTTCGTGGAGCACGCCTCGGCAGTCGACCTGTGCTCTCTTTGCTGCACTTCGGCTGCGCGAGGTTTAGGGTTTAGGGTTTAGGGTTTAGGGTTTAGGGTTTAGGGTTTAGGGTTTAGGGTTTAGGGTTTAGGGTTTAGGGTTTAGGGTTTAGGGTTTAGGGTTTAGGGTTTAGGGTTTCTGCAGCGCTATCTCTAGGGTTTAGGGTTTAGGATTTATGACTTAGGCCTGTGGGTTGTGCTATCTGCTAGAGGGAGCCTACGGTTTCGACTCTTGGTACACTTCTCGATTTGTGAGGGCTTACGGTTTCTAGGTTTAAGGGTTGTAGGTTCTGCAGGGTTCAGCACGGGTTTCAGAGTTCGGGTGCCTTTAGGGCTTAGGGTTTAGGCTTCTAAGCCCTAAGGCCCGAACCCTACAACCTTCTTGCGTAAACCCCTGTTCAAGCCGACCTCCCGGATGTGCCAGCAAACCTCCATGCATGCTTGAGCCCCTAGAAGCCCCTGAAGCCCCGGCTGATGACGCAAATTCCGAGTATCTTGACGGACTCTCGGCAAGACATGTCGGGCAGCGCAGCTGTCGCTTTTTAGGGCAGCCTCCACCATTCCAATTGTTTAAACCCCCCTGTACTTCAGTCTCAGGGCAGCTTCATGGACCCTTACTCTGGTCCCTTACCTCCTCTAAAGGGCTCTGATGTAAGGGCCCTTGGGTCTTATAGGGTATGTAAGGGCCATAGAAGGGGGTCCCCTTTGAAGGGCCCATACTGAGGGACCATGTAACTACCCTAAGATTCAGGCAGGGTCGGAAGTCCTGGCCCTTGCTTGGCAAGGCCGGACCCACTTGAAAGCCCTGCAAAAGGCGAGAAATTTCATCTCCCAACCTCCGGTGGAAGGGTTTAGGGTTTAGGGTTTAGGGTTTAGGGGCAGCGGTGGCTCTAGGCCCCATACATCCTCAAACCCTAAACCCTCAAGAGCTGCATGCGGTAGCTGAGCGTCCCGTCTGCTTTCAGATCTTTTGAGCCTTATAAGGTTCTGGGCTGCACCGCACTATATACCATATACCATATACTCTATACTCTATACTCTAGTTTATTTTACCATATGCCTTATACTATATATGATATACCTGTACTATGTAGAATATACCATCTGTATGCTCAGTAAGGTCGTTAAGGTCTGCAGGCGAACCCAACGGTCCGAAGCGCTTCATGTCTGAACTCACTCTTGGCTCTCAACCCTAAACCCTAAACCCTAAACCCTAAACCCTAAACCCCATGCGAGCATCACCGCCAGCAAGCCGAAGAGTCCAACGTCCTTCGCTCCGGCGATATCGGCCGGGGAGAAGCAGTGCCTGGCAGATTGGCAGTTTCGCCATTTCGGGTTTAGGGTTTAGAGGGTTTAGGGTTTAGGGTTTAGGGTTTGGGGTTTAGGGTTTTGGGGTACTAGCACGATTCAATCACGTAATCACGCACATCACCCTAAAGTCTGAAGTCCGCTGTATCTTGGCATGTAGGCTGCCGCGTTGCTTCATGTTGCATATCGCATCCTCGCGCATCCCGCCACCCTGCACAGCTCGAGGTGTCGAGGCATTGCCGTCTGGACTTTGCACGGTGCGACACTGGCCTGCACCACTTTAGGGTTTAGGGTTAAGGTTTAGTGCAGAAACTTCGACACGGGGGGAGTTTCCCAGGACTGGGGTACCCTTTTTGCGGTGCCCTAGTCAGGAATCTAGTATACTGAGGGTATATTAGGGTACACGTACTTGAGGAAATACCTACAATGTGGAGGTTTGGGTTCAGGTCTGCTCTGTGCGGCATGCAGACTGTAATTGAAGTCTTCTAGTCCTATAAGAACAAGCCATTAGATGCCAAAAACGGGGAAGTGCAAACAAAAATGTACAACAAAAGAAAACTTGGTAGTGCAGCTCACCCACCTCTTGGGTACTCGGAGGGATACCACTCAACAGCCTGGCGTTCAGCCACAATGATGCCCAAGATGTGTCAATGTAGCACGCAGTCGAATGTAGCAGCTATACCCCTAAAACCAAAACCCTAAACCCTAAACCCTAAACCCTATGAAAGAACTTCTACAGGGATCTATAGGGAATGATCCAAAAGGGAGCCCTAAACCCTAAACCCTACAGTAGCATGAACTAGAGGGTGAAGTCTCCAATCTCCAACTTTCAAAGGCCTTGAAGGGGTTCCATCATAATCTTCCACGGTAAACGCATTTGATAAGAAATCGTTCAAAACAAATTAGTCCCCAACTTAAGCTCCATTTCTTGATCCAGGGTCTCATATAACCTCAGGGTTCTAAATTTGGGACCCGCAACCCTCCAGCGATCCAGCCCTAGGTTGAGGGTTTAGGGTTTTGAGGGTTGAACGTTTTCGGGTTTCGGTTTGGGGTGTATCGGGGGTGACCACCCTCCAGCCCTCCAGCCCTCCAGCCCCCCTCCAACCCTCCAACCACTCCAGCCCCAAGGCTGTAAGGTTGAGGGAGGGCTGGAGGGTTTAGGGTTTAGGGTTTAGGGTTTAGGGTTTAGGGTTTAGGGTTTAGGGGGGCTGTAAGGTTGAGGGAGGGGATTCGAGTACCCCTATTCGAATCCCTATTCAGGACTGTTCGTATAAGGGGGGGAAACTCCCAACTCCTAGGGGGTTACCCTAAACCCTAGACCCTAGACCCTAGACCCTAAAACCCTAAACCCTAAACCCTCCCAGAGATTCACCCGCGGCTCCTGGCAGTCATCCCGCCCTGCGCAGAAGGCTTTGCATGCCTCTTCGGAGGCCCCGACGTCCAGGACGGTCTCCGCGAGGTCGCTCGACAGATCAGTCCTTGGGTTTAGGGTTTAGGGTTTAGGGTTCAGGGTTCGGGGTTTAGGGCTCGCCGTGTGGGGCCTCATGAGTCCGAGGCTCCCATCAGCGCTTCGGCAGGAGCGCCGGTAGGAGTGGAAGCTCTCGCTCCGGCAGCCGTGTCGGATGTAGCAGGTGGCATGGGTATGGCCATCTGCCCTCATGGGCTGGTGCCTGCTGCCCGTTCGACTCGTAGAGGCCGGCATCATATTGCAGAAGGAATGGGTTGCAGGAGGCCTGCTGTAATATACGACGCCTTGGCAGCTCTGGATCTGCAGGCAAGCCTCCTGACACTCCGCCGCCGTGGGGCCCTCGCCAGCAAGGGGAGTTGGGAGATGCTCGTGGTTGACCCCAACGCCGGCCCAGTCCTGGCAGCGCCCAGGCATCTCAGTAAACTGCGTCGGATCCAGGGACGCCTCGTAGCCGGGTGTCGGGGTCTTCATCCACAGCTTTCCTCGACTCATTTTGGACACACCAGCCGAGGAGGGTTCGACAGGCTTCTCAGGGAGGAATGGCTAACCCCTACATCGCAGCTTCAAGCGCTAGGCACAAGCAACCGATCACAAGTGTGAAAATCTGGGAGGTTCCCCCTTATGCTCACATTCCTTCGTAGAGATCCCTACTCAGGACTGCTAGTATGAAGGGGAACATCCCCAGTCAAAATTTGTGAAAAGCTCCCTAAACCCTAAACCCTAAACCCTAAACCCTGACCCTAAAGCTTGCTTTTGGAGAGCCCCGAAATCCCCAGCCACCGGGGATGAGCTCAGCCGACTCGCAGATCTTTACCGCCTGAATTGGGGCTTGGGTTTAGGGTTTAGGGTTTAGGGTTTAGGGCTCACTCTTCAGGGGGTACTTCCCCAAGAACCACTAGCCCTGAAGCCCTGACCCAAAACCCGAACGAACCTCTTCGCCCGCCCCCTAAACCCCAAACCCCTAAACCCCAAACCTCTAACCCCAAAAACCCTAAACTCCCTACCAAGAACTACTGAGGTCCATGGTACCTCTAACCCAATCATAACAGTACTTATAGCCCACTTCTTAGCCCCATAAGTGCCAAGTTATGAATAGAATTGGGTTCTCTCTCTCTCTGCCGCTGCATCCCAAAGGTCCCACTGCATATAATTGGGTTATAAGTAATCTAAACCCTAAACCCTAACCTCTCTATATCTCTCTCTCTCTCTCTCTCTCTCTCTCCCTCTCTCTAAACCCTAACCCCTAAACCCTAAACCCTAAACCCCCCTACCCAGAACGATTCTTCCCGGGCCTTGTGTTCGCTGCTCCAGTCATCTTGGAAATGGAAGCCGAAGCAGGAGGCCCTTGCACTACACCACTCCTGAGTGCCCATGATGGGGTCATTTTTTGCCACCCGACTAGCCGCAGCAATGCGGGGTATGTTATGATAGGGTTTAGGGGTTTGGTGAATAATGGCAAGTGAACATTAAGGCAGGAGTTCGTTCACACCATAAAGGGGCTTATAAGGGAACCCGAACCCGAAAGAAAGGAATAAGGGCCTACTCCGGGTCCTAGATACTTAGCAACAAAAGCTTCCAAGGACCTAATTGCAAGGCTCTTTGGCCAGCGCGACGCAATCACCCTCGGTGCCATCGCAGAACTCGGTGTCCGTGGTGGGCAAGGGTTCCGTTAGCTCCTGTGTCTAGACCCAGGAGTAACCTACGAATGATAAGGGTGCCCTTTTTGGGTTTAAAGAGGTATATGGGAACCCAAACCCTAAGAAAAGGGAATAAGGGCCTACTCCGGGTCCCAGGTGTTCTCGTGCTTGTTGTCTAGCGGCGACTGGCACTTCGTCTCAACACCGTGAGGGTACCATTTTGTTGGGGTAGAGTTCAGTGTTGAGAATCATACGGATTGTGGAGATTTGAATGCTCCAAGTGCTGCTCAGAAGGTTTAGACTGGGACATTGTGCAACGAAGGTGTCGGCAGCTACAACACTAAACCCTAAACCCGAAACCCGAAAAACGTCTAAGAACCTCGCAAAGGGAAGCCATGCCCGTGAAGCCTGCATCCCCAGCAGCAAAGGGAAGAGGTCTGTAGGGTTTAGGGTTTAGGGTTTAGGGTTTAGGGTTCAGGGGAATCAGCACCCTGAAGCCTTAACTCCCCCACATGGTAGACATCGCCATGCTAGTGCCTCGCTGCTTCAATGCTATGAGATTACACAGGCCGTCAGGCATGCCAGGCATGCCAGCCGAGCACACGTGAAGGCCGTACTGGTGTGTTTAATCGCCCTTTATCCTGGGTCTCTGATATGGTCCGCTGATTATTGCTTGAGAACCCCCCCAAAAAAAATCTTTTCTTCCCTATAAGGGTAATAAGGGGATACCCTACCCTAAACCCTAAACCCTAAAGGCCCTAAACCTTAAACCGTGATGGCATTTAAACAGCTCCCTGGACCTGGCACTGCTGGGCCGTGCCCGGACCCTCATAGTCGGCAGGCTCGTCAGCAGAAGCCAGGGCCACCAGGAAAGAGGCCAGAAGAGCAGCCATGGGCAGTGAGAAGTAGGGTTTAGGGTTTAGGGTTTAGGGTTCAGGGTTCAGGGTTTAGGGTTCCAAATACCCTCAAGAAGATTATATCATGCCATAAGTATAGTTGCCCTACTTATCACCCCACTTTATCGCTACCCATGAACCTCTAGGTAGGAGAGCAGCCATGGTCTCGAACCGTTTGCTTCCTACACTAGACGAGACCAAACCGCACTACACTAGACTTGACTAGACAAGAATGGACTGGGCTGTACTGAAACAAGAAGACCTGGGCTACACTGCCCTGCACTACACTGAGGCCTAGTACACTTTGCCACGTTGAAGGTTCTTCAGACCGAAGTCAACGTTGAAAGGAGTTGTGGGCCAGTATGCTGAGAGCCGCGTGATTCGTCAATGATGTGCATGCATGGGTCTAGGGTCTACTCCTTTTTGCCCTAACCCCTTTTTTGAAAAAGGTCTCTCTTGCCCTAACCCCTAAACCTTAAACCCTAAAGCCCTAAACCCTAAACCCTAAAACAAGCTTGGCTCGGCCTTGGTTTGAGGACCACACCCCCTAAACCCTAAACCCTAAACCCCCTTTGCAGGGCCCGGGGCCCAAAGTCTTGAATACTTTGACATCAGCTTCCTGTCAGTTTTCGCTCTTCTGCCTCAAGCTCTTGCGAGGGGTTTAGGGTTTAGGGTTTAGGGTTTAGGGTTTAGGGTTTGGGGCCCTTGTTCAAGTTCCCGTGGAACCCTGCCATGATGGAGCCACAAGCATGGCCTTGGGTTTTCGGGCGTTCTGTACCGAGACCGAATACGGTTAGAGCCAAAAACTACAGGAGTAAGGAACAGAGAGTATGCGAAGAATGGTGTGTTAAGAACTAGTTTAAACTTCAAAGCAAAAACTACAAGAGTAAGGACTGTAGGATAGTAAAATGTATTGTAACAGAAATATTGAAACGGCACAACGGCTGCCAGCAAAAACTAAAGCAGAATGGGGAGATCATTATGTAAAGCATAAACAAGAAGAGTTCTACCAAACTGTGAAATCTTGGTGGGGTTTACGGATGAAGGATTTGGGTTTGGGTTTGGTTTTGAAGAAGCGATGAAACTCAAAACCTCATCCAACAACGACACAGCACAATTTGTGAACTTTTGCAAAATTGAAATGATGGATTTTCAGGGGAATCCATGGGTTATGCAAGCGGGCCTTCGGCCCCTACACCCCAAATATGGGGGTTCTGGAGACTGACCACAAGCAATGGGAACCCTGAATGCGTCAATGCCTGCGGCCGCCTAACCCCCTACACCCCAAACCCCGAGTCTCCGGTCGCCCCTGCGGCCCCCGAGACTGGAACACCAAAACAACATCCGCTTGCCTGTCAATGAGGGTTTTCAGGGTTCAGGCTTTAAGGCTAGGGCTTTAGGGCTTTTTGGGCTTAGGGTTTAGGGTTCAGGCTTTAGGGTTTAGGGCTTTAGGGTTTTAGGGGCTTAGGGTTCAGGCTTTAGGGTTTTAGGGTTTAGGGTTTAGGGTTTTAGGGCTTTAGGGTTTTAGGGGCTTAGGGTTATGCCCTGCCAGGCTTGCGGAGGAGTGTGTTAGTTTGTACTTGAAGATGCCTGACGCCAAACCCTCAGGTTTGTGGGCGAAACGCTGGGTGGGGTTTAGGGCTTGGGGTTCTGGATTTCGGGTATAGGCCTTGGAGGGTCTAGAAAGACCAGGCAGGGGAAACCTGGGCAGGGACTCTCTGGACCCCAAAACCTGGGCCCTAAGCCCTAAGCCCTCAACCCTGGCCCTAAACCCTAAGCCCTAAACCCTCAGCCCTAAGCCCTACAACCCACTTGCCGCCTCACGTCTGATGGCATCTCACCAAGACGACTCAGGGCGTAGAGCTCCGAACCTCCAGTGGGGCTCAGTGGGGCTGAGAGGTTTAGGGCTTTTTTTTGCCACCCGCTTAGCTGACCTCTCGGTTTAGGGTTTAGGGTGTAGGGTCGAGGGTTTAGGGTTTAGGGGTGATATGTTGGGCTGGAGTAGTATGGGGGCCTTATTCAATAGAATAGGGTCATTGGTGAGGTTATGTTAGTAGAAGGATACAGGGACCATGAGGGAATACTACGAGTAGTAGTAATTATTCCGACCCCCTATATGATGTGATACCCGAATCCCTTTAGCAGGCTGCTTAGTCCACATCTGGGCCAGGTCGTGAGACTTTCTGTGGTTTGACGGGCTTTGGCTAAAAACCTGTCTTGATCAACCAATGTAAACTAGCGACAAGAATCCGGGCCCTTGGCGAGACTAGTTTAGGGTTTAGGGTTTAGGGTTTAGGGTTTAGGGACTGCTCCATGGTTTGTTAGGGGCGCTTGAAGCGGCCTAAGGCTCAAAAGCCTTCTAAGAAGCCGCCTTCAACCCCAAACCCTAAACCCTAAACCCTCTACACCTTATAGGCCGCCTACGCCGAATGTAACCCTTCAACCCTACGGGAAGAAAGCTCAAGGAACCTTATCCCCACCCAGGGACTCCCCAGTACCTCTTCATTTAAGGCATCTTCCCTCAAGGTCTATTAGGGTTGAGGAACCTTAAAAAAAGAGGGGGCCCCTAAGACGATTCAAGCAACCTTCCTTCCTTAAGGGTGAATGGGGAGACCGACTCGAGGTAGCCCTAAACCCTAAACCCTGAACCCGAAACCCTAAACCCGAAACCCTGTACCCTAAACCCGAAACCCTAAACCCGAAACCCTCGGTTCTTGAGCTTGCCTCCAGGTGCCCCTCCTCCGCGTCCTCGGCTGGGGGGCCCGTCTCCCCCTCGCGGCGACCAACCTCTGCGCGCTCGGCTTCAGGGTAGGGTTTAGGGTTTAGGGTTTAGGGTTTAGGGTTTAGGGTTTAGGGTTTAGGATTTAGGGTTTAGGGTTTAGGGTTTAGGGTTTAGGGTTTAGGGTTTAGGGTTTAGGGTTCAGCATCTCAAAGTTCAAGCATTCACTAGGCTGGCAGCCTTTCAAGCGCCCGAAAAGTACCCACCCAGGGGGTGGGGGGGGTGGTGGGGGGGTGGGGGGGGGGGTGGGGGGCGGGGGGCGGGGGGGACCTTGCCCACTAAACAAATGACCTTGCCCGCAAAATATATGACCTTGCCCACGAAAAAAAGACCTTGCCCGCTAAATATATGACCTTGCCCGTTAAATATGTGACCTTGCCCGCTAAATATAGGACCTTGCCCGCTAAATATAGGACCTTGCCCGCTGAATATAGGACCTGGCCCGCTAAATATAGGACCTTGCCCGCTAAATATATCACCTGGCCCGGGTCATATATTTAGCGGGCAAGGTCACATATTTAGCGGGCAAGGTCATACATTTAGCGGGCAAGGTCATATATTTAGTGGGCAAGGTCACCCTTTAGCGGGCAAGGTCATATATTTAGTGGGCAAGGTCATTTTTTAGCCAATGGACCTTGCCCACTAAATAATATACGACCTTGCCCGCTAAATATATGACCTTGCCCGCTAAATATATGACCTTGCCCGCTAAATATATGACCTTGCCCGCTAAATATAAGACCTTGCCCGCAAAGTCATTAACATTTATATTATATATGAAAGAGTGGTTTAGGGTTTAGGGTTTAGGGTTTAGGGTTTCGAGTTTCGGGTTTCGGCTGGGGCGAACCCACGTCGCAGGGATGACTTCGAGTCTTGTCTGATAGGGTTTCGGGTTTTAGGGTTTAGCGTTTTATGCTATGGGTCGAAACATCAAGCACTTCCCGGCGAGTCATCGGAATTTTCAAGTGGGGAACGTGAAGACTTTCGAGGTTGTAGGTTCCCTGAATCAGGCATCCTAAGCCCGAAGGAGTTGGAGGTTGGAGGTTCAGGGCTAGGAAGGGCTTGGAGGTGTGCACTTGGGCAACTCCGAAAGCAGCGGTAAACACCCTTCTCTGCTCCAAGTATAAGAACACTATATATATTAATATATATATATGTATATTAATATATATATATATATATATGTATTTATATATATATATATCCCCAGGATCCCCAAACTTGGTACCCTACTTTGGGCAAACTCCTCAGGATGATCTATGAGCTTGCGAACTCAAGGCATTAAGACGCGCATGCCTGGGGCCCGTTATGAAGCCCGAGTTTGGCTGATAACGTCGTTTTGGTGAAGGAATAGTCCCGTAGAGCCTGCCGAAACAGGGTTTAGGGTTTAGGGTTTAGGGTTTAGGGTTTAGGGTTTAGGGTTTAGGGTTTAGGGTTTAGGGGACAACCTTCATCCGTAAGTATAGCCGTAAGCCCTCGTAGTAATAGGGGCACCAAGACCAAACCTCTTTTTGAGGGAAGTGCGAACACGTGAAGACAGTGGTGCCCTTTCGCGTGTCAATAAGTTCGCGGAGAAGCAACAAACCAAGTGTAACCCCACAGCCCCTCCGAAAATGCATGATCCTCAAGCTGCAACAGATCGCGGGGCCAGGAAAACCTTAAGGCTGAGGGTTTGGGGGTTTAGGGCTTAGGGTTACGGAAGGCCACAAGGCTTGAGGGTTTCGGGGCTCAGGGGTCAGTGTAGGGTTCTAAAGGGAGGGGCTCAAGGGGGGCAGGAGGCCTGAAGAACCTGAGGGAAGCTTAGCGTGCCTCAGAGAGTCGTGGGGAGTTTTGGGGAACCTCGGGCTACCTACCCCCCTTGAAGCCCCCCTCCCTCAAGAACCCAAGAATCAACCCTCGCCCTAAACCTTAAACCCTAAATCCTTTGAGCAGCGGACTTTGGGGGCTGCCGGCAAACATGCAAATCCTAAACCCTAAACCCTAAAAAGTCCTTCCAAAAGATCCTTTCCAAGCCGCCTCATCGACGCCCTCCGCCTCGGTCTGGGCTTGCTCCTTCCGGTGCTTGTAGCGCGCTCCTCGGGCGCCGTGGGTTTAGGGTTTGCGGTTTGGGGTTTGGGGTTTGAGGGTTGGGGTTTAGGGTTTGGGGTTTGGGGTTTGGGGTTTGGGGTTTGGGGTTTGGGGTTTGGGGTTTGGGGTTAGGGGTTTGGGGTTTAGGGTTTTAGGTTTAGAGTTTAGGCTTTTGCCCAGGCACATCCCCTAATCATCTCAGGGTCCCCTAGTATAGTTGTATAGTTCAGCAAGGGATCCCTACAAATCGCGGCGCCATAAGGCGCCACGTACGATGAAATGTCCCCTAGAAGTCATAGTAGGACGCATACTGCAACAAGGGTCCTTACCACAAGAAAGGAACAGTGCTTGCAAATGTAAAGAACTGCAATCCACCATCGCAGGACCCTAAACCCTAAACCTATACCCAAACCCTGAACCTCGGGAAGCTCTGGAGACGACCTTGAAAGGCCATCCAGTGCAGGGAGGGTTTAGGGTTTATAGGGTTTAGGGTAACACCTAACAGCCATCAGCAGTCAGAGTCTTCATGACCCTAAGTCGAAACCAGTAGTCGAAACCCTGCAATTAGCAGACTTGACCCGCTCCCTCGCATTCTCCAAACCCTGAACATCCAAGGTTGAAGGGGGGGTATGTAACCCAAGGGTCCTAATACTCCCCACTACTCCCTAAGGCTTTTTCTTCCCTAAGGTTCCCTAACCACGCCTGTACCCACCTCTCGGAACCCTATAATAGTCCATTATCCTCAACCCCCTTCCCCCATCAACCCTCCCACAAGCCTGTCGCAGCCTCAACGGTGCTTGCCAAGCCTGCCACGCACCACCCTCTAGGGTTCACAAGGAGGGGGGGCTCATGGGGGGTACTGTAGGTACCTGGGTGGGAACCTTAAGGAAGTTCGTCTTAGGGAGTTCTACGGGAGCATTGGGGAACCTTGGGTTCTATACCCGCCTTGAACCCTAACCTCTTCAAGACCTAGCCCGCTCAAACTCTAAAACCCCCCCCAAAGCCCATTCAAAGGCACCTTTAAAGACCCTAAGGCCCATTCAAAAGCACCTTTTAAAGCCCTAAGCTCTGAACCCTAAACCCCCCCAAAGCCCATTCAAAAGCACCTTTTAAAACCCCTAAGCTCTGAACTCTAAACCCCCAACCCCTGAGAAACCGCCAGACGAAACGCAGTGCTTGGCAGCGAAGGTTTCGGGCTGAGGGTCCTTCAGGTTCCCGGAAAGTTTAGGGTTCTAGGGTTTTTTAGGGTTTTTTTAGGGTGTTTTAGGGTTTTTTAGGGTTTTAGGGTTTTAGGGTTTGAGGGTTTTAGGGTTTTGGGGTTTAAGGGTTTTAGGGTTTTAGGGTTTAAGGGTTTTAGGGTTTTGGGGTTTTGGGGTTTTAGGGTTTTAGGGTTTTAGGGTCTTAGGGTTTTAGGGTTTTAGGGTTTTAGGGTTTTAGGGCTTTAGGGTTTTGGGGTTTAGGGTTTTGGGGTTCAGAGTGGTTTGGGTTTAGGGCGTTGGGGTGGGGGTTTAGTACGGGTTTAGGGCTTGGGCCTTCGTGGCATGAAGACTGTAGACCCGGCCAGGGGATTTGCACCCTAAACCCTAAACCCTAAACCCTAAACCCTAAACCCTAAACCCTAAACCCTAAACCCTAAACCCTAAACCCTAAACCCTAAACCGGCCCCGTCTCCTGTTAACGACTGAAACCCAAAAAGTCTGCGCTGCTTTTTTTAATTAGTTGAATCCGAATCCCAGAGTTTGTAGGGCTTTCGATTCCTTTGAGGTTTGTAGAGGGCTTGCATAAGGTTCGTCTCTCTGAGGCATTGCTTCCTCCCGGATGTGCATCGGGGCACTCCATGAACCCTCAACCCTAGATTCACACACTTCAGGAAGCCTCAAATGTCCAATCATGCCCATTGGAATCCTGAACACCTGGAACCCAACCCACCCCGCCATCCCTGAAAACAAAGAAGCAGACCCCCCTAGACCCCCATATAATCCTCTCCGCAGCCGGCCCGAAACTGGGTTGCCGGTTGCCTGCTTTTTGATTCCGAATGCTCCGCAGATCCTCCAGGACCTCCAATAGCCAAAACCGAGGGGGTTGAGGGTTTGGTTGAGGGTTCGGTTTAGGGTTTAGGGTTTAGGGTTTAGAGCTTCGAGTCCAGGGTCTCTAAGGGGTTTGGGTTGGCTAGATGTCTCGCAGCCAGGGAAGCGCCACAAATTTAGGGTGGGGTCTTTGGGAACTGGGTTTAGGGTTTAGGGTTGGACTGGACAAAGGCTTTTTGCCTCCTGCCTAAGGTTAAGGGTTAGGAATTTGGGAGTGAAAGGTCCTTAAACCCCTTAGCAACAGGACTCCCCTTCGGGCACACGGCCTTCTTGGCTTCCTTCTTCAGGCCTTTGTCCTGCCAGCAACAAACCGGGCGGCGATGCCCTTGAGCCCTACCCTCTAAACCCTAAACCCTCTGCCTTGTGCCTGCGGGCCACCTTTGCTTGGGCTCGTCGTAAAAGCCCAGTTGTATTGGTAGGGTTTTCTAGCGTGACAGTGTGATAAGAAAAAAATCGCGACTCACCAAACTAGTCATCATCACGCTGTCTGGCTATCTACATATATATATATATGTATATGTGTGTGTACATCCCTGCTCATAATGATACTGTTGTATGCTGAATTGAGGCACTTTTGATTCTCCCTCCAACTACCCAGGAGCCAGCAAGTCCCTCCTAAACCAAGTATTCGCATCTAGTTTGCAGCCTCTCGACTTGAAAACCTGAACCCGAAACCCTAAATCCTAAACCCTAAACCCTAAACCCCACCCCTAACCCTAAATCCTAAACCCTAAATCCCACCCCTAAACCCTAAGCCCTAAGCCCTAAACCCTAAACCCTAAACCCAAAACCCTAAACCCTAAACCCCAACCCCCAAACCCTAAACCCCACCCTAAACCCTCTAAACCCAAAGCTCCAAACTGGCGGGCTCCTGGGATACCTTTCCCAGCTGCTCCAGCGCGGTCCCCAGCTTCTCCAGCACCTCCCGGTCTGTGGTTTAGGGTTTAGGGTTTAGGGTTTAGGGTTTGGGGTTGAGGGTTTAGGGTTTGGGGTTTAGGGTCCCCAACACGTCGACTCTAACGCTAGCAGGCGCGGGCGCAGATCCTGGTACTCAGTGCGCTCATGGGGTATGTAAGGGTTTTGAGGGCATTTCGGGTATGTAGAGTTCAGGGCATTTCAAGTGTAACTAGGACGTGTAGGCTTTTTGTGGTATTTAGGGCTTCTAGGGTATGTAGGGTCTAGGGTATTTAGGTAGGAGGGATTCTGAATCAGGGAAGCCGATGCAAGAAAAATACGTGAGAACTCCGACATCACCGACGTACTTCGTAAAACTGCCAAGAAGGTGTAGGCTTTAGGATTTAGGGTTCCCCACAAGCCGCCACCTTGGAAACCTAGACTAGAAAGTAAATACCTCCAAGTCTGGAATTTCCCGACGAGGCGACTTCAAAATCCTCATCCCAGACTCAGAGCAGCAGCTGCGACCACCAAGCCAAACCCTAAACCCTAAACCCTAAAACCCAAACCCCAAACCCTAAACCCTAACCCCCTATGAAGTTTTTCACGAGAGAGCCGCGGCCTGTGCCCCGTCCGAGGTGTTCAGCGTCCCAGTTAGTTCCAGGGCTTTCTTCGCCTGGGAAAGACCCTCTTTTAATCGGACGGTTCAGGGTGAAGGGTGTTAAGGGGTTAGGGTTCTTGGTTGAGATTTTTGAGGGCTGTTAATTGCGGCTTGATGTTGTGTGGGGTTTTGAGGGTTGGAGCTCGGGCGCACGGCTCTTGCCAGGTGTACACAGGATTAAACATACTTGCTCAAGGAGGTCTTCGAGACAACCACCAGTGGGCAATTCCATGAATCATGGAGTCCTTCTGAGGTTCGCAAGTACAATACGCAGCCTCTACCTCAACTCCCCTTAGAACCTAAAAATGATATAATATTTTTCATATCCTCTTGGGTGTTATGTAGACAAAATAAAAAAACACTACCCAAGGGGGATATAGCTATATTGCAGGGCCAAAAGCCAGCGCAGCACTTAAGAGCTGCTCAAGTGTGAGGAACAAAGGCATAATCGCACACGAGGCGCGGCCCCACGAAGCAAGAACACCGTGGCAAGGGGACACAGAGGTCCCTAAACCCTAAACCCTAAACCCTAATCCATTGCCTTAGGGTTTAGGGTTTAGAAGGTTCTTTAGGGTCCAGGGGCTTCGGCTCTCATCTGCAAGATCCATGTTCCTGAGCGGTTTGCCTGTCTGAAGTTGACAATGGAGTCGTCCAGCTGGTTCCTGGCATGCCAAAAAAAGTCTAGGGTTTAGGGTTTAGGGTTTAGGGTTTAGGGAAAATTTGTGCACTGAAACTCGTGTCACTGCTCTTCCGTTCCGGGTTTTCGTTAGGGAACTTGACTTTATGTTACCAAGAACAGCCTAAGTGCCTTAGCGTGGGTAACGTGATTGAAGTGATCAAGAACCGAACCTCCAGCCTTTCATTCAGGCCTTCAGAACAAGATTCACGGTCTTTGGTGTCCAGGGATGTGGCAGCTCGCTGATGAAAAGCAGTCATAGATATGTAATCTCTATATTTTAAAATACATATTAATATATAATCTGTATATATGTATAACCTATATATGTTTACCGTATATATATATATATATGTATATACACACCTCTCTCTCTATATATATATACACACAATGTGTTTTTTGTGTAAGGCCCACTTCGACACAAAATACGCCTTCACCAACATCAGATCCAAACCCCCCCATCCCAGAGCCGACCGCCCAGCACCCTTTCAGGAGTTGGTTGCTACTGGGGCTTAGGGTTTTTGGTTTTGGGGCCCCCCCCCCCCGCCCCCCAGCACCCTGCACCCCCGCCAGAAAAACGCAAAAACACAAAAAACTTCCCTGTTAGGTTAATAAGGGGGTTGTTGCTTTGTATGTTATTTTTATTTTTTTTTTTTTGGGGGGGGGGGGTTCTTAAGCAAATAGTAGTTTCTGGTTGCATGTGGTGCATGAGGGAACACTAGGGCGAATGCGTCCTTCCGGGCAGGCCGATGTGCGAGCCACCATGGCCCTTAGATCCCTGTGACAACTTACAGCTAAACACGAAGCTCGAACTCAAAAAGGGCAAGTACAAAAACCCTAAACCCTAAACCCTAAACCCTAAACCTCTGAACCTCAGACTCAGAGCATCAGCTGGCGGTCGGGAGGCCTGTCCAGCTGCGCGCAGGCCAACGTGTGCAGCAGCCGGGCAGCTTCGGGTGTGTCGAGCGTGTTATTGTCCTGCCGCCGTTTGGGGTTTGGGGTTGGGATGTTCCCCTTTTTCCTGACAGTCCTTAACTTAAGAAGGATCATAGTACACCCGATTCTAGAAGCCCTATAAAGAACTGTTAGTATAAGGGGGGACATCCCAAGTTGGGGGGTTTAGGCAACCCTTTGTAGGGGCCCCGTCATTAAAGGCACCCAACAACCCCCTGATCCCCAGACCCGGACAGCCACAACACACAAACACAAAAATCCTGAAGCCGAAAGCATGCAGGCGAAAAGGAGCCACGAGCAGGGCACAAAAGCACCTTCCAACTTACAAAATCTGGGAACTTCGTAGTATGTACCCCATGTACACCCAGCAGGGCCCTTTAACCTAAACCTGAAACCGTAGGGCCCTAAACCAACAAACCCCAAACCCAGACTCTGTGAGGGACCCTGAGCCAATAATCGCTGGCAGGACCCTTTTGCCTCAAATCCCGTGCGGACGGGGATTCTGGACGTTTTCTTACTTGGAGGTTCATGGGTAGTTCTAGGTGGGTTATAAGTAAGGCAACGATACTTATCACCGGCTATAGAGCCTTATCTAGGGTACTTATAGCCCTACTTACAACTGCCCATGAACCTTCAAGTACACCCCCAACACATGCCTCTTGGGACGAACCATTTGTCAACAAGGCCTTTTTGAGGGCAATGCAGGGCGAACCCAAACCGTACCTGGCCATGTTTCCTGGGCAACTTTAGTACTGACTTTCTTGTTGCATTAGGGGTTCTGGGACCTCTTAAAACCCTAACCCGAACCCTTCTTGCGAACCCTAAACCCTATAAACCCTAGACATCCCTAAACCCCAAGCAGGGTTCAAAACTTGATTCGACTGCTGCTCGTCTCGTCATATAAACAGATCTCGGGCAATCTGCGGCGTGACCCGCCGCAGCTCAACGTCGGTGTGGATGAGCTCGACCACGCGAGCGGCCAAATGCAGGAAGTTGATGCTGTGCCTGGTGGAGTGCCCATCCTCGAACATTTCCTCATAAGCCACCGCACGTCCCCAAAGCTGAATCCCAGTAGGCCTGCCATCCTCACTCAACCCTGTCGGCACCGCGAGCTTCGGAATATGGATGTGCTTCATGATGTCGTTAATGGGGTAAACACTCTGCCACATGCTTGACAGCGCGGGGCGACCTTCTGCATCGATTGCGGGCGCGGTGCCGGTCAATGTTTGAGCCAGGTCCGGAGTTGCATTGTACGCTGCAGGAACCAAGACGAAGTCTAAGCCCTCAGCGTCGAAGAGCGAGTTGTATCGCCGAACCTGATCCTGGATGAAGGGACCCATGGCGTAGCGGTAGTCCGTCTCGCTTTTGCACGGCGGCTCAGTGTAAAACTTGTTGGGGCGATGTGCTCCGAAGGGGGTCGTGGCGGCAGCAATCTCTTTGAGGCTGACTGGAGCATCGAGGTATTCGTAGACAAAGTGGGCAATTTGCCCAAGGTAGCTGTGGTACAACCAGCCCTTGGCTTCCTTGTCCGAGGTCAGTGGCAACACCCCCTCCTTCTCAGAGTCGCCTGCTGCCAAGGGCCAGCTTGCATCCTTGGAGGGCTTAGGGTTTAGGGTTTAAGGTTTAGGGTTCAGGGTTTAGGGTTTAGGGCTACTTGGAGGTTCATGGTACTTATTAACCAATTCTAACTGTACTTAGAACCCACTTATAGGCCCCTGAAGTGCCCTTGTTATATGGCTATAAGTACAGATTTAAGTACAGTTCGAATTGGTTCATAAGTACCCTGAACCTCCGAGTCCTTCAGCGTCACCGGCGCCAGGGCGCGCCGCGCCGCCTCGTAGGCCTTGCGCATGGCCGCGTCCAGCTGCCGTGTCCTTGGGGGGAGCGCAAGTGAACCCTAAAGGGTTTAGAGTTTAGAGGGTTCATAGTGCCCAAAAAACGGGAGTTTCATATTGCCTTTAACAGGCAATTCTAGGTAGTAAATACAGGAGTATAGGAGTATAGGACCCCCAAATATGTAGGGTTCCTTTGGGTAGTAAATGTAGGGTATAGGACCCCCAACAAGGTAGGGGTTCCTTTGGTCCCCCAAGGTTCGGGCCCTTCACCCAGGGCCACTGGGGGAAGGCAATGCGGATGCTGCGCAGGTCCCGCGCGGCGGCCGCCCTCGCGGCCGCGGCGTGGAGCTCCGCGGCGCCAAAGCGGTCTTGCATCCTTACTTCTCCAACAATTTAAGGGGGAAAAGAGGGCTAGACTTTAAAATTCCTACCCTAAACCCTAAACCCTAAACCCAAAAAGTTTAAAGTTCAACTAAAGGCGAAGCAAGCGTCAGCTCCCGGTCGTAGAAGAGGAGGTCGGCCATGCTGCGGCACAGAACACCAATCCTTGGTTTTGGGGAGGAGGTTTAGGGTTTAGGGTTGAGGGTTTAGGGTTTCGGGTTTAGGGGGATGTTCCCCCCTTATACTATCAGTTCTTACTGGGGATGAAAGTACCCCCCGGTTAGAATCCCTACTATGGACTGTTAGTATAAGGGGGCCCATCCCAAGACGCACCCTAAAAGGGTTTGCTGTTCACATTATGCCTTAATAGGAATAGTAATAGTGTAGGGCATAGGACCCCAAGAAGAGAGTTCGTTTGGTCCCCAAGGATCTGGTCGTTTGTGAAGGTCATGCCGCAGTTCCCATCGTTGGGGTAGTGGTTCCGTGCCGGATCGAAGCCGAAGAGGCCGTTGAACAAGGCCGGCACACGAGTTGAACCCCCGGTGTCCTCACTCACAGCCACCGGACACATGTGCCTGGGTTCTTCAGCATCCCAAGAAGCAACCGGGTGCCCTGCACTTCTTCATTTGGGTTTACAAGGGATCTTAACCCAACCCCCCCCCCAACAAAAATTAAAGAAAGTGAATAAGGGCACTACTCGGCATCCCAGGTGCATACTCACGGCTGACCCAGCTCCCCCAGAGCTGCCACCGGGAGAAAACGCGTGATTGTAGGGGTTGCGGCACTGGCCGCTTGCAGGGTTGGCCGTGTTTGTTGAGGCCGCAAACCTTGGGGACGAAACGGACCCTGGGGGCGTTTATGGTTCATGTACCTTAATAGGAATTATAGTAATAGAGGTTCTATGCCTAGGACCCCAATTAAAGGGTTCAAATTTGGTCCCCAAAGAGCTCGGGAACGTTGCTAGTTCCGAGAATGATGCCGTTGCGACTGTAGATAAGCTCAGTGAGCTCGCTGTTCTTAACCTTGGTAGCCCAGTATCCATAATGCAGTAAGGATACCCTTTTGGGGGCGGGGGTTGGTTACTTTATATCAGGGAGCCCTGAACCAACAAAGGGGCACAAGAGTACCACTGGGCTACCCTAAACCCTCAACCCCTCAACCCCGCAACCCCTAAACCCCTAAACCCTAACCCCTAAACCCTGAACCAAGTAGCAGGAGTGTAGCTACTCAATATGTCAACCCCACAGCCGGATGGAAAGTCGACAACCGCCGCGGTGCCCTTCATCGGGATCGGCAGACCATACAGAGGGCCGATGGCTTCGACACCTTCAGGCTGGTTCTTGGTAGGGAATGAGGGAATGAGGTACCCTGTATAATCCCTTAAAGGGTGTAAAAATATATGTACTATATGTATAGATCTCTCTCTCTTTCTGTACACATAATAACTATAAATATATATATATATATATGCTACCCCCCCCCCATGGACCTACCAATTTCCTTTGTTTTGCTGGTGTGTGTTTGGCAGGTGTCCGAATTTTGTTGGTGTGTGTGTGTGTGGCATGTGTCTGAGCCAGATGCCCCGGGCAGAGAGATGACTTGGGAATTTAAGGAATTTAAAGAATTTAAAGAGGCCTAAATTCTTTAAATTCCTTAAATTCCTAAATTAGCCCTAATTTAGGAATTTAAGGAATTTAAGGAATTTAAGGAATTTAAGGAATTTAAAAAAGTTCAATTTACGGCCCAGAAGCAATTTAATTTAATTTAGGAATGTAAGGAATTTAAAGAATTTAAAGACGCCTAAATTCTTTAAATTCCTTAATTCCTAAATTAGCCCGAATTTAGGAATTTAAGGAATTTAGGGAATTCAAGGAATTAAAAAAAATTTTAAATTAGGGCCCAGAACCAATTTAATTTAATTTAGGAATTTAAGGAATTTAAAGAATTCAAAGAGGCCTAAATTCTTTAAAAATTCCTTAAACTCCTAAATTCAATTAAATTGGTTCTGGGCCGTAAATTGAAATTTTTTAGATTCCTTAAATTCCTTAAATTCCTTAAATTCCTTAAATTCCTTAAATTCCTTAAATTCCTTAAATTCCTATATTAGGGCTAATTTAGGAATTTAAGGAATTTAAAGAATTTAGGCCTCTTGAAATTCTTTAAATTCCTTAAATTCCAAAATTAATCCCTAATTTAGGAATTAAAGGAATTTTAGGAATTTAAGGAATTTATAAAATTTAAAATTAGGGCCCAGAACCAATTTAATTTAATTTAGGAAATTAAGGAATTTAAAGAATTTAAAGAATTTAAAGAGGCCTAAATTCTTTAAATTCCTTAAATTCCTAAATTAGCCCTAATTTAGGAATTTAAGGAATTTAAAGAATTTAAAGAGGCCGAAATTCTTTAAATTCCTTAAATTCCTATATTAAATTAAATTGGTTCTGGGCCGTAATTTAGAATTTTATAAACTCCTTAAATTCCTTAAATTCCTTAAATTCCTAAATTAGGGCTAATTTAGGAATTTAAGGAATAAAGAATTTAAAGATGCCTAAATTCTTTAAATTCCTTAAATTCCTAAATTAGCCCTAATTTAGGAATTTAAGGAATTTAAGGACTTTAAAAAATTTCAATTTACGGCCCAGAACCAATTTAATTTAATTTAGGAATTTAAGGAATTTAAAGAATTTAAAGAGGCCTAAATTCTTTTAATTCCTTAAATTCCTAAATTAGCCCTAATTTAGGAATTTAAGGAATTTAAGGAATTCAAGGAATTTAAAAAATTTTAAATTAGGGCCCAGAACCAATTCAATTTAATTTAGGAATTTAAGGAATTTAAAGAATTTAAAGAGGCCTAAATTTTTAAATTCCTTAAATTCCAAAATTAATCCCTAATTTAGGAATTTAAGGAATTTTAGGAATTTAAGGAATGTATAAAATTTAAAATTAGGGCCCAGAACCAATTTAATTCAATTTAGGAATTTAAGGAATTTAAAAGCAGAAAGTACGCGCATGACGACTCTGCAGGATTCCATTTTTTTTGTGGATCGATGAAGTCTCCGAAACCTACATGGCGGCTCAGTGAGATCGATTGGCCTTGGGTACCAAAAGGTGGCACATGCAGATCACATGGTGTGCGACATTATATATGACTATGGCTCTAGATCAAGAAAATTTATATAAAACATGGGTAGGGGTTCAAGAACGTGGGTAAAACCAATGTTTTGGAGAGGCCACCTTCAAGAAACATTGGTAAAACCAATGTTTTGGGGAGGCCACCTTCAAAAAACATCGGCAAAACCAATGTTTTTGGAGCCCCTGCTCAGGAAACATCGCAAAAACCAATAAAAACCATAAAAACCATGATTTTTCAAACTACTCGGAGACCCCAAGCCTATAGTTTGGAAAATCATGGTTTTTATGGTTTTTATTGGTTTTTGCGATGTTTCGTGAGCATGGGCTCAAAAAACATCGGTAAAACCAATGTCTTTTGACGGTAGGGGTTCAAAAACATCGGTAAAACCAATGTTTTGGAGAGGCCACCTTCAAAAAACATCGGTAAAACCAATGTTTTTGGAGCCCCTGCTCAGGAAACATCGCAAAAACCAATAAAAACCATAAAAACCATGATTTTTCAAACTACTCGGAGACCCAAGCCTATAGTTTGGAAAATCATGGTTTTTATGGTTTTTATTGGTTTTTGCGATGTTTCGTGAGCATGGGCTCAAAAAACATCGGTAAAACCAATGTTTTTTGAAGGTAGGGGTTCAAAAACATTGGTAAAACCAATGTTTTGGAGAGGCCACCTTCAAAAAACATCGGTAAAACCAATGTTTTTGGAGCCCCTGCTCAGGAAACATCGCAAAAACCAATAAAAACCATAAAAACCATGATTTTTCAAACTACTCGGAGACCCCAAGCCTATAGTTTGGAAAATCATGGTTTTTATGGTTTTTATTGGTTTTTGCGATGTTTCGTGAGCATGGGCTCAAAAAACATCGGTAAAACCAATGTTTTTTGAAGGTAGGGGTTCAAAAACATCGGTAAAACCAATGTTTTGGAGAGGCCACCTTCAAAAAACATCGGCAAAACCAATGTTTTTGGAGCCCCTGCTCAGGAAACATCGCAAAAACCAATAAAAACCATAAAAACCATGAATTTTCAAACTACTCGGAGACCCAAGCCTATAGTTTGGAAAATCATGGTTTTTATGGTTTTTATTGGTTTTTGCGATGTTTCGTGAGCATGGGCTCAAAAAACATCGGTAAAACCAATGTTTTTTGAAGGTAGGGGTTCAAAAACATTGGTTAAACCAATGTTTTGGAGAGGCCACCCTTTTTTGAAACATCGGTCAAGCCGAGGTTTCAAATGGGGGGGGGGGGTACCATATATAATAACTATAAATATATATATATATATATATGTATATATATAGAGAGACAGAGAGAGAGAGCCCTATAATTCCCTCATCCCCTACTAAGAACATCTAAGAACCAGGGGGGCCTTTTGCCGCTGCAGTCCGGTCCAAGGCTTTGGCGCGTTCCACGGCAATGCTGAAGAGCTCGTAGCTGCGGAAGGTCCACTGGTTCATGTAGCGGTAGTAACCTAGGAATAAAAAAAAAGGGTACCCTTTTTGGGTTTTAAGGGGATTATAAGGGAAGCCCAACCCTAAAGAAAGGAGAAAGGGCCTACTCCGGGTCCTGGTAGCAAGCCCTCCGGACCAGCAGAGCGGTGTACTCCTCGCAGCTCACTCGCCCAGCCTTGCGCTCCTCTGTATACTCCCGTGCGGAAAGCCTTAGCAGATGCTTCTCTCGCTGCGTCAGCGGCTGTGCAGTCTTCATGGGCACCGCCTCAAAAACCTCCCGGAACCATGTCGCCAGCTTGTCGCCTTCCCGGCAATCCACGGGAGGGAAGTCAGTGCTAGGGCTGTACTTCACGCGCTTTGCCTCCATGGCACCTGCGCGCCTATGAATTCCTTGTCAAAAGTGTCTAGACTGGCATGGTCACCCTGATCAACTCCTGCCAGGTGCTGCCTTCGGCACCTTTCCCAGTGCACTCCAACCATAGAAGGTTTATAGGGTTTAGGGGTTAGGGTTTAGGGTCATGGAACTAAGTGTCCCAACGCTGAGCCGCAATTTGGGGACTAGGCAGGCACGATGTGCACCTTGATTCATGCTCGGTGGCCCCTGAACTGGCAGAAATGGCCTGAAGGCATTTGATGACCTGCGTTTGGGGGTTTTGGTGAGTTTCGTGTTCAGGGTATGTCTCCGCAGACATGAAGGATATCGCAGGGCAGCACAATCCGTCCTCTCGGATCTTCTTCGCCTGCAAAGCATGCCATGACAAGTGCAGCACATCACTCTCCGAAACTTCCAAGATCGCCAAATGTCCTCTGAGTCGTAGTAGGATCGTTACTGTACGAGGAAAATATCCATGAGCCATAGTAGGGCTCATCTACCATGCAAGGAATACCATAAGAACCCATAACCTAATTTTGTTGTAGCCTCTTATCACAAAACCCCGTCGAGCATTCTTAGCCAACCTCTAAAAAATAGTTTTTGGGTTTTTAAGGTATTCCGGGGGGGGGGGGGTCTTTTACTGCGAAGTTGATGAATCCTAGCTCATTCCAGCCCACATTCCAGCCCACAAGCCCCGTCCTCAACCCTGAAACCGAGGGAATCCTCCACCCTTGGGGTTTTGTGGGTGTGGGGTTTGCAGGGCTTTGGGGTTTTGACAAGGTTTGTAGGGTTTGTAGAGCTTTATAGGCTTCAGAAGGTTTAGAGGGTATTAACAAGGTTTGTGGGGTTTACAGGGTTTGTGGCGACCCTAAACCCTAAACCCTAAACCCTAAGCCCTAAACCGTCAGCCCGAGGGCGCTCAAGCAGCGCCTCCTCGTAGAGACCAATGGCTCGGTCGATGTCGTCTTGCCCACCCCGGGTGCGCAGGGCGTTGCCTTCCTTGGGGCGAATTACCCTAAACCCTAAACCCTAAACCCTAAACCCTAAACCCTAAACCCTAAACCCTAAACCCTAAACCCTAAACCCTAAACCCTAAACCCTAAACCCTAAACCCTACACTTTGCTCGGGCTGAAGCTTCGAGAGGTTTGGAGTTCAGGGTTTTGAGGAGCAAGGGTCCGGGAAACAAGTTCCCCAAACCCTTTCTTTCTTTCTTTCTTTCTAGGGGCTTGGGGTCGGCGCCCCGGGCATCTTTGCCCGCCCCTGTTTCGGGGTGGAAGCGGTTGGTATCCGGTGCCCGGGTGTACTCTGCCAACTGTTTCCAAACCCTCTCTCTCTCTCTCCACACGCTCTCTCTCTCTCTCTCTCTCTCTCTCTCTCTCTCGCTCGCTCTCTCAGGCACTCGAAGCGTCAGGCCGTAAACCCTACACCCTAAATCTTGGCGAAAATAGGTTTACGAAAATAAGGGACCCTAATATAAACCCCAAATAGTAGGATTCCTTGTAACAACAAGGTACCCCTAAGTTCGACAAACCCATGTCTTACAAGGTAGCCCTAATTTCGGAAACCCCCAGGTGGCAGCTAAAAAACCCTGACTGCAGGAGCGAGCAAAATGCCTAAACCCTAAACCCTAAACCCTAAACCCTAAACCCTAAACCCTAAACCCTAAACTCCCGCCAACGGAGGCTAAACATTGCACAGTGGATTTAGGGATTGCTAGGAGTCCTCTAGGGTTTAGGGTTTTTTTGGTCTAGGGCAATGGGCTGCACACACTCTCATTCTTGATCCACCTGATTCACGATGGGGCCATTGCGACCCTTCATCATACATCTCCCAACACAATCGGTACCCCCTTCCTGGACCCGGGAGTAACCTAGGAATAAGAAAAGGGTACCCTTTTTGGTGTTAAGGGGATTCTAAGGGAACCCCAACCCTAAAAAAAGGAGAAAAGGGCCTACTCCCTGTGCTAGCTTCTTATGTGCCCCCGAAATGCTGGAATCTTGATTGTATCAACTCTTAGAATGCCCTCTTGTGGGAACCCATGTGGGTCTTGATGGTCTTGCAGGAAAATGACACAAGGGACTTAAGGAGGGACGCCGAGAAGGAGCCCTGGGGCACCCCCCCATTTTTTTTGGCTCTGGGGTCTAGTGACTAGTAGATGGTTGAGAACGTTTGGTTTGGGGTGTTAGGGTTCCGTCCTCGGCGCTTTCGGCACAAGCACCGCTTTTTGTTTTCTCTGGTTTGGGGGCGGGGGGGGGGGGGGGGGGGGGGGGGGGGGGGGGGGGGGGGAATGGTATCCCCGAGAGCCGGGCCCCTACCAAGAGTTGCGCGCCCTCGTCGGTAAGCAGTGTCTTGGTGGCCTTGTTCTACATGCAGGTTTTAGGGTTTCGGGTTTAGGGTTGCGGTTATGGCAGGAGATGTGTGAGCTCTGACCCGCGAGGAACAGTAAAACGACGACTCCGGGACAGGATATACCGTAGCTAGGCAAAAGCGCAGCAACACCACTAGACAGGGTTTAGGGCCAGAAATGCTAGAGCTCTGGGTTAAATGGAAGAAAACAAGCGTTTGGTCAGGATTTGGGTTTAAAGTCTAGAGGTTTCAATTTAGGATACAGGGTTCTACTGCTCGTCAAGTTTGGGATATCCTGAGTTGAGGGTTTTGGGCACTGGACATGTCAAAAGGAGTCATTTCTTTGTCATAGGCATGAACTTGACCCTTGCCCGAACACTTTTGAAACCGATGCAGCACTGGCAGGTAAACCCAAAGCCAAGACACTAGTCACTAAACCCTCCAGCCCCTCAAGCCCCTCAGAAACCCCCAAGCCCCTCAAGCCCCTCAAGCCCCTCAAGCCCCTCAAGCCCCTCAAGCCCCTCAAGCCCCTCAAGCCCCTCAAGCCCCTCAAGCCCCTCAAGCCACTCAAGCCCCCAAACCCTCGAAACCCCTCAAACCCTAAACTCTAAACCCCTAAACCCTAAACCCTAAACCTGTCCAACCCTAAACATCAGAAGCCCAGGTCCCCCTTTTTGAGAATCCTTCTAAGCTGGCCTCGCGGATGCGGCGGGCCTCCTGAGTTTAGGGTTTAGAGGGTTTAGGTTTAGGGTTTTTTCGGCCGCCCGCATAGCTGAATGGTAACATCCACTTCGCGGGGATTGGGCGGTTTAGGGTTTATTGAGTTTAGGGGTCTAATCCGAAGTTCATGGAAACTCAGCTCGAGACAAAAACCAAAAAAACAGTAGGACAATCAAAGTATGATGCGCGTTTTTCGCGACGGCCATATCGACTTCAACTCGACTACTGGTGCGGCGGGCCTCCTGAGTTTAGGCTTCTAGGGTTCAGGGTGAAGGGTGCAGGGTTTGGGGTTTTGTCATGCCTTGCGAAACCTTGGGGTTTGGGGTTTGGGGTTCAGGGAAACACCTGGCTCCACAACCCCCCGACACAAGAGCACGAAAGCAAGAAGCTGAGCTCTTCAACCAGCCAATGTTCTTGACCGTAGCACATATACCCATCTGATATCTAACCCTAAACCCTAACCCTAATTATAGTACCTTTACTGAAGTTCCTTCATGACAGCAAGAAGTCCTCGTACATGTTCAGAGCCGTGTCCAGGTCCCCGCGGTCCTTCACCTGACCAGGCATGGTCTTCCCTTCTTGCTGCTTAGGGTTTTTTTCCCACCCGACTAGCCAGCAGCAATGCGGGGTCATCATTACGGCAACCGGAGAAATGCCCAGCTATTCGCTAAGACTCGTCCAAGGACCTGATGAAATGCCCGGCTAAACGCTAAAGCTCGTCCAAGGACCTGATGGTACTGTTGATGGACGAAATCCTGCATCACTTTTATCATGCAGGTCATCCCTTCCAAACCCTGAATCTTAACATCGCTGTTCTTGCAATGCTTCGAAAGTACATGTGTGTGAATGACCGAAATCCTGCATCACCCATATGCGCGCGCAACGTTGAAATCGAGGGGTGCGGAGAGCTCGATTGCCAACCGTCGCACACGTGTAACGTAGGGGGTCATGCAAGATTTTGTCCATCCACAGTCTCGGACAAGATAAGTAACTGACTTGTTGGCAAGAGTTGTTGCTGGAATGGCTTTTGGGAAGAATGTCGGAGAATGGCCTTTGCGAAGAATGTCGGAGATGTACCTTTTGCAGCTTCAATATATATATATATATATATATATTTATTTATATTTATATTTATATTCCCCACCCTCGGTGTGGGGTTGTTAGATTTTAAACTCAACTCTTCTCCTCCTCGGTGTGGGGTTGTTAGATTTTAAACTCAACTCTTCTCCTCGCCCGGTCTACTCCCAGAGACTCCCTGGAGTGCCCAACCCCAGAGACTCCCTGGAGTGCAAGCCCAGAGACTTTCTGGAGTGCCCAACCCCAGAGACTCCCTGGAGTACCCAACCCAGAGTCTCCCTGCAGTGCCCAACCTCAGAGACTCCCTGGAGTGCCCAATCCCAGACCAGAGACTCCCTGAAATGCCCAACCCCAGAGACTCCCTGGAGTGCCCAACCCCAGAGTGTCTCTACCCAGAAAGGGAAGTAAAAATAATTTGTACTTATTTACTTCTGCATATGCACGTATAGATGTAGATACACATGCAGGAAAAGAGGAAGCGAGAAAGAGGGAGAGAGAGAGGAGCCGTGAAGAGAAAATAACATAAGAAAATCACATCAGCACCCCGGCATCTTGCATCCAGATGCGTTAGCAGGTGAACTTTTGCTGTCCGGAACACTTCTTTTCTTCACATGGCATGGGGGCTGTCCGAAATTCCTTCATCCCAGGCTGGGGGCTTGCGAGGCGCTTGAGGGTGTGCAGTGGTGCTCAGCGTGGTTTTCGTGGAGGATCACAGACAAACTGAGACAGCTGGGTACTCCATCCCGTGCACCATTCCCTGCGAGGAGTGCGCGCCTGGTTTTTGCAAGTCTTTGTAGTACTTGGCTTTCGCTATAAGTCGCAGACCCGAGTTTTCGACCCTCACAAGCTCGAGGACAGCAGGCACCGCACCCCGAAACCCACCCTACATCCCCACTATATACTGCACCAAGAGCCTTGTCCTTGTCATTGGCATACTTGCGGACCTCGGACTTACTGGAAAGCTCTCTTGAATGAGCAAAATCTATTGGCTTGGAATGACCTGCTAGCCTGTTGATGTTTCGTGGCTACTTGAGTGCGCTTGCTCGCGAGGAGAGTTTTCGGGAGAGGAATTCCCCAGGTACTAAGGCTTCTCTCAACGGGGGTGTATAAGTGATGCAATGCCCACGGCTTAGACTAAATGATGTAATTTAAGAAAATCATTAATATTAGGATTATCTATGTAACTTTGTATATTCGTGTTATAATATCAAATATGTTTTAAAAATTATTCACTTTCAGTAATCGACACAGCCGCCAAGAACGCAGGTTTTCATGAGGGCTCCCATCCTTGCATCGTTCTCGCCGTAACCCTAAACCCTAATCGAGTCAAGGCTCCTATAGGGTCACCAAAGGTCCCTAAAAGCGACCCTAAACCCTAAACCCTAAACCCTAAACCCTAAACCCTAAACCCTAAACCCAATTTCAGGCCGGGGCCTCTGGAGCCTAACGCAGTGACAAGGCTTCTGGTCGAAGGGCCATTACATGGACCCTTAATATGGTCCCTTACCTCCTTTTAAAGGGTTCTGATGTATCGTCCCTTAGGGTATAAGGGGGTATGTGAGGGTCCCCATTTAAGGGCCCATACTGACCATGCAACTACCCTTTGTTCGGGCCAAGAACAACTTAAAGTTGCGTGTTGTGTTTCATGTTTCTTCTCTGCTCCTCAGCCACGAACTGCCAGGCACCCTGTTGGAGCAGAACGCCCCCGACTTCGTGTCCACACACTGAGAGTTTAGGGCTCAGTGCTCCAAACCCGCTAACCTTATTCTACTCCTCTGACTCTATTCGAGCCATGAACGAAGGAACATCGAGGAGTTCGGGATTCAGGGTCCACAGGTCCTAACCCTAAACCCTAAACCCTAAACCCTCAACCCTAAACCCGGACCCTAAACCCTCAACCCTAAACCCTAAACCCTACACGCTTTCGAAGCTCAGCTCCTCACCCGCAGCGACCCGATGGTACCTGGACTCAACACCACAGCTTGGGCTCGAGGAGCTGCCAGGGGGTTCAGGGCTTAAGAACCACTGGTTTTGAGGGTTTAGGGTTTAGGGTTTGGGGTTCAGGGTTTAGGGTCTAGGGTTTAGGGTTTAGGGTTTAGGGTTTAGGGTCTTTAGAGATCATCAAGTTGTCAGCAAGATGACATACTCAAGGTGTGTCGAATGTAGGGTTTATCGGGTTTAGAGTTGACACCCTAAGCCCTAATTTAGGTTTTAGGGCCCGAAGGCTCTTGAGTACCACGCTCTCGAGCGGGGACTGACGGAGTCCCCTCCTGCTTGACAGGTTCAAACCCCTAAGCTTCAGCCGTCAAAGGTCCAAAAAAAAACCGCAACAGAGGTATAGAAGCCCCTAACCTACTGATTGATTGTTATTTTCTATTCGTTAGGGTTTCTTAAGCAAATCGTAGCAACAGCATGGTCTCCGGTTTCGGGTCTTGAATTTCTTGAATTGAGGGCCTTCGGGTTTTGGACGCTTGAAGAAGCAGCCAGACCTCCAAGCAAGCCCTGCAACAAACACAAGCAAGCCATGCTCCCTGACCCCTAAACCCCAAACTTACAGGGTTCGTAAGGGAGGGGGGGGTTCAAGGAGGGTATGTAACCGAGGGGGTATGTAACCCAAGGTTCCCTAATGCTCCCCAGTACTCCCTAAGGCTCCCTAAGCTTTCCTGAGGTTCCCTAGCTACCTACCCCCCTTGAACCCAACCCGCCTCCTTAAGAACCCGATAACAAACTCCAACCTTATGCAGACCCAGACCCACTAAGAACATGCCAGAATCTCATCTGCAAAAGCTTAGAAGAACCAAAAAAACCTACATAAGCAGATACATTCTGCCGTGCCTAGTGCCTATGAACGCTGAAATTGGGTGCTTCCTGATATATATATATATATATATATATATATATGCCCCCGGATACCGGATAGAGCATACCCTTGATAAACCCACCCCCCCCCCCCCCCCAAATAAGGGGCGTCTACTTTTGCAAAAACCTAAAACCTTGAACCCGAACCCATAACCCCTAAACCCTTAAATCTTAACCCAAGCCTAAACCCTACAAACCCTAAACACCTTGCCCTAACCCAAAATAACATTCCAGTGTCCAGCCCGGGGGCTCATAAGGCGGGCTCCATCCGATGTTTCCAAGCTGTTGGTCTTCTCTCCTTGGCTGTGGTGGTTTAGGGTTTAGGGTTTAGGGTTTAGGAGGGTTTAGGGTTTAGGGCTTATAGGTTGGTCTTCCGTCCTTGGCCGATGGGGTGGCTTAGGGTCTAGGGCCCTATAACGGGAGTTACAGCCTCTCACAGTACGGGCCCTTCATTGGGGACGTTTAAGGGATTACATGTTTCCCTCATTCCCTACTAAGAGCCAGTAGGAAGGATCTGAAAACTACTCGAAAAGTTATCCTCCTCTTACCTATACTCCCCTTAGAACCTTAATAAAAAAAATAGTATGTTCAATATCCTCTTGGGTTTTATGCAAACATTTTTTTTTCTAAAAAATGCTTCCCAAGGGGGATATAGTATCCACCTATATATACCCCTAAACCCTAAACCCTAATTCCCAAGGGATATAGTTACACCCAACAAGGGAAACATGGTAAACTCTGCCCGAGGGCCTGCCGAGCAACTCCAGGCCAAGGCCCGGAGCGGCACAAGCCCGTGCCTTAAGCCCCCCCCCCCCCCCCCGCACCCGCCCGAACCCTAAACCCTAAACCCTAAACCCTAAACCCTCAACCTAAACTCCCCGCCGGGGCTGCAGCCGAGGGGCGAATCTGTCGAGCCTCCTCACACGTTGCCAAGGCCCGAGTGATGTCCTTGAGCTCGGCGGAGACCTTCAGTCAGCTGGTTCTCTAGTATGGTTCAGGGATGGCATACCGGTTGGGGTCAGTGGGGGCTTGCAGCACAAGACGCAAGAATGACTCACATAAGGGCAATAGTAAGGTACTTACTATTCTCTCTTTTTTGGGAGGTTCGTAAGCAAAGAGTAGTTTTTTGTGGCTGCGGTCCTGATCCGGAATTGCCCAACTGGAGACCAGCATCTCTGATCACCTGCACCACGCGAGCCCCATCACGAGCCCCTCGACACCAAGCGCGCGCCCCGCTTCCCTTATCCTTGTCCATCTTGCTTGAGCGCAGCTTAACCCTAAACCCTTTTGAACCCTAACCCTAAACCCTAAACCCTAAATCCTAAACCCTACACCCTAAACCGATATATTTGACCTGCACGCATGTAAAGGACACCCTGGAGGAGCGGAAGGCTTGAAGGCCCCCCCCGCGCCTAAGAAGGGCAGCTCCTGGTGTGGCTTACTTGGAGGTTCATGGCACTTACTAACCAATTAGGTTTAGGGTTTAGGGTTTAGGGTTTAGGGCTTAGGGTTTAGGGTTTAGGGTTTAGGGTTTAGGGTTTAGGGTTAACTGTACTTATGACTTATGACCCGCTTATACGCACGCCCCTTATAGGTGCCCTAGTATGGTTCTAAGTACAGTTCTAAGTACAGGTTCTAATTGGACCATACGAACCATGAAGATCCAAGTAGGGTTACCATCGCCGTCTCCTTGCCCGCTATGACCCCCCACTGACGCCCCACAACCGTGATCCTGTCATCCACCCGCCGTCGCCACACGCCACATCCGACATCACTACTTGAGGGCTTATGGGCAGTTACAAGTAGGGTTATAACCAGTTAGAAGTATAGTTGCCCTACTTATACCCCCAACCCACGAACCTACAAGTGGTCACATCACTTGCAACCGCGCTTGCGCAACGTTCGACCCCACCGACTGAAAGCATGTGGAATGAAGGTTCATACGTCAACTTGCCGCTCTCAGCGCGAAGGCGCAACCGCACCAGGAATTGAAGCCATCCTTCCTCCGCGTTCGCACCCGTCATCGGGATGATACAGGAACCAAGCTGCCAGCCAATGGGAGCTTAAACAGAATCACATAGAACAAAGCTTCCCACAGCTTGCTGCTGAGCCCCCCCCCCCCTCCCTGGCAAGCCCGCACCAGCCTGAAATGGCGCCATTTCTCAAGGCAACACTCTGTTTTGCGACTCTAGACCCTATAGACCTTTTCACCCTTTCACCCTAACCCGTGAAACCCTTGGCCCCCGACAATGCCGATGTTCCGCAGGAGGTTGGCGCCCTCGGGAGTCTCCAAAGCACCTGAAGCGGCTGAGAAGGTTTGAGTCGGAGGTCTCCTCAGATGGCCCTTAAAACCGTTTCTCATCGCTGGCACCCCTACGCCTTGACACAACCTTACGCTATGCTGGTTGCTCTAAGCCAGGGTCCTACCTTCTATGGGAAGCTCCTACACTCCCCTTCGAACCACCATGCAAGTTGTTGTTTTCATGTTTGTTTGGGTTCTGCCTGAGGGGTTTAGGGTTTAGAGTTCAGGGTTTTCTTCCTATGGAAGCTGTAGAACATCTTGGAAGCCTCTGGGCTCCACTCCCCTTGCCAGGATAGCAGCTGTGTTCGCAGCCACGCGAACCCCATCAACCCTTAAAAACCCTTAAACCCTGTAAGCCCTATAGTCCCGTACACCCTATAGGCCCTATAAACCCAATAAACCCAATAAACCCTCTAAACCCTCTAAACCCCATAAACCCCATAAACTTCATGAACCTCATAAACCCTAACCCCTACTTACTAATCCCCTCCCTTCCAGGCGCCTTGATCTTCGCGGATCCGCTTTGAGGCTTCCAAGTACTTCATGCTGCGGTCGTGCTGGCCGACCTGAGGGGGTGGTTTAGGGTTGTTTTTTGCCACCCGCCTAGCAGACCCCAAAGGTTTAGGGTTGTTTTTTGCGGTTTGGGGTTTAGGGTTTAGGGCTACTTGGAGGTTCATGGGTAGTTATACGTGGGGTTAGAAGTTGGGTACCTAGACTTATAACTTGTTCTCCATAAGCCTTCTCAAAATAGGGCCCTGCCCTGGGACCTGCACACTCCTTCCTGAAACAAGGTTCAGCGGGCTTTGGCCTTTACCTCTTTGCATGGAAGCCTGGACCGGCCCTAGCTGCCTCAACTGCAGCCCCAAAAGGGGGGCCCTCCCACTACCGCTGGGTTGAAGGTTTTCCATAATTTAGAGAATTCCCCGCCCCAAACAGAGAAAGCGCGGACTTGTGCTGGAAAAAAGGCTCTGCCAAAGACCGCCAGAAACCCCTCTCAGGTGGAGGGCTTTCGGTTTGTGGCTGTCGTGGAAAAAGCCCCACATTGAAAAAGGGGCCACCCAAATCTGCCCGAAAACCTCGGGGATCTTATCTTATGGGGTTTCTTTGGGCAGCAACCCCTGACGTACTGTTTGCTTAAGAATAAGAACACCCAAAAACAACAAATCAACAACATAGTCTTCCCTATATGGGCAATAGGCGGGATATTATCCCGTAATTTTGGGGGGATCATAAGCAAATAGTAGCAAACCCTATCCCCCTTTTTAACCGCGAAGTCTCTTGCCCCAAAGCGGCAATCCCTAGACCCAAGAGTAACCAAGGAATGAAAAGGGTGACCCTTTGTGGATTAAAAGGGCTCATAAGAGAACCCAAAACCCAAAACCCTAAACCCGCTCTCCTAAACCCTAAACCCTAAACCCTAAACCCTAAACCCTAAACCCTAAACCCCCCCAGGCCCCCAATGGGGGGCGAATCCCCCACCATCCCCCGCCTGCCGCAGCAGGTCGCCCACACCCTCGCCAAGCTTCGCCAAGTCCAGATCCGAGGCATTGTCGCTCGCCTGCGCCGGTTTTTTGGGGGGTTTAGGGTTTAGGGTTTAGGGTTTAGGGTTTAGGGTTACTTGGAGGTTCATGGTACTTACAACCCAATGATAACCCACATTAGGGCACTTGAAGGTGCTGATAGGTGGGTTATAATTTGGTTAAAAGTACCATGAACCTCCAAGTAGCAGCCTCTCAACCACACTGGTTGAGGGTTTAGGGCTCTCTGTGGCCCTAAACCCTAAAGGCCCTAACCCCTAAACCCTAAACCCTAAACCCCAAACCCTAAACCCTAAACCCACGCTCATTTCTCTGATCGCATGACGCGCCTACCGAGTTTTGGTCGTCGCCCAGAAACCGATTTCGAAGCTGAGAAGGGCCAGGAAGTGGACCCTTTTGGGGGTTCCTGTATTACAGATTATACTGTTTAGGGCTTAGGGTTTAGGGTTTAGGGTATACTACTAAGTACTATTTCGGGGCATATCAAGGGTACCCCTTTTTCGTTCTTCCTTGACCGGTTAATGGGTCTATTTTTGCCAGCTGCCTCTCTGACGCTCTGGACGCGCTACGAGGCTTTTTCTTGGTACACTTCTAGGTTCAGGCTTGAGGGTTTAGCACAACTAATGCTTCGACAGGTGTACTGCTTCGACAGGTTGGAATCAAGTGCACCTTAGGTTTCTGCTGGCTGCCCGTTGAAGACTATGCCAGTATGGCTGTTTGTCCGTCCTGTCTGTCAACAAATATCACGAAGGCGTCCATTATCCCAGGCCCTATAGAACGAAATCTGGAATGACGTTTGGGGGTCACTTCGTTTCAGGGTCCTTCTGAGAACTCGCTACATGTGAGCCAAGACCCAGTGCTAGGTTCTTCGACTGCCATGGACAGGGAAGCACTGCCCCTGCCCTGGCCATGATGTAGCACGGACAGGTCTTCTTTTGTGCTTAGAGTATCACGGCTGATGCGGCCTCCATTCCTGCAGACCGCCTAATCTCCTGGAACAGACTGCCTTAAACCCTAAACCCTAAACCCTAAACCCTGCACGTGATGTTGCCCCTAATTTCAACGAAGAACCGCGCATGGGCTTGGCCGGTGGCTTGAGCTACAGCCCAGCAAACGCTGAAAAAAAGACAGCTGGGATCAAGGCCTCCTACTGAGGGCTGGGGACACCAAAAAGAAGCACGAAACCCTAAACCCTAAACCCTGAGCCCTAAACCCTAAACCCTGAACCCTAACCTCTTAGACCCAAGATCCAAACCTTGGAGGCAAGGCCTCAAACCTGGAGAATCCGGAGACCCCCCCCGAAACATTGCCACTCCGTGTCCGTGTCAGTCTCCTGCAGCAGGATTCCCAGCGAACTCCCTCCCCCAAAATTCAAACCCCCCTAGCCCCACGTAACATGCACCATACTATGCTTTGACCACTTTTCGTATTGGGGGCTAGGGGGGTTTCAATATTGGGGGAGAGAAGAGCTCACAAGGCTCCGGATGGACCCAGGAACCGGTTCGTTTACAAAGGCTCTCAGGGAGTCTGGGAATCGGGCTCTTGGCACGGAACCCGTGCGATAAGCTCCATCTAAGCACCTCCCAAAAAAGGCGCAAATCAGAACTCCCCTATTGCCCTTATAGGGAAGAATGTTTTATTTGTTAAGGGGTTCTTAAGCAAAAAGTAGTCAAACTTCAAAGTCCTGGACTTTAGGGTCCTAAGCCCTAAGCCCTAAACATTCTGCGCTCTAAGGTCCTAAGGCCCTTTTGCATCAGGGTTTCGTGCTTGAGGGTGTTCTCTCAAGTATGGGCCCTTGCAGGATTCCCGGCTCAGGGTTTAGGACTTCGGATTTAGGATTAAGTTTTGGTTTAGGGTGTTGTTTTGTTTCTTCGGGTTTAGCAGTAAGGTTCTAATACTATTCATATATAGATATATACATCATTTTTTCTTTTTTCATCATATTCATTTAAGGGGACCCAGCACTGGGGATGTTTAAACCCTATGCGGATGTTTAAGCCCTAAAACCTAAACCCTGTCACAGTCTATTTCTTGGCAGCTTGGGCTACCCCAACTGCGTGGGCGGATGTGGCTCTCCTCACAAGCATCCAGTTCGTATTGGCTACATAGTGCTACGTAGGGATTAAGGCCCATAAAACATGAAATATAGCCCTAAATTAACTTTTTAGGGTTTAGGTTTACTAAACCCTAAAACTCTGAACCCCCAAAGCAGCCGAATTTCCCCACTCCGGTTGAGCCTGTTGCTTGCGGAGTTGCTACCAGGAAAGTAAGGGATGATGAAGGAGGGACCCTTGGGTTTCGGGTTTTTTTTTCGCTCCCGCATAGCTTTCGGGTTTAGGGTTTAGGGTTTAGGGTTTAGGGTGGTCCCTCCTGGCATCCCCTAAGTAAATCTCTGGCACGGCTTCCTTGAAACGCTCTGGGCACCTTCAAGCCGACCTGGTGTTGGCTTGGGGTTGAGGTCTAGGGTTTAGGGTTTAGGGTTTAGGGCTTAGGGTGAAACTCACGAAAGAACCTTCTGAGATCACAATGCGGCTCCGATGACCATCCGGAGCGCAGATGTCATTGGAGACTTGCATCGACACCCTGAACCCTAAACCCGACTCCGTCCCGAGCGCTCCAAGGTGTATGCTCCGTACCTTTGATTCTGGCATACAGCCAGCACAGCCCCACATTGGGGGGGGGGGGGGTGGGAGGGGTTGTTCTGAACATCCCCTCAATATAAACTGACAGGAATACCAGGGCCAAGGGCCGCAAGCCAAGAACACACATACCCTAACCCCCCAAAGCATGGAATACGGAGTACACTATACTTAAGGAGGCCTCACAAGCTTTGAAGAACCCCCCCCCGGGGTTCATCTGTAGGAAGTCACTCCAGCACGGCAGCCATGACGTTGAGGGTTGCGCGTGTGGTCGGGTGCGCCCAACCTCACCGGTTGGGGTTTAGGGGTTTCGGGGGTTAGGGGGCTTAGGGGGTTCAAGGGGTTTAAGGGGTTTAGGGGGCTTAGGGTTTCATGTCTAGGGTTTAGGGATTTTGGGGTTCAGGGCTTCCCGTGCCATTCCATTTTACTGCCCCTCGCTGCGCGAAGCGACTGGACATGGCCAATGCCCTTAAACCCCCTAAGTCATAATCCCAATTCAAGGACTCTCAAGCTCCAGAGGGGCTGAGGCTCTGAAAGCCTTGCGGTTTGACTTTAAAAAGCTGCGGGGGGGTCTGGACGCCACCCTAAATAAAGGGGGGGGGTCCATGTTCAGAAGCCGTAAGGAGGGCCCAATAAATTTCCCCATGTGGCTTCCACAACCCGAAACCCTAAACAGTCGCCTCGTACCCTACCAAGGCACAAACTCTCCGAAACTCGTGAGCTCTAAAGTCACTTTACTTAAATCCTAGACCCTTTTTCCATCCTAGAACCTACAACTCTTTTTTGCTTGCAACCCTGAGGCCTAAGCCCTAAACCCATTTTGAGAAAACCCCTAAGCTCACTAAACCAGACTGGGAGGTTTATGGTACTTATATAATAACCCGATTTCAAGTAGGGCACTTAGGGGGCTGATAAAGTGCGTTATAGGTACAGCAATACTTGGGGTTCTAAGTGCCCTTTTGCTTCAGGGCTCCCCTGTGGTAGCTTGCCTGGGGTTCTAAGTACCCTAAACCCCAAACTCCAAAGACTAAACCCCAAACCCAAGTATCGTGAACCTCCAAGCACGGCCCCTGTACCAAAAAAAAACAGAAAAAACTCATGAAACCCTAAACCCTAAACCCTATACCCCAAACCCAAGCACAGCCCCGAAATCAAAAACCCCACGGCGAGGCGCGGCAGGTGTCGCCGAAGTTGCACATCCCCCACTGAAGCAGATCCCAGCCTCGGACTCTGGTTTAGGGTTTAGGGTTTAGGATTTGGGGTTAAGGGTTAAGGGTTTAGGGTTCAGGGTTTAGGGTTTAGGGTTAAGGGTTTAGGGTTTAGGGTTTACGGTTAAGGGTGAAGGGTTCTAGGGTTTAGGGTTTAGGGCTTGGGGTTTAGGGTTTACGGTTTAGGCTTGGGTTTAGGACTTAGGGTTTTAGGGTGGAGCGGTCAATGAAAAAAGGTGGTTCAGGGCTTCGGGCTCAATTATGGTGCACTGCGGGCTTTTGTCCCTAAACCCTAAGCATCCTAAACTTGAAGGAGTGCTAGTAGTGTGGTCAATGGCTGCGCTAGCCAGAAGTACAAGTAGGCGCAGAGGCAAAAAGAGAGGCTTTCGGGTTGAGGGCTTGGGACCTTGATGGCCTGGGATGGGTTAGGACTAGGGTCCAGGGCTTGAGGGCTTTGAGGGCTTTGAGGGCTTCGAGCTCCTCCAAGGTTTTTTTTTTTTTGGGGGGGGTCTTAGGGTTTAGGGTTTAGGGTTTGTTCTGGGTTTAACTTTCAGGGTTTTCGGTTTTGGGTTCCGGCCTTCCGTCTGAGAAGGGCTGTTCGGCAGCCGCGGACCCGTCAGAGCTCGCGGGGTCAAAAGGGCTTCCTTCTTGGGGCTTAAGCAGGGCAACGGGTGGATTTTTTTTCCGGCAGCAAGCTTCACCCAGGAGCCACAGGCCTTCAAGACTCAAGCCCTAACCTTGGCTTAGGGTTTAGGGTTTAGGGTCTAAACCGTAAACCCCGAAACCCTACATCCTAAACCCCAAACCCTAAACCCTTCCTAAATCCTAAATCCTAAACCCTAAAACCCCCCAAAAACCCTAAACCATAAACCCCTCACCCCCCCCCCCGGCCCCATTCTGTGCCCGGGCGGCATGCACAGGAAGAGTCGGGTACCAGGCACAGCAAGGCGGAGAAGCCCAATGGTCTGAGACCGAGGCTGGGGGTTTAGGGTTTAGGGTTTAGGGTTTAGGGTTTAGGGTTTAGGGTTTAGGGTTTAGGGTTTAGGGTTTAGGGTTTAGGGTTTAGGGTTTAGGGTTTGGGGTTGAGGGTTGTGGGAGTTTCGGGTTTAGGAAGGTTCGGGAGTTTAGGGTTTAGGGTTATATAGTGTTGAGGGTTTATTCGGGCTTAGGGTT